CAGTGCCATGCGCTACCATCGCCACGCGCCAGAAACCCCCAATTCAACTTTTTGCCCCTCCCATGCGGAAACAAAGTTTTGGTTACGAGCATGCGGTAAGAGAACAACGCGTTACGAATATGCACCAAAGACAGAAAGCGGTCAGGATGGCAAGAGGGTGAGTCAGGGGATTAAGAGGTGACTTAGCAGCGGTACGACGGGTTGAGCGACGGAAGCAGCAGCAGTCGCTCCCAGCAGCAGCCCTCCCAGCAGCAGCAGCGCAAGTGGAGCTCGTTTGGCGTGTGAAGGAGTGGCGTGGTCAGCAGGGCATGCAGGACGCAGGCCGTGCGTCATCCCACTGCCCTCCCTCCTGGAACAAGGGCATGGGCTGGTGAGAATGAGAATAAAGGATACGGGATGCAGGAAACTGGTCGAGGATGGAATAAAGCCATGGAAAAGGATCACAAGCGACAAATGAAGCAAAGGCAGGGAAAACTGGAAGAACTGAAAAGTGAATACAAGGTGGAAGGATGCAGTGAAAACAGAGAGGCGATGGTAGCCCATGGCACTAGGTTGGCGAGCTAGCGGGCAAGGGGGACGAGGTAAGGAGGAGACGCGAGCATGCAACCCCCCAACGACTCTAGTATGAGCTCAAGCCGCCCCAGTGCCATGCGCTACCATCGCCACGCGCCAGAAACCCCCAATTCAACTTTTTGCCCCTCCCATGCGGAAATGAAGTTTTGGTTACGAGCATGCGGTGAGAGAACAACGCGTTACGAAAATGAACCAAAGACAGAAAGCGGTCAGGATGGCAAGAGGGTGAGTCAGGGGATTAAGAGGTGACTTAGCAGCGGTACGACGGGTTGAGCGGCGGAAGCAGCAGCAGTCGCTCCCAGCAGCAGCCCTCCCAGCAGCAACAGCGCCAGTGGAGCTCGTTTGGCGCGTGAAGGAGTGGCGTGGTCAGCAGGGCATGCAGGACGCAGGCCGTGCGTCATCCCACTGCCCTCCCTCCTGGAACAAGGGCATGGGCTGGTGAGAATGAGAATAAAGGATACGGGATGCAGGAAACTGGTCGAGGATGGAATAAAGCCACGAAAAAGGATCACAAGCGACAAATGAAGCAAAGGCAGGGAAAACTGGAAGAATTGAAAAGTGAAAACAAGGTGGAAGGATGCAGTGAAAACAGAGAGGCGATGGTAGCCCATGGCACTAGGTTGGCGAGCTAGCGGGCAAGGGGGACGAGGTAAGAAGGAGACGCGAGCATTCTACCCCCCTACGACTCTAGGACGAGCTCAAGCCGCCCCAGTGCCATGCGCTACCATCGCCACGCGCCAGAAACAACCAATTCAACTTTTTGCCCCTCCCATGCGGAAATGAAGTTTTGGTTACGAGCATGCGGTGAGAGAACAACGCGTCACGAAAATGAACCAAAGACAGCAAGCGGTCAGGATGGCAAGAGGGTGAGTCAGGGGATTAAGAGGTGACTTAGCAGCGGTACGACGGGTTGAGCGACGGAAGCAGCAGCAGTCGCTCCAAGCAGCAGCCCTCCCAGCAGCAGCAGCGCCAGTGGAGCTCGTTTGGTGCGTGGAGGAGTGGCGTGGTCAGCAGGGCATGCAGGACGCAGGCCGTGCGTCATCCCACTGCCCTCCCTCCTGGAACAAGGGCATGGGCTGGTGAGAATGAGAATAAAGGATACGGGATGCAGGAAACTGGTCGAGGATGAAATAAAGCCATGGAAAAGGATCACAAGCGACAAATGAAGCAAAGGCAAGGAAAACTGGAAGAATTGAAAAGTGAAAACAAGGTGGAAGGATGCAGTGAAAACAGAGAGGCGATGGTAGCCCATGACACTAGGTTGGCGAGCTAGCGGGCAAGGGGGACGAGGTAAGAAGGAGACGCGAGCATTCTACCCCCCTACGACTCTAGGACGAGCTCAAGCCGCCCCAGTGCCATGCGCTACCATCGCCACGCGCCAGAAACCCCCAATTCAACTTTTTGCCCCTCCCATGCGGAAATGAAGTTTTGGTTACGAGCATGCGGTGAGAGAACAACACGTTACGAAAATGAACCAAAGACAGAAAGCGGTCAGGATGGCAAGAGGGTGAGTCAGGGGATTAAGAGGTGACTTAGCAGCGGTACGACGGGTTGAGCGACGGAAGCAGCAGCAGTCGCTCCCAGCAGCAGCCCTCCCAGCAGCAGCAGCGCCAGTGGAGCTCGTTTGGCGCGTGAAGGAGTGGCGTGGTCAGCAGGGCATGCAGAACGCAGGCCGTACGTCATCCCACTGCCCTCCCTCCTGGAACAAGGGCATGGGCTGGTGAGAATGAGAATAAAGGATACGGGATGCAGGAAACTGGTCGAGGATGGAATAAAGCCATGGAAAAGGATCACAAGCGACAAATGAAGCCAAGGCAGGGAAAACTGGAAGAATTGAAAAGTGAAAACAAGGTGGAAGGATGCAGTGAAAACAGAGAGGCGATGGTAGCCCATGGCACTAGGTTGGTGAGCTAGCGGGCAAGGGGGACGAGGTAAGAAGGAGACGCGAGCATTCTACCCCCCTACGACTCTAGGACGAGCTCAAGCCGCCCCAGTGCCATATGCTATCATCGCCTTGCGGAATTGATTTTTTGGTTACGAGCATGCACTGAGAAATCAAAGCGTTAAGAAAATAAACCAAAGACAGAATGGCAAGGGAGCGAGTAAGGGTGTGAAGAGGGGACTTAGCGGTATTAGGGGTTGCTGAGCGATGGGAGCAGCAGCCGACATTCCAAGTCCCAACAGGATGCATCGCCATCGCCTTCGCCGTCGCATTGAGCGTCGAATTCGCCTTCTCCACCATCTATCGTCGCCGTCATCACTCAGACCGGCGACGATACGACAGCATTAACGGCGACTCGACCGTCAGCATCGACGAACACGTCGCAGTCGTCAACCTTCCTCCATTATGCCTTGATCGTCGACATCTCAGTCGGCAACGTGAGATTTCACCGGCTTAAAGTCGCCTCGTCACCGTCAGAACTCGCAGTCAGCACGAATCGTCAATCGTCGTCGCCGTAAGACCTCGCGATCTCAACATCAGAATACGCCGTCCTAATCGCGCGATCCCCAAGACTCGCCGTGTTAATCGCGCGATCCTCAATACTCGTCATCGCAGTCGTGAACGAGATTTCGCGTCTCGATCGTCATCCCGTCCGCAACGTGAGCTTGCGTCTCGCCGATGTTCAATCGTCCCAATTACTAAGGCTCCAATCGACACCGTCCGAAACTCCGAGGCGCACACCGTCCGGAACTCCGCAGGCGCATATCGTCACCGTCCGAAACTCCGCAGGCGCATGATATCGTCGCCATCAGAACTCCGCATCGGAATCGCCCTGGTCATCAACTCCATCAGACTTCTCCGCTTCGGTTTTGCGCCTTCGCCGTCAACGCAGCTGCCGTCATCAACGTGAAACCTCCCCGTCACCGTTGGAAGATCGTCGCCGTCGGATCTCCATGATACTCGACACCATGATCAGAAGACGTCAACCGTCACCGGCAGAAGATAATCGTCACCCTCAGAAGATAATCGTCACCCTCAGAACTCCCAGAAGTACCACTTTTCACCGTCAGAAGACGTTGATCGTTACCGTTAGAGCTCCTCTCATCGGAATATGATATTCGCTGTCAGAAATGTCTCGATTGTCGCCGTCATCATCTCTATCGTCGTCGACAGAAATCGCCGTCCAAATAAACCGTCTCGTATCACCGATTCAGATGTAAGATTTTATCGTTTTTGTCGCCGCCGTGCACATGAACGGCGTCAGTCTGAAATGGCTATGATGTAGCCGTCGCCAAGTGAACCATGATTTAATGAGCTGAAGAAGAGCTGAGACGCATCACGAAGAACCGGATTCACCTCGCGAAACTTCACGTCACGAACCCGCATCAAACAGCCTTGCTCCAGAAATTTCTCAATGATGCTAGGATCACCTGGTGCTTCGGAAAACGACCTGATGCTAGTTCTTTGTGACGAACGCCTAAACTAACGTAGTAGCACTATATCATAAACAAATCGACTGTGACTATGATTGCGATAACGGTAGACGATAGGCACGTACTAGCTGACGAAACGAGCCGAGCCGTGAGAATCCATGGATATCGCTACTAGCAAAACTCCAATAGAGGTGCTCTGAATGGCTAGAGAAACCACAAGAGGTACCAAGACTTAGTTGAGTTTAAGATTAAAATTTAAACCTAGTTAATGGTTGGTAGCGGAACTTCAGGCGACAGCCATGGATTCTAAGAAACCGAACAAGGACGTCTAAGAGTCTGAGTGAGAACATAGCAGGAATGATGTGCAGGCAGTGTGGTTTGAGAAGTTCAGTGAAGTAGTTCAGGGAATGTAGAGAGAGATCCAGAGCGGTTTTTAGAGATTCACTGAAGCGAGAGGTGGGCTGAGGCAGCACATAGCTCAAGGACGAGACATCCGCTCCCCTTTCCCTGCTTTGGTGCAGGCCGCCGCACCGTCGGCGGACAGCCTCAGTTTCGCAATTCGTGAACCCAGAGCCTTGGCCTTTCGCTTGGGGGATGATTGATTAGCGAATATTTGGACAGGTTTCTTGAGCACAGTTACAGCATATCCGCAGCGCGGTTGTATCATGGTTCCGCCTGTTTGCGCGGGAAACAGTTCCACATGTCTGACAGACGCTCATAGCTGTTCGATGCATCGAGTCGGGTGATCCAACGGATGAGCTGAACGTCAATGTTTGTGCAATACGTCTACACGAATATGAAGTTTTTAGAAACTGCGAAACACTTTAAATAGATGGATATGAAAACGACATTGCTTGTAATGGCAAGTGCTAAACACCCTTCTCCAAATAGAGGGCAGAAGCCATTTGGCCTCCAGCCACGTTTTCGTTTGAATTTTCAAAGGTTTTACTTCCCACCCACCCAGCCACCCTATGCTAGTTGGATGAGAATGTTGCACTCATCCCATCCGAGCATCTCTACACTACACCACTACGCAAGCAACTGGCTCTTCCTCATACGAAGATCACTTCTAGCCGAGCACAGGGGTGTGCAGTCACGTGTCCCACCACCTGAGACGAGTTCCGGAACCACGCCTCACCCCACAACGCCTCTCTCTGCGTCGAGCCCGCCGGGTATATCCTGTAGATTTTCAAAGCCCATGCCTTCTCATCCCCTCCAAGCGACGCCGGCCGCTTCCCCACCCACACCGGCCGGTACGTCTTTTTCTGAAAGCTGCGCCTTATGGCTAAAGTGAGTCCTCTTAAAGTGAGGTGGTCACTGCGCAAGAACACCGACGTGAAGTGGAACGTCCCCCGTTCCCTCACGTACAGGTGGTATACCACCAGCTTCTCCCCCTCGCGCTTCCCCGGCGCCTCGCACCGGCACGGGCGGCGGGTTTTGGCAGCATCCAGGTCCTTTCTCCGGATCCGGTCGGCAAGGAAGATACAGAGGCGGCAAGAGGAGTGAACAGCTGAAAGATCCATGTTGGCTATAAATGCCTGGGAAGGCCCAACTTTCTTCCACGCGAGCATCTCATCGTATGCCGTCTGGTTACCAGCAAGCGTAACCATCTGCTGCGCCACCCGGGGTACATCCTCCAAAGTTTTTATTTCCAGATAGGAGTTGGGGGAAGGCGCAAACTCGGCAATGTTGGGCGCGCCAATGACGACGGGGATGGAGCCGGCTGCGAGGCACTGCCAGTACTTCTCAGTGACGTAGTCGGCTTCACAGGTGTTTTCAAAGGCGAGGGAGAAGAAGTGCCGTGCGAGCACGGGGAGTTTGTCGGATTCGTATGGCATGTTGTTGAGACAGCGCCCGTATGAGTGAACCTCCATGTGTTGACTCAGCTCTTTTATCGCCTGGTGATGGGATTGGCATGGAGAAAGGGGAGAGAAGGGAAGAGAAGGCACGGAACGCGAGATGCGGCAGAGAAGGTGGGGCATGTTGTTGAGACAGCGCCCATAGGAATGCACCTCCATGTGCTGACTCAGCTCCTTAACTGCCTGGGATAAGGGGAGGAAACTGGGAGGAGAGGAGAGGCGGGGGCTGCGAGGCACTGCCAGTGCTTGTCAGTGGCGTAATCGCCTTCACAGGTGTTTTCAAAGGCGAGGGAGATGTGACAGCGTGCCGGCACGGGCAGCTTGTTGGATTCATGCGGCATGTTGTTGAGACATAGGCTGTACGAAAGCGAATCCATGTGCCGCAGCGACATCGACTCAACTCCTTCACAGCCTGGTGATGGGATTGGCATGGGAAGAGAAGGCAACGATTGTGAGATGCGGATGACGATGTGCAACAGTTGCTGCTGTTGGTGGCAGGCAGTTGCTGATGAAGGCAGCAGCGTGAGAGGCGGAGAGCGGTGGAAAGGGTGGAGTGCGGGGAAGTGGGGTGGAGAGGGGTGCAAAGGGAAATGGCATCTGACCTCGAGCCTGAAGTTGTTGGCACGGCAGTTGCTGATGAACGCAGCAGCAAGAGCCGAGGCGGTCTTGTTGACGGGCGGGCGCATGACATCATACTCCTCCCATGACCCGTACTGCACTGGCACGTCTGAATCGTAATGCACTGTCATCACCACCTGTTTTTGCAATGGAAGGGCACGCATAGGGACAAGAGAAGAGAAGAGAGAGGACCGCATGACATTGTGCTCCTCCCATGACCCGTACTGCACTGGCACGTCTGAATCGTAGTGCACTGTCATCACCACCTGTTGGGGTTAAAGAGGAGAAGAAACAAGGGAGACAAGAAGGGGAAGGGGGGCGAGGGATGGGGAAAGAGCTCTAGGGAATGACATCATACTCCTCCCATGACCCGTACTGCACTGGCACGTCAGAGTCATAATGCACTGTCATCACCACCTGTTGGGGTTGTGGGGGAACGAGGGAGTGAGAAAGGATGTAAGAAGGGTGAATCACATCATACTCTTTCCTTCAACGCAACCTACCACGCTCGTCCCACAATTCTGAGCCCACCACTCACTACACTCACTCTAACACCACCACCCCACGCAGCGCCGCTGCTCGCTTTCTTCCCAAGACCCACTGCACCCCACCACACTCCACGCAACTCTACTCCACCCCACCCCACCCCTCACACTCACAGCATGGTCTCTGTGCGCCCATGCAGGATCGCTGCTTCTGTAGAGCCCCCGCGGCTCCATGGATCGCAGCACCGCTGCTCCCTTGCTCCCTTGCGCAGTGAACACCAGCTCCCTTCACTGCACCCCTCCACACCCCTCCACACACCTCGTTACAACCTTCCACCTGTCACTCACTGCATGATCTCTGTGTGCCCATGCAGGGTCGTTGCTCCGGTGGTACCCCCGCGACTCCATTGATCGCAGCACCGCAGCTCCCCTGCTTCACACTGCACTGCACCGCACCACACCTTTCCACACACCTCATTACACCCTTTTTCTCACAGCATGATCTCTGTGCGCCCATGCCGGGTCGTTGCTCTTGTAGTACCCCCGCGGCTCCATCGATCGCAGCACCGCCTTGTGCCGAGGCACGCCGCCCGCCAGGCTGGCATCCAGCTGCGACGGGCGGCGCTTGCCAACCATCTCGCACGGTACGTCACACGGGTACCTGCGGGGGGTCTAATTTGCGAAAAGGGGAGAACGGGGAATGGGGGCGAAGAGGGGGAGGCGGGGTGAGGGGAGGACCAGGAAGAAAAAGGGCGGGGCATAGTGGTTCTGAGCTTGCATGTCATGCTGCATGGTGTCATGCAATCATGGTTCATGCAATCGTGCTATCATGCGCTATCATGCTATCATGCTATCATGCTATCATGCTATCATGCAATCATGCTATCATGCTATCATGAGAACATGCTATCATGCAATCATAATATCCTGGCATAATTTTATCATGCTATCATGCACTCATGCTGTTACACTCTCATTCTATCATGCTATCACGCTATCATGGTATAGAATACGACCAACCCCACCCACTTTTCGTGGATGGACATACCTCGTATGCCATCACTGCGATTGGCTGCTTCTCAAAGTCCCTCCCAAACGCCACGTCATCAGCTTCTTGCAGCCACGAGCGACACGTCAGCCCGTCAGGGGCGCCCTGCAGTGGGGACCACTCTGATGGCTCGTCCAATGGGGACTGCCAAACCGGCTCCCCCTCCCCCTCCCCCTCCTCCTCGCTCGATTCCCCTCCCTCTCCCCCCCTGCCGCCCCCTCTGCCCTCACCTTCCCCCCCTCCCCCTTCCGCCATCCCCCCCTCGTCCATCCCCATGTCGTCTCCGCTCCCCGTGAAGGACATGTCCCCTTCCCCGCCTTCCCCCCCGCCCTCCCTGCCGCCCTCCCCGCCGCCCTCCCCGTTGCCCCTCCCCGCGCCAGGCTTATCCTCCCCCCTCCCCCTAACCTCGTCCGCCTCCCCCGCTCTCCCCCTATCGTCATCCTCCCTCCCCCTCCCCCGATCTTCGTCCGTCCCCCTGCCCCGCAACGTGGCCTCATCTACAATCACCTCCTGTCCGCTCTGCGTCCCGTCCACCATCCAATCATCGTCGCCGCTTCTCAGCTCCATGCCTTTCCGCTCCGCCTCCTCCCCCCCGCCTCCCCCGCCTCCCCCCCTCTCCTCATCCACTATCAGCGGCCGAGTCGTCTGCGTCCCGTCCACCATCCAATCATCGTCGCCGCTCCTAAACTCCACGCCTTTCCGCTCCGACTCCTCCCCCCCGCCGCCAGTGAATCTCCGAGTCGCATCGCGCGGCCCCGAGTCGTCCTGCGCATCGATCCCGCCGCCAGCGAATTTTCGCACCCACTTGCGCTCGTGGCCCCCGTACCCGGCGGCGCCATGCGAAGCTTCGTAGGTCCGTGGTCCGCCGAGGTGAATCGAATCCGCGTCGGACTCCCGCTGCACGTTCCCCCCGCCGCTTGCGCTGAATAGCTTCGTCAAATCGTGACCGTTCGATTGGCCGTGGCCAGCCGTCGATGCGCTCTGCCGTTGCGCATCGGATCGCGGGGAGAATTTAAGCTTAAGAATATAAAGACCTTGTGCGACGACGAGTAGCAGCAGCAAGCGGCCGCACAGCTGGCCGCCGCCGCCGCCGCCTCGCCCTGGCGCGCCTCGGTGGTGCGACAGTGCGGATGTGCCTCTGTGCGCCTGTGCGACGGCACGATGGTGCTGTGACGACGGGCGATTGGATCGCGACATGTGTGCGACCACAGCGAGCAGCAAGGTGCTACGATTGAGCACGTCCGCCCATCTTCAGACGAAACCGAGGTCGTGCCACATGGAACTCATGGTGTCGGTGGTGGGCAGGGAGGCCTTGCGGAATCTAGGAATTGCAGCCTGGAGATTTGATCAGAGGGCGAACGCGAGAAACCGTTTTCTAGGTTGCCAGATTTGGATGGTTCAAATAAAAATTTCATTTAGAACCTACATGACAAACCGAGACACGGTTATCTTATACGAACAATAAAGAAAACATCAGTAAAATCATGCAGCCCAATCTAGTTTTACCACAGGTATTTAAATCGGTATCTACTTACACACAGACGTTGATCCAGCGAGTATGGTACGCATACGACAATTGTAGTCAATCCAATTGTAGGCGTGCACATCTACAAACCTCACTATGTAATACAATTCCATGAATCGGCTGAATAAAGATTCAGCCGCCTTGCCTGGATGACAAAGACCTGACTCAACTCAAACCACCATGAGCGAAATTGTAGGCAGCAGCCATGGATCAGCCATGAATTATAATGCAACAGCCGTGGTTCAGACCAGAAAATTCAAAGCACCAGCCAGGGCACTTCAACCAAGCCAACTATGCCCACCACCCCAGCAGTGGGCCCAATCCAGAGCAACGCTCCCGCCGCCCACCGCGAAGCAATATTCAATCTGCTCAGAGCAATTTCCAGCTGCCCGAATCGGACCAAACCCAGCTGCCCGACTATGAGCAGATCCCAGCCCTGCTGCTCAAGCTGTAGCCTCTACCTGAATGGACGCCTCGCTCTCACCGCTCTTGGCGCATTCCCTCTCCCCCAACGCAGCTCTCAGCCTGCTCCGCAGCTCCCCGCTCAGCCTCAGCGATTCCGCCACACTCTCCGATTGCCACCCTTCCTCGATCTTGCTTGGCGTCGCGCTGGCGGCACCAGCGGAAGAAGACTGGGCCACTCTCTCCGCCAGAGTTGCGCGGATTGCGCCTGCGCTGTCTCCCGCGCCTGCGCCCGCGCCTTCTTCGCTGCTGCTCGCGCGGGTCGCGCCTCCTTCCGAGGGTCCCGGCAGCAGACCCGCGCGCACGAGCAGCGCTTCCTTCGCGGCGTCGGAGAACAGCTTCGCCGCCGCCCCGCTGCGCCGCTCCGCCAGCTCCGCGCGCAGCTGTTGCGAGGGCGTCAGCGTCCGCAGGGGAGTCTGCTGCGCGCCGATTGATGACGTTGCGCTCGAAGAGGGGGATACCCCCTGGCCGACGCACGAGGGGGAGTTTTCCGACAGGCTCACGATGCGCGAAGGGGAAGGGGCACGCGCAGATTGCGCCGATGAGGGGGTGCGGAGCGCGGAGGCGGAAGAGGCGGAGGAACAAGACACTGAGACTGCCCCGGCGCGATGCGCGGAACGACGCACACGAGACAGCCGCGGAACGGAGGGGGGGCTTCCGCCAGTGGTATCCGCGCTGGAGGCGGCGGGAGAAAGCGCGGAGGACCTTTGCGGAGAAGACATAATCTCAGGACTGGTCACCTCGTCGCTGACAGGTAGCAGCCCCACGCTTGCGGACTGCGACGCGGTAGACTCCTTCTGCGGCGACTGTGCGACGGCCGGCGACTGGTTCTGCGACTGCGCGTTGGGCGACAGGAGAGTGAAGCCGTCGAGTCCGGCCTGCTTGAGTAGCGCGTCGCCCGAATTGGCGGCGTCCGCCGGGGGGTTAGAGCGCGACCATGGCAGCACCTCGCTGAACAGCCGCTGCCCGGATAGCAGATCCTGAATCAACGAGAACGCTCCGGCGGATGACGCGGCAGCGGAAGAGGCGGAGGTGACGGAGGACGCTGATGACGCGGGTTGCTGGTTCTCCGCGTTCGACGGCGAGGTTGGCGCTGGTGGCTTGGAGCCGAGAACTTCAGGAGAAGATGGGGTGGTGGAGAGAGAGGGTTGCGTGACCGAGTCGTACATCTTGCGGATGGTAGGCGGCTCGTACGCGCGGATACCGCGGCCGCTGATGAGACCTGCGTGCTCCCTGTCCTCCTGCTCGTGCATGTGGTGCAGCTGGAACGACAGCTGCATGTCTTCTTGCTTTACCTTCTGAAACCGCTCTCTTATTATCGCGATGTCGGCTTTAAATTCCGCGAGTTCGGCTTTTCGTCTGCGGCGGTCCGCGTCGCTGACGGTTAGGAGGGTCATTGTTGACGACCTGGATTGATGCGGTTCGATATCCATTAGGAGGCGAGATTAGGACGAGAAATTAGGCCGATGTCGTAGCTATTTGACTTGGAGTGACGTGACACAGAACTACATAACGACAATAATGTGAAGATAGGAAGAAGAAAATCTTGGGATGGCGTGTGCCTGGTTCGCCAAGGGCTGGGTTCGAATCGAAAGCCGATTCGATTGTTTTGAGGTGGTTTTGGTTGGGTGAAGTGGGTTGTTGCACGGCACAACATGAAAGTTGGGGTCGTTGGGATTGGTTTGGTGGGGAGGGAATAAGGTGGTGGTGGTGGAGGTGGTGGTCGCGAGGGGAGCACGAAGGGCGGCGCTGGAAGGATAGCGACTCGAGAGGTTGAGGTGGGCGACTCGTGATCCGACGGCGACGTGTTTCGGATGTGTTGACATTGGATGGCACGGATGGGGGAACTGACGGTCAGGTGCGCAGTTGGCGGGAAGCGTGTGAGGAAAAATGGATTCGATATGGATTGCTTCGGCTGAACACTGAAAATCAATTCACCACCTTAGCAAACTGTATTTGTCATGTCTACAAACTAAACTTGATTTCAATTCTCAAGCATGGTTAATCTTGAGCAGTCAATACCGAGTACGAATCCCCCCTGCGATTTTCCAGGAGCGCGCTACTTTTATTGCGCCCCTTGCCAGCACGTTCCGCGGGGACGCCACACGCACCGATGCGACGAGCATAGACGACAATCTTTGTGCTGTGCCGTGTAGCGTCGCAGGCGCATTCGACGTCATAGGCTCATGCGACGAGCCGCCTATGTGACTCTCGCTCCTCGTGGCTAGCTGGCTTCGAGCGCGCGCTAGGAATCTGTAAATATTCATCTGCTGATTTATTTTTTCCGTGGCACGCTATCACTGTGCTCCTTCCCCCATGGCGCAAGCGCTGAAGCTCTTCCATGCCGCTCGGCGCGCTGCATCGCGCGCAGCTGACGCGGGCCCATCACCGCTTTCCGCCTTCCGCAATTCCCCGTCGTCCCCACTTCTTCCGCCGCGCTTTCCTCCGCCTTGCGCGGGCAGCCCTTTCCCCGCCAAACCATGCCCGTCCGTGACCGATCAAGCGCTAACCGGCGGAATAATAGAACGTAGCGCTACTCACCTCCGCGCCCCCATTAATGAGTCATTCGCCGCCGCTCCAGCCTTTCCCCCCGCCACCCCACCATCCACCGCTCTCCGCGCCGTTTCCGCCTTCCGCCACTTCCTTGCCGCGCCCGCGCCTTCCCCTTCGCCATCCCTTCCGCCACCACCCGCCGTGCATTCCCGCGCAGCTTCGACCCCTGGCGGAAACGGGATCAGCGGGGCCACATGCGGGGGAGGGGTGCGCGTGAGGGGGATGAGCGGGGGAAGCGGGGGGAGCATCTATGTGCGATCGACGCGGGAGCCAAGCGGGTTGGCATCGGTGCCGCTGGTGCCGCTCGTTCTCGGTCTAGCTGGTGCCATCCCATTCGTCACCCTCGCACCGCCCATATGCTCCCTCGTTCCCCTCCCTGTCAGTACCCCTCCTCTCCTCCTCTCCACCTCTCCTCTTCACCTCTCCTGCATCCCCTTTCCTCCTCCTCTCCCTGTCGTTCCCCTCTTCTCCTCTCCTCCCGTCGCGATCACCCAACTGCGATACATCCCCGTGGCCCCTAGGCCTTGTCCCTCCATTCCAACCCCCTCCCCCCCCCATTCCCCATCCCTTGTACCTCTTCTCTCCCCGCTCATCCCCTCGCTGCGTCCCATTTTTTTAGCAGCGCAGGCGGCGTACGGGGCAGCCATCCTCGCCTTTCCTAAGCCTTTTTTTTCCTCCCATTCTCCCTCACCTCATCCTCCCCCCATCCACCACACGTGCTGGCAACGCAGCCAGCAGCAGCACAGGCGGCGTACGGGGCAGCCATCCTCGCCTTCCTTAAGCCTTCCCTTTCCTTTTCTCCCATTCTCCCCCGTGCGCCCAGGAGCTGCTGGCAACACAGCCGGCAGCAGCGCAGGCGGCGTACGGGGCAGCCATCCTCGCCTTCCTGGGGGGACCGCACTGGGGGCTCGCCATGGCCCGATACGCCGCCAGTCAGTGCTGCCATCCCCTGCCCTCCTTGTCGCTCCCTGCCCTCCTTGTCGTTGTCGCCCCTGCCCTCCTTGTCGTTGTCGCCCCTGCCCTCCTTGTCGCTCCTTGCCCTGATTTCTCTTCCCTCTCGCTGCGCACTGGGGGCTCGCCATGGCCCGATACGCCGCCAGTCAGTGCTGCCGCCCCCTGCCCTCCTCCCCCTGCCGCTTCCCTCCTCCTTCTTGCTGCTTCTTGCTGCTTCTTGCTGCTTCTTGCTGCTTCTTTCTGCCCCTGAATTCTGCGCTGCTGCCACCCGTGCCCTCAACCACCTCTTTGTCCATCCCTGCCCTCACTGCCTCCCTCCTCTCTCCACCTTGCCCCCTCTTCTCTCCTCCCCTGCTCTTCTTTCTCTTCACCTTGCCCCATGTGTCGTACATACACAGCCACGTCAGAGGCGAGTCTAGGCAACTTCTCAGTCTCAGCTGCCCAGTGAGTGCTGTGCGGTTCAGTGCAGTGCAGTGAGTGCGGTGTTGTGTGGTTCAGTGCGGTGCAGTGAGTGCTGCGCATGGAGTGAGTGCTGTCCGTTATCCTCCATCTCAGCCATCCGTATCTCTCTGCCTCTATCCCGAAATCTCAGCCATCCATCTCTCTCCCCATATCGCCCTCATCTCACACCACCAGGTACACATGGAGTGTGGCGCCATCCCTGGCGGCATGGGTGGCGCTGCTGTTGCCAGACGGCCCCAAGTTTGCTCTCCTCCTCTCCTCCTTCCTCCTCGTACGTCATCCATCCCTCTTTGCCCTCCACTCAATCCCTTTCTCCCTTTGTTCGCATGGACCCTGAATTGCAGCACAATTGCAATTGCATCTCGATCTGCCTACACAATTGCAAGTCCGTGAGATGCTTGCCTCAAGCATGCCATAATGGTGCAATTTGCATGTGCGCATTTGCACATCCCTTCTTGTCCCTTTGCGCTCTCTCCTGTGTGTGAGCAGGTGTTGGGTGTGGACACAGTCTTGGCGCGCATGGCATTGCTGCCCTCATGGTACACTCCTTCCTTCCAATCAGCATCCATGCAACTTTAGTTTTCCATCCTATGCTGCAATCTTCCGTTCTCAATCCAATCTAAACCCTAAACCGTCACACGATAACACGCCCATCACGGTCCTACTCGCCGCACCCTCTGCCCTTCATCCCTTCACTTCCCTCCCTGCCAGGTACCTGCCTCTCCGAGTGCTCCTCTCCTCCATCGCCCTCCTCAGCCTCGCCACCACTGCTTTCACCATCGTCACTGGCAATGCTATCTCACAATCATCCCCCCCTCCCGCTGCTGCTCCCTCGCAAGATGTTCAACAACCCGTTCATTCCTCCCATCCCTCCTCCGCTCAACCCTTATCTGCTCAACCCGCATTCACCCATCCTTCATCCTCTGACTCCACTCCTTCAAGAAAGTAGTTGGATTGTATGCACTTGTATGTCCGGGCAGGGTGGGAAGCAGACCTCATAGCGTGCAGAAGAAGCATGATTAGCGCTCGTGGATGGGTAGGCCTCAAAGAGTGCAGAAGAGGCCTGATGCATGCTCAAGATGCTAAGAGCTGCTCATGCTAGGGTATGCTATGCATACATGAGCCTCCCCTTCGGTCAAAACAGGGAGGGCCTACTCACTAGCCATGGTTCATGATACACATTCGTGTTTAGTCCCAAATGCATATAGTGGTACTGAAATCAAGTCATAGCGGGGCAAGACAACAAAACTTAAAAAATGATCTGATAGCACAGCGCTGACCCTTGCGCATTGGAATAAACCTTCTATTGGTGCTCTTTTCCAACACCAAGCCATACATTACAGAACAGCTCGCTTTGTTTCCAAAAGGCATGTTCACCAAATGATGGTCTAGCCAGACACATACGGTAGTCTCAGCTGACTTTAGACTTGGAAGGGGCTTTTCGCTTCCTGGATGCTAGCTTGGCTGCAGAGCTGCGCATTCCGAGGTAAACGAGTAGGGCTCCCACCAGAGAAAGATTCTGCAATGGTGGCATGGGGGAGAGGAAGAGCTGATTGGCGCAAAAATCACACGTAGGCCTGATTCGACTGTACAGGGAGCAAAACAAGAGAACAAAATGACATAGCACGGCACCAGCATCATGGGTGACGAACTGCGAGATGCAATTCATGGAAGGTGACAAGATGTCATGCCATTCCTGCAAACTCATTGGAGTTAAAATGCTCAAGGATTCGAATCGGAAAAAAAAAAAAAAAAAAGGGAAGAGATGGGGAGAAGGGACCGGATGAATCCGGTTGGAGGTAAGGATTTAGCATGATTACATTGGTTGAAAAAAAAATGGAGAGGTGGGAAGTTTACCTTAAGGAACTGGATAAACTCGTGGATGTATTCTGCACTGTTAGGCTTGAAGTTGTAGAAGTCGTGCATAATGGGCGTCACTGCCACGAGGAAGAGCAGCTGGCGGGGAGGCAGGAACGAGTTCAAATGGGTGAGAAGATGGGTGAGGGAAACATAATGATTTCAGATGGCAAAATCGGGACAAAATTGATCAGCAAGGTTCGACTCCGCGTAACGAAAAAAATATGCAGATAAGAATATGCAGTAATAATTTAGAGCTAGACAAGTGTATGGAGGTGATAAAAACATGCAGTAATGTGGTGCTAGGAAGGATATGCTGTGCTAAGACAATCATGCACCGCTAGGACGAATTTTGGAAAGACATACCATGGGAACCGTTGAAAGGAAGCACCAGGAATTGTGTGTGTCGCATGACATTTGTAACAAGGTGGTTTTTGAGCAGATTAAAAAGGACGTACCAGGAAGTATGCACCCAAGCTGCTTCCAATCGTAAACAGAATGCCACCCACTCCTTCCAGCACGATGGCTGTCAACAGAAGAATCTTGGGCTGCAACCACAAGCGGTATATAATGGATATAGACGTGGCGCTAATGAATGAATTGAACTCCTGGTGTCGATAGATGACTTCCCTCACAATGTAAAAGCCTGAAACCTACGATGTCAGTCAAAGACACTCCCGGAAACACGGACGTTTCGAAAAGGCACAGAGACTAACGGACGTTACGATGTAGGTGAAGAATGAAACATTGCGAAACTCACGTCAACATGCGGAACGGAGAGACCTAACGAATCCTTCAAGTGATTTTGAAACGTCTCCAGCTTCGGAGTCATGTTCTTCAACGCGGGACCGCCATCGGGACCGAAGTCGTTGAACCTGCGCCAACGTGGATCGGCAATCAGTATTCAGTCATTTTATTCACTAAGATTCAACAAAGCTCGCACGGGCTTGTGCGAAGAAAAATGCATCAGTGTTTAATGCAAGTTCCCACTTTTGCCATGCTGCGAGGATGAAAATGGCGGAAAAGAAGACTCTTCCAATGAAGGACGCGAATCCCATGGCTGGAGCTCTCGAATCGTAGCCACTCGTTGAGCTACTTCTAGAAACCAGAATCGCGATTCCTAGTGCGATATGAGTGAGCCCGTAACGATAATCTAAATCCCTAATGGAGTGTGTTCCGCCGCCAAAGCTGCGCTACAACCGCTTCCAGTATTTGCATAAGTCATCCAGATATTGTACCCCAAGGAGGTGGCAGTGCGTGACTTGCAAATATTTCATAAGACAAGAACATGACGTGACTCCAAGCTCTGAAACTTTCAAATGCACTTAGGCAAAGAGGAACAAATCAAATCAGAGAAACAAATCAAATCAGTATTTTCATTCACACATTGAGATGCACACACACTATTAACACTGACACACTTGAGAACCGCGGAAGAGTCTGCGGCTGTAAACTGAGGCACACAAAGAGCAAGCCACTGCTGGCTTGCTCTTGATCACACAACTCACTAAGCACACTTGCTAATGGCCGCCCTAAAGCCACACAACCTATGCACACAAAAAGGTACAGCAAACCAAAAGCGTTAGGCAAACCAAAAGAGATCAAAAGAAAAAAGTGGGGCAACACTGGGCACCGGGCTCTTTGCCCTGATGGGAAGGCGAGACGCAAATAGGCGCATGTGCAGCCGCACATTGCACACCTGTGAGGGAAGGCAGCTCAGCAGCTGCGGCTCCAAGCCACCGTTTGTTGGCATGAACTTATGGAACAACGGATGACACTAGAAAAGGGTTCCATGAGAACTTGATGGCGTGAGAGTCTTGCGACAAGAAAAGAGGAGAAAGGAGAGCAGTGTATTTATGGCCGGGCGGCGATCTGCCCGCGACTCGCGCCTGAAGCCATGCCAGCGAGCCCCGCAGGCATGCCAGCAGCAGCCGAAAGCTGGTGGTGATATTGCTGCTGCTGCTGCTGCTGTAGGTGCTGTTGCTGCAGCTGTTGTTGTTGCTGCAGCTGTTGCTGCTGCTGCTGGTGCTGCTGCTGATGATGATGTTGCTGGTGCTGCTGGGTCTCATACTGTTGCTGTTGCTCTTGGTGTTGCGAGGCTGCAACTGCTTGAAGCGAGGATGCCATAGACGCGGATAAAGTGATGTCAGACGACGGGGACAGCGACACCTCTCCTTCCGCCCCGAGCAAAGTGCTGCCCCCGCCCCCTCCGCCCAGCAACCCTCCGCCCATGTGTAGCTCCCCCAGGGGCCCCATGATGCCGCCCATGTTCCCCCTTGCAGCAGCGGAGCCCGCGCCATGGGGCAGGGTATGGAATCCGGGCAGAAGCATCATTGCTCCGCCCATCCCGCCGCCCATTCCGCCACCCATTCCGCTGCCACCGCCTGCCACACCACCGCCCACTCCGCCTCCACTCGCGGCAGCCGCGGCTGCCGCAGCGGCAGCGGACATGGAATCCCCCGCGCTCCCCAGCATCCCCATCATGCACGCGCTGCTTCCGCCCGTCGTTCCCGCCAGAAGCATTCCCCCCCCGTGCGGATCCATCTTGATGTCCACGCCCGTGCTCATCGCTGTGCCCGCGCCCATGCTTGCGCTCAAGCCTGCGCCCATGCCCGCGCCCATGCCCGCGCTCATCCCGCCCGGCCCCATGCTCATGGCGAAGGCGCCCATTCCCCCAGCCGCAGCGGCGGAGGAAGTGCCTGGCGGATGCGGCATCAGCGCAAGCATGCCGTGCGGAAGATGCATCGCGGGGAACGATCCGGGGAGGCCGAACCCGTTCATTCCAGCCATCATGCCGCCGCCGTACATGCCCGCGCCACCCAACCCCCCGCCCGCCATGCCTCCGCCGGTTCCCCCCGCCGCGCCGCTGGCGGAAGCTGCGGCGGATGCGGGCACGGAAGGCGGGGAGGAGCGGGGGAGCAGCGAGGGGCTGCCGGTGGAGGGCGGAGAGCCGACGAGCGGAGCGGACGCGCAAGCCTCCCGCGGAGACATGGGCGAAACGGATGCGGTTGCGCCGGACGGCGTTGCGGCGAGCTGGGGAAGCGCGTGCGGGTGCGCAGAATGCGGCAGGTGCGGGGCGGGATGTTGTAGATGCGCCAGCTGCGCCGGCGACTGCGGCGCCAGCTGCGGCGCCAGCTGCGTCACCTGCTGTGCGGGGTACATGGCGAGCGACCCGGCGGCGATGGCAGCCGCCGTGCGACTGTGTAGCGACGAGTGGCGAGTGGGCGGCTGCGACCCCTGACGACGGGAGAGAGAGCAGGGGTAAGAGTAGGGGGGAACACGGAAGATTAGAGGGCAAAGAAGGGAACGACAGCGGGTAAAGAGACACTGGGAACACGAGAGGGTCAACGCGACGCGACCAGCCAAGCGCCTGAGTAACAAATGGTTGGGAACGATAGCGATGGGGGACCCGGCAACGGCTGCACGAGCGACCCGAGGGGCGAGAGAAGGGGCATGAAAGCTGCCGTTAAGAGACAACCCTTGGGGACGCTGCTATGTAAAGCGCCGTAGAAGTACACGGAACGCTGGGCGAAAAACGGTGTGGCAAGGGTAGGCGGAAGGAAAAAGAGAGCGTGGCTCGTACGGGGGAGCGGTAGGTGGTGCCGTCGGACTCGACGACCCAGCCGGCTTCCGCAGCGAGCGCGCGCAGAACGTCGTTGATGTCCGCCCTCGGCGGAAGGTTGTATCCGCCGTACTTCCGCAGCCCGGCAAAGATCTTGGTGGTTATGGCGCGCCGCTGCCGCTCGCGCAGCTTCGTCTTCTCCTTCTCGCTCTCCGTGAGCCTGGACGCGTCCCCGCCATGTCCCCCCTCGCGCTTACACATGGCGGTCGGGGACGGCGACAGGTCTGCTGACGGCTTCATCCACCGGGAAGCGCGCTGCGGCGAGACTGGAGCGACTGAATTTCGAGACTCGAGCGACCGAGCGATTGAGCTGCAGCGTGCAGCGTTCTGGATACCGCTCGGTGCTCTGGTTGCGAGACTCGAGCGACCTATGGCTTCCAGCTCACGCTGGCTTCTGTGGGAATCGATTAGCGAAAAACTTGGCCGCTGATAAGCAACTGAACGCAGCGCGCATAACCATTGAGGGGGGTGGGGCTTAGAAGCCACTAAGGACACGACCAGAAAAGAACACCAGGGACAGGCGGTTGCTAGGGCGGAATCCTTGTTAGCTTGCAATCCTGGTTTTCCCTCGTGTGGCAAGTTGAATGTGGAAAGTGAGCGAAAATGTTTCGGTTGCAGCACCTTTTGCAAACGAGATTGAGAATCGTGCGAGGAAGAAAGGGCACGGGAGGGAGCGAGCCATGGTGGCGTGACTGACAGCAGCAATAGTGGCGGGGCATGGATGAAGCAAGAGGGGGACGAATGCAAGAGACGAGGCAATGCCACTCATAAACCAAACCTATAGCTAGCCCACGTAGTTATCCAAACCCACCTCAACCCATTTAAATCCATTTCAACCTCCAAAGCTCACAGATGTGCTTTTCCCCCAACCTCCATGAGTTCGTTTACCCAGCCTAGTCAGGTCTGGCGGAAATGCAACAGAAGATGACTGCCATGCCACGACTTGGTTGAGAGCCGTTGATACGCGGAGCAGCATTATGCGGAACAGTGGCGGAGATTCTTCTACAGCACGGCAGTCATTGACTGGACAAAAGGGGAAAAAGGAGATTGGGGGAGAGAATGGGGGAATGTTGCTGGATGAAGGCCTGCGCGTAAGAGGAGGTGCGGGTCGGGGACGGGGTATGGGGAAGGGGGAGAGGGTCGACCAGGGGAGTGGATCTGGTGTAAGGAGGAACAGTTTGCGGGGACTGGCGGGGATTGTGGAGAAAGTCGGAAAACATGCGCGCACGCATGCGCGCTCCCGTTTTGACGACGAGCGAAGCACGACCACACCTTATCCGAAAATCTTCCCGAGGTGGCTCGTCGAATGACAGGGAGACACAAGTTGATGATGAGGCTGGGCGATAATTTCCACAATACAGCTCATAGTTTGTCATGGGAAGTTTAATTTGGCTAGTACAGTAATTCATAAAAGTTTCCACGGCTGTTTGGATAAGCAACTGGGATGGGATACGAGAACATGCCAGGTTACGAACGGTGCAAATGTTTCATAGTCGGAGTTTTGAAAGTTGCTCCAGAACCATGAGCTGGCAGATGTTTTTGCCGTGGAACAGACCACCAATCGCAATGATTGAATCGACAAAGGACTCGCACGTGATTGAGCTCGTCAGAAACGAATGTGATTCGTTCCGACGGCCATATGACGCTGGAGTTGATCTGGCAATGGCAGAAGGTGAGTCATTCTCTGATTCATCGGAGATCGGGAATCCCCTCCCAAAATCTTCATTAGAGGGACTTGCGATTCCGTAAAACGCAGGTATGCTAACCTAGAGAACTACCAACTAAATGGAGAAGCATGCTCACAACTCCTTGCTTAAGCATTTACAAATCTACCAAGCCTTACAGGAAATACTGCCAGTACCGTGATTATCTCTGTCGCATTTAGCTATTTCACTCTGTAGACATGCAGGGTATTGATTTGAGCATGTGACGTAAAATCAACTACAGATACGTGTCAGAATTCCAGCCGTTAAACCGCTGGGATAAAATGGCTTGTTTGTATAGCGGGCGAGTGCGCCCATAACCCCTTAGACGAGCGCGCCTGTAAACCCCCTAGGATCAGTCGAGTATCTCACAGTGCAGATCTGCTGACAATACGGAATACAAACGATACAATAGAGCTTGGTAAGGCACAAAGATGAGGAACCGGGATGGGACACATGGGTGAGAGCACAGAGGAACACAGCCATCAAGAGCACAAAACATGAGGGTGCGTTCGGGACAAGACACGTCCCGAATGCACCCTGAGCTCATAATGCAGCACCGCATGAAGTGACTGCCATAAACATTTGCTAACAATAAGTTACAATCATTATACGGTACCAGAACTGCAAAACTGGTGCAAAGACACCATCAGCACATTGAGCAGTATCATCCTTGAGAGTGTGACTGAGGTCGTATTCCTTGCTAGTGTCAATGTTGGCCATATTGGGCGATTTCCCGGGATCAGATTGGTCAATTATGTCAGAATGTAATGGTTGTCTAGCCTGCAGTGGGGTACTCTATAGCGAGTACAGCCCTTCTAGGGTTTGCTATATGTATCCCTATGCTTGTTAGTCAAAATCCTCTTTGCCTATTTCGTTTTCGCCTAGCCTGCTTAACATGCTATAAGAGCAGGTCGACCCTCCTGGGTCGATCCTGTGGGTGGTCCCGCCCGTTAGCTTCCGCTGCTGTTTTCTGCCCCGTCGACCGTGGCGTCGCCCCCAGGAGCCCGTCGCGTCGCCCCGCAAGCCCATCGCGTCGCCCCCAGGAGCCCGTCGCGTCGCCCCGCAGGCCCGTCACGTCGACCCCGGGAGCCCGTCGCGTCGCCCCGCAGGCCCGCGCGTCGCCTCCCCTTCCCGTCGCCCGTCGTGGCGCCCTGGGGGCCCGCGGGCCGCCCTATCCCGTCGTCTGTCACGGCGCCCTGGGGGCCCGCGCGTCGCGCCCCTTCCCGTTGCCCGTCGAGGCGCCCTGGGGGCCCGTGGGCCGCCCTACCCGGTGCCCGTAGCAGCTCCCCAGGGACCCGCGCCCCGCCCCCCTTCCGCTCGCACGCCGCCCCTACGCGCCGCCTGCGTTTAGGGTTTGGGGGTGGCGCGTATGGGGGTGCCGGGTGTGTGCGCCGTCCCCTCCTCCTCCTCCTTCTCCGTCTCCCACTGCTGCAGCTGCCGCTGAGGGGGGTGGGTGTGTGGGAGCCGAGGAAGTGGCGCTAGGGGGGTGTCGTGGGAGTGGAGCTAGGGGTGCAGCAAGGGGGTGTGTGAAAAGTGGGTGGGACAGCTTGGGGAAGTCGAGTGGAGGCCGTCGACTTGTCGTCTGCAGCGCCTGAAGTCCAGAGAGCCACGACCCCCTGTGGCCTGAGTAGTCCGGGGCTATGCGCCTGGTAGCTACAGTGTGTGCACTCATGGGAGCACAGCGAGCCAGCTGCGACCCCCTGTCGCCGTGTAGTCCGGGTTTAGCCTTGTAGCGACAGTACGGCACACTTATGCTGCCCGTGTGTCTGCAGATTCAGCCGTCGCCTCTCATCTTCTTGCTCCCACAGTTTCTCCTCCTCCTCACTTGCCCTCTGTGATAGCCTCTAGCTTTGCTTGTATTTGTGAACCTACTGCTCTGCCTGTTTGTTGTGTTGATTGTACCCCACATTGACTATGGGGTGTGTCAGAATGTACGGTAATGGTTGTCTAGTCTGCAGTGGGGTACTCTATAGCGAGTACAGCCCTTCTAGGGTTTGCTATATGTATCCCTATGGTTGTTAGTCAAAATCCTCTTTGCCTATTTCGTTTTCGCCTAGCCTGTTTAACAAATTACGATAGCTGACACCAAGAGCCTCTTCCGATTCACTTTTAGGGACGTTGATGCATCAGGGTCCCTGTGAAAAAAAGCCTGAATTTTCAGGGTTCCTAAAAAAAAAAAAAAAAGCATGATTTTTCAGGGTTCCGAAAAACAGAAGCCTGAATTTACAATCTCATCATGCATTTTCATACCGTATGTTACAAAACATGCAGCCAAGATATTCGAACCAGCAATCCCAAACGTTCCGTATTAGTTTCGCTAACCACTGAGACAGCGCATCCTGTAAGCGCTCAGTGTCCATACTTTCAATGAAAGTTACTTTGGAAAAGTTGGTTGACTGAATCTTTCTGGTGTTTTACGGGAAGGACTCGGAATGTGCATTCAGTGTACACTTCGATAAAAGTCTGAAAAATCAGTGTTAGCTATGAAATGAAGGCTGGAAAAATCAATGTCACAAAAATCTCAACACTGAAAAATCAGTGTAGGTACACAACACTAGGCTGAAAATCAGGAATTTCAGGGAAAATTTCCTGATATCGTAGGGCCTGCCAAGAGGACTAGTCCTTCCTGTGTTTTCCGAGTTGGTATCATGACCCTAACGACTCTTGACACTTGCCAAGGATACGACCTGAGGTCCTGAGCTCATTGACCACAATAAGACATAGCATAGCCATCTCAGAAGTCTCCTACTTTATGAATAAATCAAATTAGATTTAAGCCCTGAACCCCTGTACCACGCCCTAACTGCATTCCGTATCCTCGCCCCTTTGACATTCATCTTACTCCAAAGCCCGACAAATGTAAATCCATGGTCAGACGTCCCAGGCAGAAATGCCGCCGATTGCGGGTGGCTTTTCACGTACTCTTCCACAGTCCCCAACACATTCACAGCAACAGACAGCACCGAATCCCTCTCTGCGTCTGTACAGTGCTGCATTGGCTTCTGAGCCACTGGAATCACGCTCCTCATGTGGTCGCTCTGGAGCTGGCTGACTGTGATTGGCTGTGCAAGGAGCTCCGACAGGCACGTGTCAGCGTAGGTGAAATCGAGCGGCATCTGGTTGCCGATGACGGCGGCGTGACGGTCGAAGAGGGAGTTGGCGATGAAGACGGGGCGCGAGACGAAGCGCAGGGAGTACTGCGGGAAGAAGCAGCGCCACTGGGTGCTCGAGTTGTACTCTGGATCAAAGATTTGGGGAGGGGGTGGTGAGGGGGTGGGGAACGATGGTTTGAGAGGGCTTAGCAGGATGAGTTCAGTGGAAGTTGAACTGTGGATGGGATGGGGGGGTGGCGGGGGCAGGGGGTTTCTTGGGGGGGGGGGGAGTGTGGGGAGGGACGTGATTAAAGTGATGTTTTGAGACGTCTCAAAACATCTTTTATCCTGTGAGTGGTGCAGCAGCACCAAGAATGTGGGGAAGGGAAGGAGAAGGATTTTTATGCCGTGGGTGCTGCTTCTGCGCCTGCAGGTGTTATGCTGTTAGTATCTCAAGCTTTTGAGACAGGATGCGGGGGAAAGGCAAGGGGAGAAAGAACGCGGGGGGAGGTAGAGAGGGTAAGGAACAGGGGAGGAGGGAGGAACATGGGGGAGTGGAACAGAGGGGGACGAACGGAGGGGAAAGACCAGTGGGAAGGAAATAAGGGGGGGAAGCTACTGGGGGGAAGCGGAAAGCGCGCACCTGCGCTGCAGCGGTCGCTCCCCTGGAACTGGTGTATCGCCACCAGCTTCTGCGCCACTGAGCGGAACCTCCGCCCGCTCTTGCGGTCGCGCGCGTCTGCCCGCGCCCACGGGGAGAGTCAGGTGGGGTGGAAGGGAGGAAACGGGGGGGGGATAAGAGGAAGGGCAGATGGTGGTGTTGGGGGGTGGGGGCGGTCGAAGGGGGAAAGTTGGGGGGAATGGAAGGGGGGGAGGGGGGGGGGGGGGGGGGGAGGTGGGGGTGGGGGTGGGGGTGGGGGTGGGAAAGGCAGGGGAGGGGAAGGCGGGTGAAGTTGAAGGGAAATGCAATGACGGGGTGTGGAAAGAACGAGTGGGACCTCGCGATACAATCACGAGAAAAGCATTCAATGTGTGCAGAACCGTAGGCTCAGGCTCACCGATAAAACACGCCCGAGTCCGAGAGGCACTTAATGGTGGCGCCCGGTAGCTGCCCCGCGATAAAGTCACAAAAGGAGAACTGTACACATTAAATGTGCACAAAACTGTATAGACTTACCGACAAACACGCCCGAGTCCATGAGGCACTTGGTGGTGACGCCCGTGAGAAAAGAAGTGGTTTGGGACATCTCAAAACAGTTTCCGATGGTCACGAATGTAACACTGAAGGTGTGCAGAAACGTAGGCTCAGGCTTACCGACAAACACGCCCGAGTCCATGAGGCACTTTGTGGTGGCGCCCGGTAGCTGCCCCGCGATAAAGTCACAAAAGGTCGTCACTGCCTGCGCGCCCGCCGATGCTCCCGAGAGGAGCACCTGAGAGGCTGACGACATGCCACGTGTCGCCATAAGATCTGCCAGCGCGGCGGACGTCAGGAGCGGACACGGAAAAAGGGGGAACGGAAGGGCGCATGGAAATGAGAAGGCGGGGAAGGGATGGCAATGGAAAGGGTATGGAAGGGCAGGGGGATGAGAAGGCGGAGAAGTGCCAATTGGGAAACAACGGGGGATCAACGGGGGATCAACGGGGGATTAATGGGGTATGGGTCAGGGAAAGCTGGAATAGCAGTGTGGAGAGCAATGAACGTTTAGGCGACGACTGAAATTGCAGCAATAGCGGGGACGTTCCGCCTTATTGAAAGTTTTGTTTAAGAATAAGAAAATAAATCAACAAGCATTATAGTGGGCCGAATTACCCATCCGCATACTCAGCAGCGAGAAATCAGTAATGATCACTCTCGAGGCGCACCTGATTGAAATTATACACTCCTACGCTTACACGCCTAAAAGTGCAAAACAGAAAACACACATCAGATTTCTCACCTCTAAGAATCGCACGGAGAACCTTCCGACCATCGAGGTACAGCGACGGACCGCCCTCCACCGATCTCAACCCCGCCTTCCCTTGAAACCCACCGCCGTCGCAATACACGGGCATGACATAGTTCCAGTTAAAGAACAGCGGATTAGTCTTCGCGAGCGGGCTCATCATTCCTTTGTTGAGAAACTTGGACCAGCGCCAGTTCTTGTCCGCCTGCATGCGCGTGCTCCCCAGCGGCGTCTTCGCGCGGTCCGCGCAGTCCTCCATGGTCGCGCACCACCCGCCGATGGGGAGGTGGATGTGCCACGACTTGGCGCCGCTGCCGCTGCCCGGCCGGAAGTAATAACCCGGAGGGCTGGGGGGCGTAACGCGGAAGGGGGAGGAGAAGGGGCGCAGGGATGGAGGGAGGGGAAGCGGGGTGGGCGGAGGTTTCAGTGTGTTACAAATTGATGCGACTCATACTTCGTAGTGGTGTTTTCGCGCGGTCCGCGCAGTCCTCCATGGTCGCGCACCACCGCCGATGGGCAAGTGGATGTGCCACGACTTGGCGCCGCTGCCGCTGCCAGGGCGGAAGTAGTAATCCGGGGGGCTGTGGGGCGGGAGAAGCGCGGACAGGGGAGGGGGGAGAGGCGCGGGGAATTGGTGTTTTTACATTGGGTGTCGTAACGATAGGCAGGTGCATGTGCCACGACATGGCTCTGCTGCCGCTGCCCGGACGGAAGTAATGACCAGGGGGGCTGCGGGGCGGAACGCACGGGGGTGGAACCAATTACATAAAAACCCGGGCTTCATAAAATCGTATATCAGCTATACATCGCTTCATGATAAAGGCGACTAATTTCCCAACAAACGTCACTGAAGCCTTTACTGGAAAACGTTTGCCTCATGATACAGGCGACTAATTCGCCCGTGAATATTACCAAAAAACGTGAAAAGTCAAAGCATTATTGCGCGGATTTCGTTGCTAACATCTCTACCGCAGCTCGTGTTCGCGACGAAAGTCAAATCAGCTTTCATCGCGTATAGACCCACCCCGCGGCGGCTGCTACAGTACAGGCGACCTCCTTCGGCCGCCTGACTTTCTTTGAGGCGCCTTAAAATACAAAGCCCGCCTAACTTTCGAGATTCTAAATGGCTGCTCTGCTATGGCTGCTCTGCTAGACACACCTGCCGTCGAGGCATTTCGTTCCGAGGTCATTGTTGGGCAGGAGGTAGATATTCGCATTGGGAACGCCCGACGGGTCGGTCGACTTTTGAGACGTCTCAAAAAAAAAAAAAAAACCTACCTGCCGTCGAGAGATTTAGCACCGAGGTCGATGATGGGCAGGAGGTAGAAATTCGTGTTGGGAACGCCCGACGGGATCGGACGACTTTTGAGACGTCTCAAAAAAAAAAAAAAAACCTACCTGCCGTCGAGACATTTAGCGCCGAGGTCGTTGTTGGGCAGGAGGTAGAGATTCGTGTTGGGAACGCCCGACGGGATCGGGCCCATCGACGCCGACGCACTAGCAGACGCGGCAGCTGCTGATAACTGCGCTAGAAGCGCCACGGCTAAACAGACTAGTGCTGCTGGTGGTGCCATTTCCTAGCGTCTACGAGATTGAGTTCACTAGATTTCCTAATCTACGTTGGATCGTGAAGAAAAGCAGCGGATCGAGTATTGTCCGACGGGTCAGTGTCTAAGCAGCTTTGCCTAAAGCGACGTAGTAACCACGTTCACATGGAGCGTGATTAAGCAGCCCACGGCCTTTCGACGGCCCCGTAGCGCATGACGAGCGTTTGACTACGAGATCTAAACGAAGGCGGACACCGATGAATTGTGATTACATTGGAAAGTGATGTTGACGAAGGGTCGTCGAATTTATGTAATCACTAGCCAAAGACTCGTCGGTGGGGAGGGGGAGACGGGGCGGGAGCACGGCCAATAGGACTAAGAATACCTGTGTGAGGTGCTGAATAAACCTGAATACTGTACTAGAATGTGCCATGCTGGGGAAACAATGCGTGTGGAGAATGGAATGAGAGCTTCGGCCACACGCCCAGCTTCTGTGCTGGGTGATTGACCAACATCGCGTTCCCGAGCAATGACACAGCTGAATTATTGCGCCCTTCTGTGTTTCTCATTTATTACGCCTACTTCCCCTAGAAAAGCTTGCTCAAAGGCTTCCCCAAATTTACGAAATTCAGTCTACCTCGTACATCTAATATTTTTTCGAAATGCTTTCCAGCATAACTCGTGCTTTTCAAAGCGGTAAACTCTATGGGATGTGATTTCATCTGGACAGTTTTCAAACTTCGGTTGCTGCAGTGGACTTCCGAGCGATACAGTGGGGGTTGATCGCGTTTCACTGAGCCGCGCAATGGCGTGATGGGATGGGAGTTATGAGCCACATCGAGTCTGTCCCTTGTCTGAGTGTGCGAAACTATCTCGCCAAGCCATCTCTCCGGATCATCGCTTTCGTTTGCGTACAGAAATGAATCGCAACTATATCTCGCGAGAAAACGAATCTGATGTGGCATTCGTTACTTTGTTTTTTTCGTCAAAGTCCCGGACCAGCTTTGATGGGCATTGTCCTCGGAACAGAATCATAAGCACTGCACCAGTTTCGTCGGGTGTCTGCGGTTCGAGAGAGAAATTGAATTGCGACTCGCGATAAATCTCAAAAGAAGTGGCGCACTACCCGGCACACAACCAGGTTGGAGTGTCGTGATTCCTTGTGGTTGCTGCGATACGCGTTGGATGGCGGGAATGTGAACTCCCGCGACGCAAACCCGATTCCATTCGAGACGAAATTGTCCTCGTCGTTAGCGATCTCGGGAGGGATGTACTGAGAAAGGGAAAACAAAAGACATGTATGGAGGGGAGGATCACCATTATTATCAAAGAAGCCATTTGTCATGTAAAAACTTCAATAAGAGAATTCCACTTTGGGTCACATAAACTGAGCTATCAGATGTGTAATCAGGAATGTATAGACCACGTTAAGCTTTTATGAAGCAACTTCTAATCAGGGTGGCAATCTTTCCCTTTACCTAGTGGATACAATCAATCGACATACTTATAGAGCTTGCATAAACAACCTGCCAACCCAAATCAAAAATAGAGCTTTCCTCCTGAAAGCTTTCCCTTGAACCATTGTACAACTGCATCTTTCATGTATGTATTATTATGCGGGGGGCTAAACCACTGAGATGTGGTGGTTACACAGTGACCCACGCAGTCGGTCGCTAGAAACGCCAAGACATTTTTCTCGTTGGCCACCAAACTCTTCAGCCTTATGAACAAATCTGAAACTGTAGACTGTATTTTACTGCGGGATGTGGAGTCACACTCTCCCGGCTTCGCATTGAAAGGCTTCCATTGGTTGGCAGCCACAGCCATTTGCAGGTCCTTTTGCCACCATATGATTTGCCGAAGGCACCTGTTGTTGACTTGATATGTGGTATTCCGCAGAAGGTTATACAGTTGAAGGGTGGTGTAGTCGAATAGAGCGTTGGTGATGAAAAATGGCCTTGAGACCGCCTTTAAAGAGTATTCCGGAAGTATGCATTTCCATGGTTCTGCACCAGTGGCTGGAAGCACAAGCAAAAGAGAACAAACGCGTTATAGAGAGTCAAAGCTCAATGCATTATGTGCGGTTTTGTAACAGGTGGTGCTTACCTCGGCTGCATTTGCTGTCGGTGAATCGATGCAGGGAAGCAACACTCTGTATGGTTGACCTGAAAGTGAAGCTGTCCTGCAAGTCCTTAGCGTCTGGAGGGGAAAGGGGGAAGGGGGGGAGACAGTGTTGCTTATAAGTGCACAATCCATCAACCACTTGCTGACACAGTGGTACCGTTGTGACACAGTGGCAGCGTTGGAGTATTCATAGTCCCCCAGGGAAGCCGCCATACGTGCACCACGCCGTTAGCCGCCCAGTTACTGCGCTGCCCTCTTACCTAAAAATAAAGTGCTGTGGAAGAAGCATTCCACGTCGGCCTCGGGATTTGAGACGTCTTTAAACAACACCGCGCTGCCCTCTCACCGAGGACGCCCAGTCAAAGCGGCACTTGACGTTGGCCTTGGGATATGAGATGTGTAACGCGCTGCCCTCTCACCTAGGAAGAATGCGCCGTCAATGAGGCACGTGACGTTGGCCTTGGGATTTGAGACGTTAGCCTTTAACCCTTACCATGCTGCGCTCATACCTAGGAAGAACGCCCCGTCAATGAGGCACTTGACGTTGGCCTTGGGGTGTGCCGCGGCAATGGAGTCGCAGAGGCGCGTGACTGGGAAGCCCCCGGCGGAGCAGCCTGAGACGAGGATCCGCGACGCCGCCGCCATCCCTTTCTGCGTCCGATTGAGGTCTGCGCGCGGGGGAAAGGGAGAAAGGAGAGGAGGGAGGAGGGGAAGCCCCCGGCGGAGCAGCCTGAGACGAGGATGCGCGACGCTGCTGCCATGCCATTCATTCGGTTGAGGTCTACGCGTGGGGGAAGGGAGAAAAGAGAAGAGATGGGAGGATGAAGAAGGGAGAGGAGAGAAGGGAGAAGGGAGAAGGGAGAAGGGAGGACGGAGGAGGGAGAAGTGAGAAGGGAGAAGGGGAGTGAGGTGCTGAAATTTACGGCGAAAGGGGATCATCAGCTGGCATTTACCGAGCAGAGATAAACACTCTACACCCCACCATACTACCGACAAGCGTGCTTACCACTAAGCACGGCTTTAACGATCGCGTCGCCCTGCATGAACAGCGCAGCGCCTTTCCCCTTGCCCTTCACCGCAACCCTCCCAGCGCTGCCCGCGTAGCCCCCGCCATCGCAGTAGGCGAGAAGCGCGAGGTTCCAGTTGTAAAACAGCTTGTTCTCTGGCTGGCGGGCAGATAAAATTCCTGTCATCTGCTCCCCCACCCATGATCCCTGAAGGAAAGAGGGGAGAGATGGTGGTGCGGTGCCGCACTACTTTTGTTGAATCAGAACCCTCACATGTGAGACGGGATATATTATGATTCACCCCTGGCAGGCGTGGGATATTAAAAAATTCGCCCACCTCCTTTTTCTGCGGCCCTTCTAGAATACCCTCCGTTGCTGTCAACATTCGCCCCCTCGTAGCTGTCACTCTCTCGCGCGTGAGTCCCACTCACCTGCGACGATCGCGGCATGTACTTCGTCGATCCGAGAAAAGTCGTCGCGCGGGTCGCACACTCGTCGCGCGTTGCACACCATCCGCCGCCAGGGAAGTGGATGTGCCACGACTTGGCTCCGCTGCCGTAGCCCACGCGGCGGTAGTACCCAGGCGGGCTGCGGGGGGGGCGTGGCGTGAAGGGAAAACCGCAACAGTACGCTACCGTTAAGCAACCGCGGTGTCCTAGAAGGGCAGCTGTCGATACTATACTGCCTCCCTGCCGTAGCCTACGCAACGGTAGTACCCAGGCGGGCTGCGGGGCGGGCGTGGCGTGAAGGCAAAACCGCAACAATACGCTACCGTTAAGCAACCGCGGTGTCCTAGAAAGGGCAGCTGTCGATACTATACTGGCTCCCTGCCGTAGCCCACGCAACGGTAGTACCCAGGCGGGCTGCGGGGAGGGCGTGGCGTGAGGGGAAACCTCGACAATACAGTCGCTCGTTTAGTGCCCTGGAAAGTGCATTCCTCGACTTATTCCAACAAACTATCCTCCGACTTCGAGGAATGTTGAAACAGTCTCTTGGCACAGATCGTTTGTGACTCACGCGGCGGTAATACCCATGCGAGCTGAGGGGAGGGGAGCAAGAGTCATGGAGCAACTGATAGAGACAGCTGAACAAGTCGTTGCGGAAATGAACGAGGAATTTTCATTGTCGCGGCGGCCTGAATTTTTGCACCTGCCATCGAGGCATTTCGCGCCGAACGAATTATTGCGCAGCAGAACGAGCCGCGCGATCCCGTCACTGCCCTGTACACCGTCGACATTCGCGCTCGCCCTGGCCTTGCCTGCCGAACTCCCCGTTGCACCGCTCGCCTTACCGCTGCTCTTTCCGCTTCTTTTCGCGCCGCTACTAGAAGCTTTCGCGAAACCTACGAGGAAGAGGGAGAGGGCCAAGCACAAGCACAGCCGCAACATTTGTCGCCATCGGCCCGATCGTTCTCGCGCCACCCGCCCTCTCTCGATCCCTGGATGCGCTCGCATCTTGCCCTTACGCGCCTCTTCGCACCGTTCCTCGCCCCTCTACGCCCCTCCTCGCCCTTCCTAGACCCTCCTCGCCACTCCTAGCCCCTCCTCACTCCCTGTTCAGCTCGAGGCTTCCTTTCAGTTCAACACTTTCTTAACGCTCCTCAATGCGTCGTCGAGCTGATTGCAGGGAGAAGCAAACGCAACCTAGTTTGAGGAATCACGAAAACTGGATTCCATTCCACTGAACAGCAAACTAGTAAGCACTGCTACCTACACAAATTCTACGCTCCGACGCTCCTCAGCATCTGTGCGCACGAGCATTTGTGCATCCTAAGTCGGCTCAAGCACCTTCCCTCCAGCACCAGCCGATTCCAGGAATGTCTGGTTTCGTGTATCGCGGTCCGCGATCCAGTGGTATATGTTCCAGCAGCCTTCTGCTGGTGACCCCAGCAGCCTAACAACCGACATGACAAGAACACTGAAAGGCAGATCAACCAGCCTCGCCCAGCCCTGGGCGCCGACCGTCTGTTGTGGTGAGGAAATCTGCGCCCATTTGAAATAAGAGGCTCGAGTGGCTGTGGATTTACGGCCTGATGTGGGACGTTCAAGCACGAATTCCGGTGTCGCGGATTTTGCTTGAATGCGCTGCGGTTGATCTGTGGTAGCAAGGGCTGGTTTGAAATGTTTGACGCATCCGTAGCTGACGTGGCACTCCACCAGTTGCCGAACGTGTAATCGAAACCAACCAGGGTACCCAGGGCTGGCCCATGAACTATTAATGACCGTTCGATGCCCTCAAAACCTTGCAGAAACCCTAATCAAGGGTTTCCAGAGTTTTGCGACACAAGGGAATTGACGACGAATGCGGAGTGTTGGAGTAAGTGGTGTAATGACCTGGCGTAGTGCAATTCGTGAGATCACAATGTTGCGCCTCCAATAGACAGACATTCTCGTCGCGATATCAAATGACTCGCAAATCAATATCGAGGATAATCTGTAGAGCATCGAATACGCTAAATGCCTATGGAGCTCGCAAGCAACACCAACAACATGTAAATTATACTTAATCACTCCCTAGATTTCTATCTTCAAGCATACAGCATCGGTGGATCACGACCCCCCCAGGCCACCCATTGAGCCACAGCCACATGAATCGGAGTCCTATCAACCTTCACCGCACTCCACATCCATGAAGTAACGGTGCTGTGCGCAATGAGCGACACTGGCACAAACGCACCAAACCCTTTCTTAGACTGTACTATTTCAATTATGCTACTGTACACTGCTGCTGCTGTACGCTGTGCTACACTGCACTCTCTTTCTGTGCACCAACCAGTGGGACCCTCCAGCGGCGGCCGAAATAAATGTGATTGTAGTGAAGCCAATAAATTAGGTTGTGACCTAACTAACCTCCGAAGACAGCCTAACGGGTTGGTGGTGTTGGGAAGCTGGTTACCAATCAGGAGTGATACCTTGTCAAAGGCAGGGTTGACGATGAAAAAAGGAGAGGAGGCGAGGGGGAGGGCGTATTGGGGAAAGAAGCATCGCCACCGCTCAGACGCAGGAGTCACTGCAGGCAGGCACAAGGAAGTGGCAGGGAGATGGGTGGGAGGGGGCAGACACAAACACATGAGACATGATAAGACAGAGAAAAGGACGGATACATACGAAGGGGAAAAAGCTGTTCTTTGAAGGCGCTTCAAGCATTAGAATAGCGCCAGGTACACCGGCGTAGAACCTGGTTGCATGGGAGCAAGTGGGCCCACCTTTATCGCACGCAAGTTCATAGGCACCTCAGAGAACAGTTACCTTGATCGCAGCGAGATTGCGGGGAGAACTGGTGTAGTACTGAGACCTGCTGGGCCAGGCGCTGAAAGTGCATTCTGCCATTTCGGTCAGGGGCGTCTGGTGGGGGGGAGGGGGGTGGGAGGGGCGTGGGGGTACAGTGGAGAAGTGGGGAAAGGGACTAGAGACTGAGGTAAGGGAAGGAGAGAATGAGGGAGATGGGAGAGAGAACGAGGGGAGGTGAAGAGGATGGGGGCAGGGGGGAAGCAAGCTTATGGTTGAAAGCAGGTGCTGGTGAGAAGGTCGGCGATTCCAGGAGGAGATCAATGACTCGCCTACTGGGTAGAAAGAGTGACATCTCCCAGAGGAAAGAATGAGGAGGGGGGCGCACCGGGGAAGAAGGAGCCATCGAGGAGGCATTTGACGGTGGCACGGGGCAGCAGTGCAGCGAGGGAGTCACAGAGGCGCACCACTGCCAGCCCCCCCGCCGAGGTGCCCGAGATGAGCACTGTGCTTGCCCTCATCAGCGCTCGGTTTGCTAGCAGGTCTGGTGAGGTGAGCAGCGGTGAGAAGAGATGTGGGAGAAGAAAACGAGAGAGAGAGGAGAAATGTGAAGAGTGGTGCGAAGGGACCAGAACTCATGCTCTTGCGTGTCTCTGTTACTACACGAGCAGACCATCAAGGTACGGGCAGGCGCCACTACCCTTCCATGGCACCACACAACACATCCCATGGCACCACACATCCCATGGAACCACACATCCCATGGAACCACATATGTCAGACAACTGAAAGAATCTCACTCGCATCTTAAAACAAAACGCAGCAGTCAACGCACCGTCCATGATAGCGCTGACGATCCTGCTGCCATCCATGTGCACGTATCGCCCCTCCCCCACGGCCACGCGCCCAGCTGCTCCCGCATAGCTGCCCCCATCGCAGTAGACTGGCATGGCCAGGTGCCACCCCGCAAAGAACGGGTTTGTCGCCCCGTTGCTGCTCAAAATGCCCCCGAACCGGCCCTGCACCCACGAGGCCTGGGGGAGGGAGAGCACGGTGGAGGGAATTGAGGCCTAAGGGGCGGTTGAGAATCACATGATGAAGCTAGCAGTTTATTTTGACTGGCAGCGGTTCATTTCGAGCAGCAACGGTTATTTCTTTGAAGAGTTGCTGCTGCCTGAGATGCACTCGAGCCAAGTCAGAATGGCGGAAAGGAAGGAGAGACTGTTGGGGGGCAAGACGAATATTTACATATGCTGGAGGAACACCTGTCCATGCGCAAGTGCCGTAGATGCTTCCACTCACGTTATTGGTCGGCGGCCACATGGTGGTGCCGCCCAGCAGCCGCCCGGCCCGCCAGCTGCACTGTCTTTTGTTGGCGCACCACCCGCCGCCCGGAAAGTGGATGTGCCACGAGGTGACGCCCTCCGCAGGTGCCGCCCGCAGGTAATACCCTGGCGGACTGGGATAGATGCAAGGGGGACATGCGGAGAAGAGGGGGAGGGGGGAAGGCGGAAGGGGAATGAGGGAGCGAGGGGGTGGGGGTGTAGAAACAGTCTATTCGCTGATCAATATGGTGGTCTATGAAGAGCACATGATGGTTGACAAACAGTAGCAAATAGTTCCTTCTTTCCGGCCACAAACTTTGTCAACCACATTTCTGGAGCATTTGTTAAGGGTTATCGTGTAGAAGATTCCACTGCATACCTCCCATCCAGGCATCGCGCTCCGTATTTATTCTCCGGAAGAAGAACCAACGTGGCGAGACGTGGTTCGCTCGCCGCTCGTCGCGCCGCTCCTAGCCGCAACGCGCTCAGACTTGAAGGGCACACCGCCAGGAGGATAAAAAACGTCGCGGCGATTTGCCATGCCACGTGGACGGCTGGGATTCGATCAAGACAGTAGATTTTGAAGCCTCGCATCACCGAGATCGACGGGTAGAGAGTCATGATGGGATTTTAGATGCGGCGCGAAAATCGCGCCAGATAACAACGCGGCTTCAGCGTGCGAGATAAGGCGATGGAAATTTGGAAGAGATGACAGAGGAAGAGGCGATAGGGGAATAGGTGATAGGGAATGGCGGTACGGGCGGCGTGAAGCGTGAGGTGAAAGGCGAGATCGTGAGATCAGGACTCGACGGGCCGCTGCCGAGGATAGATCGTCAACGGGGACTCGTGGGACGAACGCCATGGCGGAAATAAGTCGTCTATAAATAGGCGATTCTGCAGCAACTAGCTTGGCGAGTACATATCAACACGTTACGGTTAGTGGTTGTTCGCCTGAAAGCTATTGGCTGAGTGTCCGAACTGTCTGCACTGCAATTGGACACGCGTAGCTGCGTGATTGGCTGAAATTCACTTGATGACTGGCGGTACGGAGTTCCCTAAGCAGACTTCTAGATAATCCGAATCGGGCGACGAAGTTGAGAAGACAGGTGCAACAGCGACAAGAGGTTGGCGCCGGTCGGCTGTTGGTAGCCATTGCTTGAAATTGCCGGTGACTGGGAGCATCTGGTTTGGGGAAATGAGGCGGGGAGGGTGTGTGTTGGGTCAACCGCCGCCATAACTGCTCTGGTTTGGACGGAGTTAAATGGTTCGTCTGGTGTGAAATGATTTTTTGTTGTACAGTCACCATTTTGCATGAACCACATAGTAAGTCAGATTATAAGCTTTTATCGAGGATTTTCTCTGACGTGCCGCACTACCTTCCGGGCAAGCCAGGTCTGGAGGAGGTTGTGTGGCTTTGGTGCTTCGCGCCAACCGAACCTGTAAAATGCCCACCAACCAGCACAGTCGGCCCAAAGGTTGGACGAAGTCCTGGCTGTGAATACCTCGAAAATTGTAACATTCATATCCGCGCCTGTTCAAGGCAATGCGAGACCTTGGACTGCACTCGCTTCACTTCGCGAATGCAATCCCGAAGCACAGCAATCCCAAATGCCCCGCGTTGGTCCTTGGGACTGTCTTCCACTGTGGGGTGTCCGCCTTCCGCCTACACCACCCCCCAATCTCCCCTTCGGTCGGGGAATCCCGGTGGGTCTTCCACCGCATTGTCCTTTCTTTCGCGCTTCTCTGGGACTTTAGTTGGCTGTGACTTGCCAGTGGAGCAGGAAGTTCAGTTCAGGCTTCACGACAAGGCCTTCAGTCCCGCACAGCTCCGCAACCGTTGCAGCGAGAGGCTGGCTGTCTGTCCGCACTCTGCCTCGTCGCTCGCTGCAAGTGCGGAAGCTTTGACAGGACGGCTAGACTGATAGAGCTTTGTCGCTTGCTCCGCTGTTCGAACTGAGGCAGTCACAGAGGGCGTTGGATCAATCAAACCACGTCGCTTGCGTAAAATTCCGGCTTTTTTTCTCGTTCCTCGCCGTTATTTTCCGCCCGTTTCTGTGGTCTCTCTCCGCGCCTCTCGAACGTCATGGCGACTGTCACAGTGACACGTGGCGGGCCTCAAGCGGCAGTAGCTCTAGCAGCCTGCGCGGCGGCCGGTACGGCCTGCCTCGTGTGGGCCCTCCGTGGTCGTTACCTCCAGGTTTTCCTCGGGACAGATCCCGAGAAAGGCAGAGGGAATGGCGGGAATGGAGAGAAGGAACGGCAGGGAGTCACGCTGACGTCACTGAACCACCTGATCGCGTTGACGGGTGACAGCTGGCACTCCTCGCTTCAGCGGCTCGCGATTGGACAGATGGTCATCGGCGTGAGTAGTGACAGTAGAATCACCCAACAAGTGTGCTATGAAATGTAGCTCGTTATTTGCGTTAAGTCCGAACTTGAAGACGATTGATCACTTCGCTCAGTACCAACTAGGAGCATCAGACGATTGATCACTTAGCGAGGCGATCAAGAGTAGCGGCAGTGGTTAACAAATCCGTTAACAATCTAGAGCACTTGTGACGTTGTCCCTCCTGCCCCACATTTCTCATCACCGTTCCCTGCAGTTGAAGCTCACCAAAGAACCGAGACTCGCAGCCATCCCCTCGCCGCTGCCTGACTCACTCGCCATGCTGGCATCTCTGCGTGACGTGGACCTGTCGGCCAATGGGCTTTCGACATTCCCCGACGCCCTGATGTCCGTTCCTGAGCTCAAAAAACTGAATCTTTCGAGAAACAAACTCACAAGGTAAGACTTGGGATGTCATGAAGCTCTTCGAAAACTTGAACGCAAGCGAAGTGTTAAGATAGCAAGCGCTTTTCTGGAGCAATTGTGAAATTTCCTGGTTTCTTAGTTCTCTTCCTCTCGCCTTCTCGTCCTCGTCCTTTACTTCCCTCTCCCTCTGTCCCTCCTCCCTTCCTTCTCTCCCCAGCTCGCACAACCGCGCTTGCTCGCCTTCATCAGTTTCTCCATCCCCTCCCTCCGTCCGTCGCCCTCCATTCCTTTCCCTCCAATCCACTTATCCACTCTCATCCTCTCTTCGCCACCCCAACCCTCAGTCTTCCTCAATCAATTCGCCAGCTCGCCCACCTGGAGCACCTGGACCTGGGCCGAAACCACCTGCCAGGTGTGCCTGAGGAGATTGGGCACCTGACGAAGCTCCTGACGCTCAACCTGATGTGCAACCAGCTGGAGAGCCTACCTGAGAGCATCGGGCGGCTCACGAGGGTGTTTCGCCTGGGGCTCAAAAGCAACAGGCTCAGGTGCGGTTGCAGAGCGGTTAGCGTAGGTGCAGCTTTTGAGGCGCATCAAAAGTCGCCTGGATATTAGAGCAACAGGCTCAGGTGCGGTTGCAGAGCGGTTAGCGTAGGTGCAGCTTTTGAGGCGCATCAAAAGTCGCCTGCATATTAGAGCAACAGGCTCAGGTGCGGTTGCAGGGCGGTTAGGTCAGGTGCAGCCTTTGAGGCGCCTCAAAAGTCGCCTGGGGCTCAAGAGCAACAGGCTCTGGTGCGGTTGCAGAGCGGTTGGGTTATATGCAACCTATAATTCCACCCACAGTTCATCCTTAATCAAAGTTCACTTCACCATACAGACGCCCACCTCACCTCCCCGCCCTGCCTAGATCCATAGTCACCTCACAGTCTTCTTTCTGTTCCCCCCTTCCCTCCCTTTCACTCAGCGCCCTGCCCTCATCAATAGGCGGCATGACCTCTCTGGTGGAGCTCTACCTGACGGACAATCGCCTCACCGGTCTGCCTGACTCCATCGGCTGCTGCACCAACCTCGTCAAGCTACAGGTCAGCTTTCCACCCGCGAGCCCCAGCCTTCTCCCTCCAGTCTCTCACCGTCAGACTCAAAATAGAGTGCATACACAATCTTGAACGTGAGAAATGCCACGAGAGTTTCTCCCTTGACTTCACTCTCTCTCTCTCTCTCTCTCTCTCTCTCTCTCTCTCCTCTCTCTCTCTCTCTCTCTCTCTCTCTCTCTCTCTCTCTCTCTCTCTCTCTCTTTCTCCATTCATCCACCAGGCCTCCTTCAACCAGCTCTACGCCCTGCCGGATTCCATGGGCCGTCTCACTCGTCTTGAGCTGCTCCGTCTCGCAGCCAACAACCTGCACGCCCTGCCCTCATCCCTCGCGCTGCTGCCCCGCCTGGCGTGGCTGTCGCTCGCCAGCAACCCCTTCTGCCCGCCGCTGCCGCCGCACCACCAGGGGGTGGAGGATATTCCCTTTGGGGAGCTGCAGCTGGGGAGGAAACTGGGCGACGGTGCAAGCGGTGAGTCTCCCTCCTCGTCCTGCCCCTCTCCCTCCTCGCCCTGCCCCTCTCCCTCGCTCACCGCCGCACCACCAGGGGGTGGAGGATATTCCCTTTGGGGAGCTGCAGCTGGGGAGGAAACTGGGTGATGGCGCCAGCGGTGAGTGCCTTGTGTTCCCGTGTGTCATTAGCTATGTGTGTCTACTTCCCTTTTGCAAAGGGGAAAGACACACTTTAATTCTGCAAAGCTGCTGGTCAGGTCAAGCAGTACTGCCAGCTGCTGGTCAGGTCAAGCAGTACTGCCAGCTGCTGGTCAGGTCAAGCAGTACTGCCAGCTGCTGGTCAGGTCAAGCAGTACTGCCAGCTGCTGGTCAGGTCAAGCAGTACTGCCAGCTGCTGGTCAGGTCAAGCAGTACTGCCAGCTGCATTGTTTGTGATGTGCTCTTCTCCTTGCTCCCTTCACTCCCCTCTCTACACATCCCCTTCCCCACATGCCACCAGGTGACGTCTACGCAGCAGTGTGGCACAGGCACGAGGTGGTGTTCAAGCAGTTCAATAGCGAGACCAGCCCAGACAGGGCACACCTTCCATCCATCCGTTCCTCTCTCCCCCTTTCCGTTCTCTCCCCTCCTTTCGTCATCCAATTCACCAGGTGACGTGTATGCAGCAGTGTGGCACGGGCACGAGGTGGTGTTCAAGCAGTTCAACAGCGAGACCAGTCCGGACGGGCGGGCAGTGGATGAGATCGCCATGACTGCTGCTGTCGACCACCCCCACCTCGTGCAGGTGCTGATGGGGGGGGTGCTGCCTGGGAGGGAGTGTTTGCTTGACGGGTGGGATGAATGAAGAGGTTGTGCAGTGTGCAACCATGCATGGGGTGGGACCCTGGCGGTGCGGGTACTGCTTGGGGGACCGGCGGGCAGTGGATGAGAGAGTTCGATATGACGGCTGCTGTGGTGGACCATCGCAGTGCCGTCATGTCGTTCTCACCTCGTGCAGGTGCTGCCTGGGGAGGGGTGCTGCCAGTGGTGCTGCTAGTGGAGGGTGCTGCTCATGCGGCAATCCTTCACTCATGGTTCGAAGGGCTGCTCATGCGGCAATCCCTGCCTGCTCCCTTTCTGCTCCACATACGCATTCCCCCCAGCCCCTCTCACTCCCCCTCTCACTCCCCCTCTCACTCCCCCTCTCACTCCCCCTCTCACTCCCCCTCTCACTCCCCCTCTCACTCCCCCTCTCACTCCCCCTCTCACTCCCCCTCTCACTCCCCCTCTCACTCCCCATCTCACCCCCCTTCTCTGCCTGCCATCTGCACCCCTTCCGCTCCACACATCCGTCCCTCCCACCCAACCCTGCTCACTCCCCTTTTTCGTCCCCCTTGTGTTGCTCTCCCTTCCTGTCCCCGCCCCTGCCAGGCAGGTGGAGGCAACAGTGGAGCAGCCCCACGGGTTGGGTTGGTCATGCCTCTTGCTCTTCTCCCCTTGTGCTTCACACACCCGTTCCCCCCAACCCTGCTCACTCCCCATCACTACCCTTCTCACCCCTGCCTGGCAGGTGGAGGCAACAGTGGAGCAGCCCCACGGGTTGGTCATGCGCCGCGTGTTTGGCAGGTGGGTGCAGGGGAAGGTGGGTGAAGGGGGAGGTTGTTGAAGGGGGAGGTGGGTGCAGGGGGGAGGTGGGTGCAAGGGGAGGTGGGTGCAAGGGGAGGCGGGTACAGGAGGGGGTGGGTGCAAGGGGAGGCGGGTACAGGAAAGGGTGGGTGCAAGGGGAGGCGGGTACAAGAGAGGGTGGGTGCAAGGGGTTTGAGGTGTAGTGGGCGGGGAAGGAAGGTGAGGTGCGATTAGTGAGGCGGAACATATCTCTGAGGGACGTGGAATGGAAACCCCTTGTACTCTTGCATGTTCCCTCGCCCATTCTCCTCTCCCCCCTTCCACATACCCCTCCCTCCAATCCACTCCCTCAGGGCCATGGCAGACCCACCCAATGGTGAATCGCCGTTGCGCTGCCGCTGGCCTCCCTCCGCCTCCTACTCACACTCTGTGCTCACATCCTCCCATCTCTCTGCCCCTTCCACATCTCTCTGCCCCTTCCACATCTCTCTGCCCCTTCCACATCTCTCTGCCCCTTCCACATCTCTCTGCCCCTTCCACATCTCTCTGCCCCTTCCACATCTCTCTGCCCCTTCCACATCTCTCTGCCCCTTCCACATCTCTCTGCCCCTTCCACATCTCTCTGCCCCTTCCACATCTCTCTGCCCCTTCCACATCTCTCTGCCCCTTCCACATCTCTCTGCCCCTTCCACATCTCTCTGCCCCTTCCACATCTCTCTGCCCCTTCCACATCTCTCTGCCCCTTCCACATCTCTCTGCCCCTTCCACATCTCTCTCCCCCCTCACGCACCCCGCAGGGCCATGGCGGATCCCCCCAATGGTGAATCGCTGCTGCGCTGCCGCTGGCCTCCCTCCGCCTCCTACTCACTCGCCACTGTGGTGGCTGTGGGGAGGGGGCTGGCATCGGCGTTGGAGTGGATGCATGCGCGGGGGTGGGCGCATGGGGACGTGTATGCTCACAACGTTCTTGTGGATGACAAGGGGTTCGCTGTCCTGTGTGACTATGGTGAGTTGTGACTATGATGAGTTGTGATTGTGATGAGTTGTGATTATGATGAGTTGTGACTATGACGAGTTGTCACAATAGTAGAGTGGCCGCAGGGGGGGCGCTAGCGTCAACTTCAGAGTGGATGCATGCGCGGGGTTGGGCGCATGGGGATGTGCAAGCATCCAGGCAGAATTAGAGGCGCGTCAAAATCAACCGCCTCTCCTCACACTCCTCCTACATTCCTCACCCTCCCTTTTGTCACATGTGCAGGTGCATCCTTCCCCTACCCTCGCCACAGTGCCATCCCATTTGAGTCACATGAGGTGAGAGCACTTGCCCTGCTGCTTCAGGGCCTCTGCACCCGCCTCTCAGCCCCTGAGACGACAGCAGAGCTTCAGAGCCGGGAGCAGCTGGGGCGGCTGGTTGATGCGTGCGTTGGAGGGACTGCGAAGGAGCGACTGAGTTTTAGGGATTTTGGAGAGCAGTTGGCTGCTATTTCCAGGAGCCATGTTTGAGGTTAGAGGGGTGATGTGTGGGGATGTGAACAAGGATTGATGAATGCTAGTGAGTGAGATAACATGGATTAGGAACCTGGAATTCATTTCCTACTTCTACTCGTTGTTTCTTCTTAAGCTATAAGCACTTGTGTCCATATACCATGGCTTACTTTTATTACTACTAACATATACAGGTATACGGAACGGGGAGAAATGGAGATGCAGTGTAGGTTCTTTAGGCATACATCGCCTCACTGCCGCATCCGCGATAGAACAGCTGCGAGTGGTGTCGCTCGTAGCTGAAAACAAACGCGTCCTCGCCAGCCCCATGCGACGCGTGCTGCCTTGGGAATACTCTCACACCAGTCGCATACACATCCTCGTTACAAGCATACACCCTTGGATCAGCGTGTACACCCGCTGAGTATTCTGGTAGCTTATTCCGGTGTGCGAGAATTTGCGTGTCTGTGTGCATCACGGATTTGTCGTAAAAATTGTTCCAAGCTTCCTCCTCTCGATTCTGTCCGATAATGTCGCCGCAACTCTCGCTGTTCTTACTGATCTTCCGACCGGTGTTAGCCTTGCGAGATTTGAAACTCCATCCTTTTAGTAAGGGAAGCTTGTCCAGAAACGACGGCTTAGACGATGCTCGGCGGGCCGCTGTGGTTGGCTGTGCGAGAGAATCGAGAGATCGTCTTCCGCGAAGTTGGCCGATGGAGGAATGGGGAGAGTGCTGCTGATTGTTGGGTGAACGACTGTCGGTCATATCCTCGAAATCGTCGAGCTGCAGATAGTGAATGCAAGTGAAGTTAACGACGGGGCGAAGACACGTTAGGGAAAAACGCTTGCGAGTGGAAGAAGAACATGGAGCAGGGGATTTTTTTGAAGTCAAACTAACCTCTTGGAGAATAGGGTTCGCAGGTCGGCGACTGTCAGACGTGCAAGTTTTTTGCATTGTCTCGGTGCTCTCCACGCCCTCCATTTCCTGCCACGTCGGAAGCCGCGCGCCACCGTCACCATTACAGTGACTGTAACGATACGGAATTGGAGTCGCACCGTCGCTGACCGTGGAAAGCGCGGGAGAATAGGGAGACAGCGGCGAAAGCGGCGAAACTGGGCCGTACGATCCGAGCGATCTCTGGCCGTCGTAGTTCCCGGAGGTGGGGATTAATCCGTCTGGTCTCTCATTTGATTGAATCTCGGACCTCCAGTCGGCGGGACCCAATCCGAAGTCCATCTGCGGAGCGGTAAAACAATCTTGTGTGGACCCAGTGTTTCTGTTTTGGTCTGGACGCGCGAGTGACGTCACGCCGTTGGACGGCAACGTCAGCGACTTCTGCAGCACCCTGCGGCGGGGAAATTGGCAATCCGAGCACGCCGAATCAAACGTTTCCACCTCGATTCTCGCCGCCGTTCGCGGACAGTGCGTCTCGGCAACGAGATAATACGTTCGGCCAGCTTGGAGGGTCGCGGCGGGTGGCAAGGGGGTGCGAGGCGTGGCGGTGCTGAGGGTGGAGAGGAGCACGTGGCGGGGGAAGTCAGCGAGCACAGCCGACGCCGTGAGACGCGCGTCGTCGTACAGGCGCGCCGAGCCGTCGGGGAGCAAAACGACGACGCACGGCGAGGAGGAGGAGGACGAAGCCGCGTCTTGCGCCATGCGTGCAATCGACTTCGGTGGAAAAAAATATTTCTCCAGGCAGAACAGCAATAAACACAAGGACTTGGACGGAGATGACGGACTCTAGAATGTTCAAGGACTCTAGATGCTGCATAGACTGGAATGAGAGAGACAATGGTCGATGGTGTGATGCAATGAGAGAGACAACTTGACATTGTGTCGGGAAAACCCGGATCTTATGTAGCGGATTAGAGCGACTCGGCTCTCTAAAAGTCCGCGTTGCTGTGCGGATAGTACTGTATCTGTAGCTGTGGTTACAAACGCTCGCTTGGCCAGGCCATAATAAGGCGCGGCTTCTTGTTGCGGCCATAAACAAGGCGCTTACGACACTTGTTGCGGAAATCACGCGGCGAAATTATTCGAAAGTGTGTGGAGTCCGTTCAGCTGTTGCTCGCTCTGTACGCTTTTGTGGCAAAATGGGCGCGCCACAGGCGGTTAGCTCAGCAACGACGAAACGCGCCGCACCAGTAGTTCCTCGGTATGCAACAGACCCTCCGCAGAGGGGGATGTTTGGCTCTTACCAGTCCTTAGAACAGGACAGGGAAGGGTCAGCCTCGCATAGTTGGGCTTGCGCGTTGCAAGCTGGGTCGTCGCAACAGCGGTGGCATGTCGCACATTCCGTCGCTATCGGTTCTTCAGCTCGAATAACGTCGCACAAAATCGCGAATCTCGCAAATCGCAAGATTGCCTTTTGCTTTCTGACGGTGAACGGTCCTTGCTTGGGACGTGTCAGTGGATAACCGAGAGGTTTCCTTGGTCGGTGTATGTGTTTTTCGACGGTCACGAACAGAAAAGAACTGGTGGTCTGTCGTTCATCAATGTTCATCGTCGATGCCACGTTTTCAACGTGTACAGTGTCGCTTGGTCTGTGGGCTGCGACGCGACACGGCCCTAAACTGCATACCGTTTTCTGTACCCGAGCATCATCCAATCAATGTGGGAAAAAAGAGTACAGGCTCCTAGTCTCCGTGTTACAGTTCGACTTGACGCATATAAAATAGCTCACAACAAATGTGAGACCTCACAAGCATCAGTGTAGACATACTTCATATGTTCAATTTTTCCCTGGTCTGAACTCCAATGACAACGTAAAAAGTAACCTGCAGATGTGGAAATAAATGCCTCAAATTTCGATAAAGTTTCAGCCATAGATGGGCTCGTTGTAGCATTTGGGATAAAAGGCCTGGGAATAGAACTGCTCTTACTCTGCAATCTTCGACTTGAGATGCAAGACATCTTGGGAATACCCTCTTTTGCAGGCCATTCTCGGTAGCAACAGCAGCAGCAGCAGGTCTAATCGCACTGGCGTCTTCTCAACTAATGTTCCTGCGAACCAGAATCTGCGTGTCTGTGAACATCATGGATCTGTCGTTCATATTATTCCACGAGGTTGCCTCCTCTTCACACTGTCGTAGCGTCGCAATCTGCGGCTTTCCGCCAAAAATGTCCTCGCCAAGGCCTGGAGCCTCGGGAATGCCGATGGGAATGTTCTGTTGGCTGTGGCTCTTGTTCATCTTTCGACCCGTCACGCCTCTGCTCCTGAAACCCCATGATTTCAGCTGAGACATCTTGTTGATCATAGACGACTTAGCTTCATTCGCAGATGCTCGGCGACTTTCAGTGATAGGGCCCGCCATGATCGATTGGGAACGCGCGGCGAAAGAAGAATGTCGGCCTTGGTTACAGTTCGCGGAATCATCAATCGTTAAGTCGTCCAGGGCTTCAAGCTCTTGAAGAATCGGGTTGGTGGTAGTACGTCCGCCATCTTGTCGCCGCGAATGGACCACAGGCGCACCGACTCTCGAAACACCAGTCCTGCTTCCGTCACGCAGCTCGCACGTGCTTGTGGTTCTCAGAATGCACCCCGTCTCCTCCACGAGTGACACTCCCTCCTTCCACGCCTTAGGCGGAGAGCTGCGCGATTGTCCGTGGTGGCAACCCAGCGGAATCCTGCCTTCCGAGATAGGAGGAGAATAAGGCGACAGCGTTGAAAGAGGCGAAACCGGGCAGAAAGTTCCGGGAAGATGCTGCGTGCCCGTCAGCAACTTGCTTCTTGAATCTTCGCCCGAAACCCACTCCGGAGTTTGCGGAGGGCTCCGAGGCGACTCGGCTTCCGAAGCATGATGGGGAGCGCATGCATTTATGCTGGTGCTGGGCAGGGTTTGCGACTTGCGGAACAAGCTCCGCGAAACCTGCGACGACGGCGGCGATATTAGCGACGATAGTTCCAACTTGACGCTCGCCGCCGATCGCGGACGGTGTGTCTCCTCAACGAGGTAGTACGTTCGGCCAGGTTTGAGGAGCGCGGCGGGGGGCAAGGGGGTGCGCGGCGTGGCGGCGGAGAGGGTGGAAAGGAGCAGGTGGCGGGGGAAATCCGCGAGCACAGCCGACGCCGTGAGACGCGCGTCGTCGTACAGGCGCGCCGAGCCGTCCGGCAGCAAAACGACGATGCACGGCGGGGACTGGAGGAGGATCGGATGGTTGGACGGAGTTTGAGCCATGTTGGGAGTTAACGAGGGCGGAGGCAGGAGCAGTAACTCGTGTTCGGATGAGCAAAAAGAACTGACACTTTGCTATGAATGAAGCGGGGTTATGAAGACGAGCGGGGTTTCTGGAGCTTCTTTGGCTCGCGGGACGGTCTTGGTAGATTGTGAATCACTCTTTATTGGCTGAAATAGCGGAGCTGTTGATGTCAACACTCTACGACGAAACGACGAAACGTCGTGATGTTATTGGACGAAGGGAAAGAAAAACAAGGTCAAGACTCCCTCATCGCTAGATCGCAACCTGTATGCACGAAGTATGGACCTCATCTTTTGAAGGGGCACGCAACGGCTCGATTCGCGTGCCTAACAACAGACAATCGAAATCGAAGCAGCAGTCACTTATCCCGGCCAATACAGAACGGTATTTGGCTCCTAGTTCTAGAACGCGAGGCAGTAACAAAAGTCTTCTTGTTTGGTTCGCTTCTCGGCAGTCGAAGAAGTGTAAAATCTCAGAAAAGTGTCGTCTGCTTGACTTCGACTCTGGTTCTGCTTGTCTTGTGTGGAGAGGTGTGGATGGGAGGAGCTGAGCGGAGCGACCACACATTGGTCCTATTGTCGCCGAGCGGGATTGGCGACTGTCGCAAACGGTTCATGCGAAACACTCTCAGATACAATCTGGTCTTGTTGTCTCCAAGTGTCAATTTGAAACGGTCACTGTTTGCCCAGCCTTGTCGCAGTTTCTGTAAAAGCGAGAATCCAACCAAGGCAACCATGTACCCTGTACGTCGCAAAATTCGCCACGGGCAATATGTTTGTTGAACGAAACTCGTCAATGTCATCGTGTGGTGAATGGCAAGAGGGAAACTGGCATGGTCTTCACATGTCTGCCAATATGCTTGAAATCTGTACTGTATTTGAAGCATAACAAAGTGTTTTTCATTGTGGTTGCACATCCTCGCTAGAATGCTGCATGTTATTATTTTTTAAATTCTTGAAGTATGATTGGACATGTCGACTATAGAGAAATAAAAGAGCTTACATATCCTCTGCAGTTTGAAAGATTATGGATTCAACCCAATATCGGCTCATTGTTGCATCTGGAATAGAAGGCCTGAGAATAGTAGTGCTCATAATCTGAAGCGTGAGGTTCTTCCACTTGCTTCAGAAGCCTTCTCGAGAATACTTTCACCCCAGCGCCGATCACGGCAGCGCGAGTAGGTGTAGCCGCGCTGACATCTGCTTCAATATCCCTCCGGCTAACCAGAATTTGCGTGTCCGTGAACATCATGGTCCTGTCGTCCAGATTCTTCCAGAATGTTCCCTCCTCTTCACAATGGCTTGGCGTCGCCATGTGATGCCCTCCGCTGATAATGCTTCTGCCGAGATCTGGAAATTCGGCCATGCGGACAGACATGTTCTTTTGGGTCTGACTCTTGTTCATCTTCCGACTCGGTGCGCCTTTGCTCCTAAAACCCCACGGTTTTAGCTGAGGCAGTCTGTCAATAAGGGACGGCTTAAATGGATTGGACGGTGTTCGCCGAGTCGTATTTTGCTCTGCCGAGATTGGTGAAGGCACTTCGAAAGGAAACTGGTGGTCGCGAGTATCGTACGTGGAACCATTGGTCGTCATGTCCTCAAGAGCTTCGAGCTGCACCACGGGATAGGGGAACGAGGAACGACGGTTAGGGTATATATGATTTATTTGGTTCGCCTGGAAATAGAGCATCCACGGGAAGAAAGAAAGAATAGAAGGAACGAAATCAGAAAGTCTGGTGGAACGAACCTCTTGGAGGATGCGGTTGGCGGTGTGTCCATCGTGTCGCCGCGATGAGAGAACGCCTGCGATCGAGTCATTGTAACCCGATTGCGAAATCCTGCTACCACGAAGCTCGCACGTGCTCGTGGTTCTTCTGATGCACCCCTCCGCGACTCCCTCATTCCACGCCTTCGGAGGAGAGCTGCGCGTTTGACCGTGATGGCACTCCAGAGGAATTGCGCCGTCGGACATAGGAGGAGAGTACGGCGATAGCGTCGAATGCGGGGACGCAAGCACCGGCCCGGTGGCGTGCAGGGCTTGCGACTTGCGAAACACGTTCGGCGAGATTTGCGACGACGATGGCGATGTTAGCGATGAAATATCCACCGCCACTTTCGTCGACGCTCGCGGATGGTGCGTCTCGGCGAGGAGGTAGTACGTTCGGCCGGGTTTGAGCAGCGCGGCGGGTGGCAAGGGGGTGCGAGGCGTGGCGGTGGAGAGGGTGGAGAGGAGCAGGTGGTGGGGGAAGTCGGCGAGCACAGCCGACGCAGTGAGACGCGCGTCGTCGTAGAGGCGCGCCGAGCCGTCTGGCAGCAGCACGACGACGCACGGCGGGACCGGGTCGGTCATGGCATGCGCCATCGTTGCCGAGTCGAGGTGCTGGAGTAGAAACAAAAAGCGACGGCTGACTGATTTCGAATCTGAACGAAATTCACGACTTGTAAGATAGATCAGTGGTGCTTTATCTGCTGGATATCCCGCTGATGTCGGGAAAAGGGATTTCTTGCTGAAGGTAGCAAGGCACGACGACGACGACCCGACGAAGCTGCGCCATGAAGTTTTCCCCTCCCTTGCGGAAATCGGACTTTCGGCGTGAGCAACAGGTGGGGCGATGTGACGACGTTTGTCGTCATCCTTCGTGTGGGCACGAGGCCAATTCAACAACGGGCCGCACCGCGTCGCAGTGCTGCAAAGCAAACAGCTCAAGCTTTGGCCGCAGCAAACGTGGAAGAAGCTTGACATTTTTCGCGAATACTGTATCTTCGCCAGGCCTGCTACATGTGGGATGGTTTGGGAAGGTCCGAAAAAGCGAGGCTTGTTTTGTTGCTTGCTTGGGGCGGCAGACAGCACCACCTCAGTCTTGTTGTCGCCGAGCGTCATGTTGACGCTCGCAAAAGTTCTGCATGACGACTGCCGTGCCAGTAAAACTGCTGGTTTGGCTGGTAGCTTTACCGCTCAGTCGTCTGCGCCTGGTGACGACATCGTTCCGCCGTGCTTGGAGCCGTCGCCGACCGTCATTTTCTATTTCCTTCCCCAAATCAGCGTTCGCACAAACTTCATCCTGACAGCTGCCGAGCCGGTCAAACTGCAGGTTTGGCAGCTCAGCCATCTGCGACTTGTTGCGACGGTGGAATATTTGACCAATTAGATGGCGTTTCGAGGCATGTTTGCTTGTGTCGGTTGGTCTCGTCAAGCTTCGACTCGACTTCTCCTGAAACTCGAATCGACTCGTGTGACGTGGCTCGTAGTGATCCTGACGGTGGTCGTTGAAAACGAATAGCTGTGTGACGTGGCTCGAAGTGATCCTCACGGTTGTGTCGGTTAAACGAAAGGCGACGAAACCGCTTCTGTCACACGCAACCGCTGCCCTCTTGTACCCGATAGAATGACTAGGCAACCCACAGTAGCCTTTGTGCAGAGGTACACTGACGAAAACCATTAACTCCCATCCATCCAACCGCCTGTTTCAATTAAATCAATTTGTTTAATGCTCCTTCAGTGAAATACCTTCATTCCTCAGGCCAGTGACAACCACTCCCTACATGAAATTCTCTGATTTCACCCAGTTCCGCCTGTGTCTCCTCCTGCTGCAGCTACTACAACACCAACTGCACACCTTACCTAACCTCAGCTGTTACTCAAGTCAAGGTGCTCTGACCACCACCGCTCCTCACCCCTTTCCTGATACTAATCACGTCGCACTTATTATGCCACTGCAGGCGCTCAAAAGCAACTTCTGAGGCGCCTAAAAGATTCACTCCTCACCCCAGCCAGGTGACTGTGCTCCTACCGCCACCACCCCCCACCAGCCAGGTAATCGCCACGACCTCATAATGCCGCTGCCGGCGCTCGAATGCAACTATTGAGGCGCCTAGAAATTTTATTCCTCACCCCAGCCAGGTGACTGTGCTCCTGCCTCCACCACCCCCGACCCCCTTCCTGATACTAATTGCCTCGCCCTCATAATGCCGTTGCAGGCGCTCAAACGAAGTCACATCCAGCCGGCCAGTGCCGCCCCTGCCCGCCCCGTGCTTCCGCTCGTGCTGCTGCTGCCTCACACTCGTCCACAGCGCCTCAATTGCCGCCCGCTGCCGCCCGGTGAAGCGCTGCCTGTGGTCATATGCGTGCTGCGCCAGCATGTCAATGGCCGTCTGGGCCCTGAGAGGAGGGGGGGCCCGGGGGGAGGGGGAGGAAGGGCATTAGAATGTTGCCCCAGGTTGCATAAATTTACACACCGCCTGTGGGAGTCTGAATGCTCTAATGCACATTGCACTCAACTCTCAACCAAGGCACCCGTGCAAACCCACGACCCTAAACCACCAACCATCCTCACACTCACCACTTGTGCCGATACATTTCTGTGGCAGTCTGAATGCACAGCAGCAGAGCCTCCCGCCTCTCCCTCAACATCCTCCTCTCCTCCTCCTCCTCCTCCTCCTCCCTCCGCCGTGCCTCCTCCTCTTCCCTCCTCCTCCTCTCCCTCTCCGCCCTCCTCTTTTCCTCCCTCATAGCCTGCTTGCTTTTCATAATCTCGCCCAACCCAAACGGATCTTCCTCCTCTTCCTCCTCTTCCTCATCCCCTTTTCTGCCTCCCTTCTCCCCAATGAGACCCAACAAAGCATCAAGCCCAAAGGGGTCAGCATCAGAACCTGCAGCAGTATCTGGAGCATTTGCATCGCTGTCTCCTGTGTTTTTCTTGTCTGCCCGCCTCTCTTCCCCACCCGCTTCCTCCTTCTCTCCCCCTTCCCCTGCCCCCGTCTCTTCCCCCGCCACCTCCCCTTTCCCGTCCCTCTTCTCTCCCTCTCCCATTCCGTCCAAACCCCCCTCTCTGCCCTGCACATGCATCGCCACCCCTGCAAACAGCCCTGCCTCCTCCCTCTCATCCTCCTCTGCTGCCTCTGGCAATCGCTCCACCTCCTGCTGCACTCGATACACGGCCTTGGAGAACTGGGGGGTGGAGGGAGGAAGCGAAAGTGAGGATAATGGGAGGAGGGAAGGGTTAAAGGAAAGGGAGGAGAAGCGCACGCATGCAGAAGAAACAGCCCGGAATTTTCCCTCTGTCTTCCTCTGCTCTGCTGCCTCTGCCAGCGGTTCCACCTCCTGCTGCACCTGGGACCACTGGCAGAGGCAGCAGAGCAGAGGAAGACCCCGCCTTGGAGAACTGGAGGGGGAGAGAGGTGGAAGGGAGGAGGAGGAGGAGGGGGGGGAGGGGGGAGTGAGGGAGGTGAACAGAGCTGGTTTTTGAGAATTCTCAAAAACCGAGAGGAGGAGGGGGGGGCAGGGGGCAGGGGAGAGTGAGGGAGGTGAACAGGAGAGCTTGAAGTGCCTCGGGCAGTCAGTTGCTCCAACTCCTGCTGCACCCAATCAGTCCCCCCACCTGTCTGGAGAAAGTGGCCCCTCTGACTCCTCACGCACGGTTACGACCGTTCTTGTCAGTATATGCTTGCTCTTCGGTGTATACTTTCAACAATCAATAATAACAATAATAATAAAATAATAAAAAAAAAAGAGTCCCCCCACCTGTTACCCCCCCTCATTGAAGCTGTCGCCCCCTGCCCTCACCCAGCCCTTCACCCGTCCCCTCATCCTCCCCCCCGACCCAGTTCCCCACCAACACCCCCTCTTCCCCCCCACCAGCCTCCCACCTGAAAGCTGTCATCGGTGCGAAGGGAATGGTTGAGCACAGTGCGCAGCCCCCACACGTCCACCTGCTGCTGCTGCCACGGCGAAAACAGCTGCACACAAAGGGGGGCGGGGGAATGCACGGGTGGGGAGAAGTGGGCCAAGGGGGGAGTTTGGGGTTGGGGCGAGAGAGGTGGCGGTGCGGGCAAGCAAGGGTGGGGGAAAGGGGTCGAGTAGTAGGCTGGGGGGAGGAAGAAGCATGGGGTTGGACAGGAGGGGACATTGGAGGAGGGTGGGTGGGTGGGTGGGTGGGTGGGTGGGTGGGTGGGTGGGTGGGAGAGGTGGGGAAGGTGAGGGCATCATGTGCAAAGAACTCCCCATCCCATCCCACCATGAGCGCACACACACACATACCACCTGAACCACGTCCCCACCCTCCCATTCCCCTGCTCATCTCCCCGTCTCTCCCACTCTCCTCCCTTTTCTCCTCCTCTCTCCTCCCTGCTACTACCCCCCCCGCCGTGCCCATATACCCCTGTCCCGCTGTTGCCAACCCAATGCTCCCCCATTTCCTCCCCTCTCCCCCGTCCCCGCACCTCTTTTCTCTCCACAGCAGCGCCAATCAGCGCAGCATACTCGCCACCGACGTCCCCCGCAGCCCCCACCACCATGCCTCCCGCCCCCCCTCCCTCTCTCCTCAGCAGCCCCATTGCCGCCTCCAGCACTCCAAAGAACAGACTCGCGTGACCACCGCTCTCCACCGCACTGTTTGCAGTTCTGTTCATCCCACTGTTCATATCACTGGTTGTGGTGCTGTTCAGTGCGCCCCCCTCCAGAAGCTGCCGAGCGAGGCCGGCCGCCTTCTTGAACTTGGCTGGCGTGCCGATGTGGGCGGCGATCTTGGCTATCGCTGACGTCACCTTGTCCTCTGCCACCTCAGCAAACGTGTGGAAGCGCACCCGCCGGCGCGCGGGGGCTGGTGAGGGGGAGGAGGGGATGATGGAGGGGAGATGAGGGGGCAAGGGGGAGAAGGGAGAAGAAGGGGGAAGAAGAAGGGGAGGTTGGGAGGAGGGGGGATGGTGGGGCGATGATGTGAGGGTTTGAGCCTTGAGGGGATGTCTGGCAGGAGTGAGAAGGGAAGAAATAGAGTATTGAGGAAGTAGGGTTAGGAACGCAGAAGAGATTAAGCTTACGGAAACCGAAACAGGAACGGGGAAAATTAGGGTTTGGGAACAGGATACGAGTGGTATGGGGTAACTGGAATAAAAAACTGGCGAGGTAGCAACGGCGACACGTAACCCTAATCGAGCGCTCTCAGCAAACCAGGTCACACAAAGTCAACGGCAGTCAACGAGGTCTGCAGCATCCATACCGTCGCCATCTGCCTCGTCCGCCATCGTCACCCCCACGCGCTTCCTGGTCTTTCCGCCATCCCCCGATCCCCCATCCGCGGCCTCCGAGCTGACATTCCCCCCGCCCTCTCCCTCCCGCGGCTCCGCCCGCACTTTGAGGGACGACTTGAGCGCAGAGGGCTTAAGCGGAACCGCGCCGTCAGTTGCGCGGACTCCGCTGGCCGCGGCCGGCCGTTCACCAGGAGCTGACGTTGACGCCGGCTGGCTGGCGCGAATCGGTGCCTTGGGAGCATTTGACGGCGGGGGCAAGTCGCCGAAGAGACCCATAGCGTTACCCGCGGCGAGGAACGCGGCGGCAAAAGAAAAGCGGAAGAGGAAAGGACCGATTCGACTAATGGGATTGTGCAAGGGTGAAAAAGGAAGGACGAGGGCAGATGGCGAAAAAGGGCGTGCCGACGCAGAGGATTGAACTCTGGACCTTCTGTTTACAAGACAGATGCTCTACCACTGAGCTACACCGGCTTGAAGTTGCAGCACCCATGAGTTATTTTTTTTCCTTTTAATTCGGCTTGAGCTGACGTCGACACTGGCTTGTTGTTGCGACAGCGTAACAGGTCACGCTTGCCAAACCAGCTACAATGTTATCGATGCGTTCAATGTGGGAGCACAACATCCACAATGCATTCCAAGCGCGCGTGTCTGCCAGGCTCGTACCCTCCTCTCGCCGCTGATTCCCCGACGCGTCGCGCGCACCCCGCTCGCCATGCATGCGTCGTGGAGTCTCCTCTTAGTCCCGCTTGACAGATCACCACTCCCGCACTGCGCCTCGGCGTTAGTAGCCGAGGCGCGACATCGGCTCGCCATGAGTCGTGTTCGCTCAAAGGTTCATACGCCTTCACCCCCTCCCTCCACCACTTCCCCCATCTTCCAGCCTTTTTCCCCCCTCGTCCTCCCCGAATTCCGGCGCAGAAGCGGAGCCCCCTCCGTCCGCGCATGCTCCACGCATTCCGCCGCTCTCCGTCCGCTCCCCTCCCTATCGCCTTACTGCGCCATGTTTCTCGGAATTATTTCTCCCCTCTTTGCCGCACCGACTGCTGACGGGAAGGGGCGAATCTCCGGCTTTTCGGAGAGAACGTTGCGGGAACGCCTGGGGAAATTGTTGGGGCGTAGTAGTGGGGACGTTGCGCCGACGTTGGGGGGACGTTGGGGAGCCGTTCTGGGGTGGCCATCTCCCACGGAGTAAGAACACCGAATTCAAAGCCTTGCTGCCCGCTGTGGCACAGCTGCTGTGTATCGTTCGACTGCCAGTGGTTGGAGCGGCCACCTACTAGGAGGCGCGACGTGTGAGCGAGCACCGGAGTACCGTCAAACGGAAAGAGATTAAGGAGCATCAGGCGCGGCTAGCAGAAAGCGCAAATGGCGTCGTTCGTGCTCCAAACCCGCTCGTGTCTCGCCGCCCCACCTTCAGCGACCGCTCCCGCTGTCGCCGCCGCTTTCCAGCGGAAGGCTCGCCTGGTGGTGGCGTCGAGCTGGCGAACTTTCGCACAACCGCCAGGGCTAGGGCGACTCAGTTCGCGACAGTACTGCGATGGGGAGACTGGACGTGGCTCTGATCGGACGGCTGGGATTGGATGTGGCTCTGATCGGACGGCTGGGATTGGATGTGGCTCTGATCGGACGCCAAGTGTTGGTTGCGTGAGGGGCGGCAGCAATTTGAAGGCGAGATGCCTGGGGAGGAGAGCAGAAGGGGAAGAGCAGGGCGCTGACGTGGCAGATAAGGGGGAGACAGCTCAGCTGGAAAAATCGCCTGTGAGTGTCTAGGTTCAAGGGAGTCAAGGCAGTCAAGGGAGTCAACTTCAGCCATCAATGCAACGCTTTCAGCCCTCCTCCTCTTCTCTCGCACCCCCCTGTCTGTCATGCCTGTTATCACTTTTCCCCGCATGTCTCCCCACCCCACTCCCTGTTCTCCCCCTCTCCTCTCCGCCCCCTTTTGGTGCAGCTGGCGGACGAATCAGTGGCTGCCACGTGTATCAACACCATCCGCATGCTGGTAGTGGATGCGGTCAACAACGTCAACGCGGGCCACCCCGGGTCCGCCATGGGGCTGGCGCCACTTGGGGTGCTGCTATTCGCCGAGGAGATGCGCTTCGACCCCGCCGATCCCGCGTGGCCCAATCGCGATCGCTTCATCCTGAGCAACGGCCATGTGTGCCTGCTGCAGTACTGTTTACTCCACTTGACGGGGTACAATCTCCAGGTGAGTTGTGAGATGCGCACGTGTGCTGGGAGTGTGGTGACTCAAAAGTCACCTGGTTGCTGCCTTAGTACCCAATCGCGATCGCTTCATCCTGAGCAACGGCCATGTGTGCCTGCTGCAGTACTGCCTGTTGCACCCCACGGGCTACAACATTCAGGCGTGCGGGGCGTGTGGAGGGCGTGTGCTGGGCACGTGCTGGGCGTGTGGTAGGCGTTTGGTGGCACGGGCAAGCTGCTGTAGTAGCCAATGAGTGTGGTGGCCCCTTCCAACCTCTTGGTATCCCTGCCAACTGCACCCCTCGTATCCCCGGTGGTGGCAGATGGAGGACTTGAAGCGGCTGGCAAAGCTGGGGAGCAAGACGCCAGGGCACCCTGAGAACACACTCACGCCGGGGATAGAGGTCACCACAGGTGGGGTTGGTCGGGGTCGTGGGGTGGGCGTGTGATGAGTCGATTTTTGAGTCGACTCAAAGATCGACTCATCAAAGCTGGGGAGCAAGACGCCAGGCCACCCCGAGAACACCACACTCACTCCGGGGATAGAGGTCACCACAGGTGGGGTTGGTTGGGGTGGTGGGGTGGGGGCCACCACAGGTGAACGTTGAGTTGAGGGTTTCGGGTTTAGGGTTTGCGTCAATGCTGTTTGGGCATCCCGCTTGTCTTTCCTCCTCCTGGTCTTCCTCCGTGTCGAATTCCTTCCAGGAAGGTTCCAGCTGTGAGACGTCTCCAACCTTCCTTTCGCCTCCATGTCCGAATGCGGTGGGGGTGGCGGCAGCAGAGGTGCACCTGGCTGCGCACCTGGCTGACCACCACACGTGCTTTTCCTCTACGCCCCTTCCTTACCCCCCCCTACACAATAGGTCCCTTGGGGCAGGGCTTTGCGAATGCGGTGGGGGTGGCGGCAGCAGAGGCGCACCTGGCTGCCCGCCTCAACACCATTGACTTCCCTGACCTTATTGACCACCACACGTGAGTAGTGGCCCTCACTTGTTGACCTCGTTGACCACCACACGTGCGTGCCACGCCACCCGTTGACCACATTGACCCGGCTGACCTCCTTAACTTCTGTCAAGTCTCTGTCGTGTGGCACAGGTAATAGTTGAAGGTCTCACTCACTCTCACCACATAGTTGCATTGCAGCCAGCGATATCCTTGTGGAAGGTCTCTATATCCTTGTGATGCTATGTGATGGCAATCAAACGTATTGACTTGTTGTCTTGTGAGGTCAAGTTTGCCTCGCATGTGCCTCTCGCTTCACTCTCTCGTGCTCGCCTTGCCTCCTCCCGTGTGCTGCTGCCTGTGCACCTGCTGCCATCCAGGTTCGTTGTATTTGGCGACGGCTGTGCGATGGAGGGCGTGGTGAACGAGGCAGCATCCCTGGCGGGCCACTGGGGGCTGGGCAAGCTCATCGCCTTCTATGACTCCAACCAGGTGTGCTGTGGGATACAGTTGGGTGTGGGCTGTTGCCTGTGGGTGTACAGATGTTGATTGGGGTCAAATGGGTCACTATGGGGCAGCCGCAGCATCGCTGGCGGGTCACTGGGGGCTGGGCAAGCTCATCGCCTTGTACGACTCCAACCAGGTGGGGCATACATGTGGGTGTGGGTGCACCTACTGTTTTGAATGGAATGGGCGGGTTAATATTAACAAGGGTCACATGGGTCCATAGGGAGTGGCAGCATCACCTGCGGGCCACTGGGGGCTGGGCAAGCTCGTCGCTTTCTGCATCTCCTCCAACCAGGTGCGTGATACAGCTGGTGTGTGTGTGGCAATTGGTTGTGCGGGCAGCAACTGGTTTGTGCAGGTGGCACCTGCTGCGTTGAACTCCCCTCCTCCCCATCTCACCTTTCCCCGCCTTCCCACCCGCCACAGGTCACCATGATAGGTGCGTGTCTTGCCACAGGCAGTGCGTCCCTTGCCTTGTAAAAACGTCATCAATCGGTCTTGAGACTTCTTACTCTTCCCTTCCCCAACTGAGTCTAGTATATATTTCAAAAAAAAAAAAAAAAAAAAAAAAAACTACCACCACCAAGAGTTGCAAAAGAAGGTGTTGCAGCGTCAGCAGCAAACGAGCAGCAGCAGCAGCGGCCACATGAAGATCAGCGGTAGCTGCGTGTTGCACTGATTTTCGTGTGGCCGCTGCTGCTGCTGCATTGTTTGCTGCTGACGCTGCAACAGTTGCTTTTACGGCTTTTGATGGTGGTAACCCTGAATTTTTTTATTTTTGTATATTACATTCTGTTTAGGCCTCCGAAGCCCACATGTCCGCTACTGAGATGTCCTCGCGCTTCCTCTCCTCACCCCCCCTCCGCAACCCCCTCTCCCCCAGGTCACCATAGACGGCAGCACGGATCTAGCTTTCTCAGAGGACGTCACGGGCCGCTTCGCCGCGCTGAGGTGGCACGTGCAGCGAATCAAACTCCGCGACGCCGCTGACCTGGACGCTCTTCGCATCGCCATACAAGCCGCCAAGAATGAAACCCACCGGCCATCGCTCATTCAAGTGGACACCATTATTGGGTTCGGCTCTCCTAAGAAGCAGGGCACGAGTGCGGCCCACCATGGGGCGTTTGGGAAGGAGGAGACCGAGGCGATCAGAAAGACGCTGCGCTGGCCGTACAACGAGCCGTTCACTGTTCCTGACGAGGTCTACAGGTGAGGTGGGGAGAGGGGGAAAGGGGCGAGGGGGCATACAAGCCGCCAAGAATGAGACCCGCCGTCCATCGGTCATTCAAGTGGACACGGTGATAGGGTTCAGTTCGCCCAAGAAGCAGGGCAGCAGTGCGGCCCACCATGGGGCGTTCGGACCCGAGGAGACCGAGGCCATTAAGAAGGAGCTTCACTGGTCTTACAACGAGCCGTTTACTGTTCCAGAGGAGGTTTACAGGTGAATGGGGAGGGAGGGGCCTCAATGGGCACTTGTTTGGCTCCCTTCGTTGCTGCTGTTTTGAGGTTGATGATCTCTGTAGGTTTAACCGCATGCGCTGCTGTTGTGCCATCTTGCGTTGTGCTCTTGTGCCGCATCATTGTGATTTTCCCTCTCGCATCCGCCAATCAGGGTCATGCATCAGGCGGCTGCGCGCGGCCAATCAGCGGCTGCCAGCTGGAGGGATCGGGCGGCACAGTACCGCCAGCGCCACCCGGACCGGGCGGCGCTTTTGGACGCACTCACAGTGCCTGGGCGGCTGCCAGCTGGCTGGGAGGACTCGTTGCCGGTAAGAGGCGGTGAAGGGAGGGGATGGGGAGCAGATAGTGGAGAGGGAGGAGAAAGGGGAAGAGGAGTGAACGGGGAGAGGAGGAGGTGTGTTTTGGGGAATCGTTTGAAATAACCTCCTACCACCACAAAGGTCACTCTAAGGTGTGCCTCAATGCATTGTGCCCTCGCCTCCGCCTCCCCCTTCCTTTCGCATCCGTCCGCGTTCTTCCCCCCATCCCCTCCCAGCACTCCTCCCCATCGAACCCACTTGACTGACCTCATCTCATGCAATGTGACGCTAATCCACCTTAGGCGTGCCTCAACCCACCTCACTAGATGGATTCCTCGACACATTCCCCTTTTCCAAGCCCTACTCCCCCATCTCCCCTCCTCTCATCTCTCTCCCTCCTCTCATCTATCCCTCCCCAGCACTGTGAGCCATCAACTCCTCCGGATGCCACGCGCGGTTACTCCGAGGCATGTCTCAACGGCCTCGTGCACGCGCTGCCCAACCTTCTGGGCGGCAGTGCTGACCTGGCATCCTCCAACAAGGTGAGGCAATGCTGACATGGCATCCTCCAACAAGGTGAGGCAATGCTGGCGTGGCATCCTCCAACAAGGTGAGGCAATGCTGACGTGGCGTCATCGAGATAGCATGCAAGAGACCGGCAGCATGAGGCCACATTTTTTATTATCAGCCGCCTCCCTCTCCTCATCACCGCTTTCCACGCCCCGTTTATCTGCCCTGCCCTCACTCGCCCTTGCTGCGCGCCCCTCATTCGAGTGTCCCCCTCCAGGTGGCCTTCCATGGGCTGCCAGATTTCTCCCGCGAGGCCTTTGAGGGCCGCAACCTCCTTTGAGGGCCGCAACTTCCTTTGAGGCGCCTCGAAATTCTTCTCTCTACCCGCAGCCATGCCACCCCATCCCCCTCACCCCACATGTGGCCCTCCAGGTGGCCTTCCATGGGCTGCCAGACTTCTCCCGCGAGGCCTTTGAGGGCCGCAACTTCCACTACGGCGTGCGCGAGCATGCCATGGCGGCAATAAGGTGCGATGCTGGGACAGCGGTGAGGGATGACGGCATGGCATGGCATGGCATGGCGACGATAGGATGATATGATGAGGGCATGAGATCATCCTATTCCATTTTCTTCCTTCCCTTGCCCCCCGAAGCAACGGCCTCGCCCTGCACTGCACTCATGCGCGCTCATCCCAGTGGCTGCCTCCTTCCTCGTCTTTTCTGACTACATGCATGCACCCTCCAACCTTCTTTCCCCCCTCTTCACCCTCTAGCAATGGCCTCGCCCTGCACTCACGCGCGCTCATACCAGTGGCCGCCACCTTCCTTGTCTTTTCTGACTACATGCGGCCGGCGGTGCGCCTCGCCGCCCTCTCCACCGCCCGGGTGCTCTTTGTCTTTACCCACGACTCCATTGGACTGGGGGAGGACGGCCCCACTCATCAGGTGAGCCAATATAGCCTTTATTTATTTATTTATTTATTTATTTATTATTATTATTTCTTTTCCATCGCTTCACATCATCTGCCAAGACACATCCACCGTGAATTATTTTCTCCATTCCTCCTCCCACTCCTCCCTTCTCTCCCATCTCCCCCTCCCCCCTACAGCCAGTCGAGCATCTGCCATCCCTCCGTGCAATCCCTAATCTCCACGTCATCCGCCCTGGCGACGCCACCGAGACAGCTGGCGCCTACGTGGCGGCGATCCGGCGCAGCGTGGGGCCCACGGCGATCCTGCTGTCCCGTCAGAAGCTGACAGCTCAGCTCCGGGGGTCGTGCAGGGAGGGGGTGTTGAAGGGGGGCTATGTGCTGGGAGGGGGGGAAGGGGGAGGAGAGGAGGGGGGAGAGGGAGGAGAAGGTGGATTGGATTTGATTCTGATTGGATCAGGATCAGAGCTGGTGCTCTGCCAGGAAGCTGCTGAGAAGCTTCGTCAGGAAGGGTACAGGTGAGAGTGGCTTTGGCTGCTTGTGCTTGTGCTCCCTCCTCAAATTTATTTTATTTTATTATATTTTGTTTTATTTTATTTCATTTGTTCATTTTTTCCTTTTCCAGACGTGTCAGCTCCTGTTTGTTTCAACATGCCCAAACCTTTTCTGTGTGCATCACATGCATAGAGCATGCTGAGCTGATCATAAGGGGAGCTTACTTCTTTGTTTGAGACTTGGGGTTCCTGGCCCAACCCATCTCCAAGCCATGCCAACCCCATCCTGCCCTCCCCTCGTGTCACATGCAAGCAGCGTGCACTAAGTAATTTTCTGCCCCTTACCCTATGCCAACCCATGACCCATGCCCCATGTCCCAACCCCCCCACTCTCCTTCCATCACATGCAAGCAGTGTGCGGGTGGTGTCTCTGCCCTGCTGGGAGCTCTTCAGGCAGCAGCCTCGGGAATACCGGGACGCTGTGCTGCCGCCACGTGTCACCAAACGGCTGGCTGTTGAGGCTGCTCGCTCCCAGGTAGGCTGCTTCTAGCTGCTGCTTCCATTGGTGGTTCTGCTTGATGTATAGTGTTATGATTTGCCTGACCATTATTGTGTATGATAGATATTTGCCTAAACTTGCCCCTTCCCCCCACCCTCAGGGCTGGTGCGAGTGGGTGGGACCTGAGGGCTCTGTCCACTCTGTTGAGCGATTCGGTGCCAGCGGGCACTATCTTGAAGTGTTCCATAAGTTCGGGTTTACTGTAGAGAACATTATAGAGCGTGCTTATATGGTGATGGGGAGAACTCAGTGAGATGGAATGCGGTGGAGAAGGATGGTGTCCTTTGCATACTTGTTTAGGGGCTTAATGTGGAAACTTGGACATATTCAAGACATGTAAAGATCAGCTCCCGGTGAACAAGTAACAAGACACTGGAGCATGTGACTTGACCAAATGTCAAACGGATATCCGAACCATCAATCAACCATGCGCATGCATGGCACGCTCGGTTTTGTATAGCAAGCATAGCAGGCTAGCAAGTACAATTGCTGCTTCATGACTCACGATAACCCTGTGAAACAGTGATGACGTGGCACCCCCTTTCACCTCCTTGGGAACCGGGGGTGTCACAAGCCTCACATGTTTGCTTCTGGTGGTGCTTCTCTTTGTTTTATTGTGGAGCTGAATCCCTTTTATTTGTTAATCTAGACAAGGAGGGAGCACATGGGAGAAAGGGGGGAAGGGAGGAAGGGGTGTCGGCTAGGGAGGGATACTCTGCAGACTCGGAACCCACCCAACCCAACCCAACCCAACCCAACCGAAGCCAGCACACTGATACGTCTCTCTCTCTCCCCACCTCATCACTATATGCCATGCCATCCCATCCCACGCCATGCCATGCCATGCCATCCCAGCTTCGTGACATACACACCCAGGAACACACATGCGTATGCGCATGCACTGCCCATTGCATTATCCTGATCCCACATGATACTAGTGAATGTTATACTGATGAGTGTGATACAGATGAATGTGTCTTGAGATGTGCCTCTGAAATAGATGAACTTTCAACGACCTTTCCACCCACCCACTCTCACCCACACACCCCTCACACACACACCCTCCTCACCCCTCACCTCCATCCTCCCGCATCCCCATCCTCCCTCATCCCCATCCTCCCTCATCCCCATCCTCCCTCATCCCCATCCTCCCTCATCCCCATCCCCCTCATCCCCATCCTCCCTCATCCCCATCCTCCCTCACCTCCATCCTCCCTCATCCCCATCCTCCCTCATCCCCATCCTCCCTCATCCCCATCCTCCCTCATCCCCATCCTCCCTCATCCCCATCCTCCCTCATCCCCATCCTCCCTCACCTCCATCCTCCCTCATCCCCACCCTCATCCCCATCCTCCCTCATCCCCATCCTCCCTCATCCCCATCCTCCCTCATCCCCATCCTCCCTCACCTCCATCCTCCCTCATCCCCATCCTCCCTCACCTCCATCCTCCCTCATCCCCATCCTCCCTCATCCCCATCCTCCCTCATCCCCATCCTCCCTCATCCCCATCCTCCCTCATCCCCATCCTCCCTCATCCCCATCCTCCCTCATCCCCCTACTCCCACACCCCTCTCCTCCCCACCCCCCTCCTCCCACAACAACCCCTCACGCACGCCCCGCTCTCATACACCCATAAATCCACCCACCCCTCCTCTCACCCACCCCTCCTCTCACCCACCCCTCCTATCACACACCCCTCTTCTCACACACCCCTCCTCTCACACACCCCTCACCCCACACACCCCTCACCCTACACACACCTTCCATTCCCTGCAGACCGCACCCCATCTCCGTAAATTCTCTCCCACACACTCCTTAATCACCCCTCCTGTTCCCTTCTCCTCCCTACACCACCACCTTCCTCGTACTCCTTGCTCACCCCCCTCCCATGCCCTTCACCTCGCAGCCTATATAAGGGTTTAGGCAGGAAGCAGTTGGGCACAAACGGATGTTCTCAAAGGGAGAGAATGAGATAAGAATACCCACAACAAATTGCTTCGTGAAGGGAGATGGTGGGCGGATACAGATCTCTTTACGGGCATTAAACGAACCGGAACTACTGTGCGTGATCACGGAGAATGTATCTAGTTAACAAACCATGAAAGCATAAAACGATACATTTTCTTATGTACAAGCATGTCACAACGTGATAGCTTGTACATGAATATATTCTCACAAATGGCACCGATGTAGCGGCATTAAAGGCGGAGGTCTAAGGAGGTGACGGCCTCTGAACCCTCCTCTCTCTGCCTCCCGTGCTCTTGATTCGAGTCACAGTTCTGCTGCTGCCACACCTGCTGATCTACCTGCTGCTTTGCCTGTTGCCCTGCGTGCGGCTCTGCCTGCTTCTGCTCTGCAATCCGTAACTGCTGCCCCAAACTCTGTCCCAACCGCTTCCCCAACTGCTGCTCCAGCTGCTGCCACAGCTCCTGCTGCTGCCGGCTTTGCTGTGTTGGCTGGGTTGACTGCTGCTGAGTCACGCCCGAAGGCAACTCAGCAGCACCTGACAGCTTCTCTGGTGGTCTTACCACGTGCTGCTGTGGTGGTCTTACCACGTGCTGCTGTGCCTCTGACTGCTGACCTAGTTGCTGCCCCAACTGCTCCTGCAGCTGCTGCACCAACTTCTGTCCTAACTGCCGCCCCAAATGCTGCTCCAGGAACCGCCATAGCTCCTGCTGCTGCTGATGGGTTAACTGTGTTGGCTGGGTTGACTGCTGAGTCACGCTGTGAGAGAACTCAGAAGCGACTGACAGCTGCTGTGGTGGTATTGCCACGTGCTGTCTTGCCTGCTGCTGGCCCGGCTGGGATTCTAACTGCTGCCGTACCCACTGTTGCTGCCATGGCTGCTGCTGCTGCTGCTGCTGTGACTGCTGCTGCTGCTGCTGCTGCTGCTGCTGCAATTGCTGTTGCAGCTGCGATTGCTGTTGCAGCTGTGACTGCTGTTGCAGCTGTGACTGCTGTTGCAGCTGTGACTGCTGTTGCTGCTGTGACTGCTGTTGCTGTTGTGACTGCTGTTGCAGCTGTGACTGCTGTTGCAGCTGTGACTGCTGTTGCTGCTGTGACTGCTGTTGCAGCTGCAAAGGATGCTCTGGCGTTCTCTGCTGAATCGGCTGCATTGAATTCGTTGACTGCATTGACTGCCGCTGCTGCTGGGCTGCTCCTGTTGCAGATTGCGCCAGCAGCGGGGAAGCTGTGAGAGCGACACCAGAAGGGGCTCCTGCTGTGGCAGCAGAGAGACCAGCAAAAGTGCTAAGGGCAACAGTATTATTGGCAGTGGCAGCAGCATGGGTTGCAGCAGCAGGAGCAGGAGCAGCAGGAGCAGCAGGAAGGGTGGAGGTGGCAGGAGGAAAAAGAGAGGCGGGAGAGGGGGAGGGCGGAAGGGAGGGAGAAGGAGTGGTGGGTGCGGCTTGGGACAACACAGCTCGCATGCTGTCAATCGCACAGGCTGCTCTCAGCAGAATGGCCACTGGGAGGGCGACACCTGGCACTGCTGCTGCCGGTGCTACAGCCGGGGTCAGAGAACCTAACAGAGCACCTGACAGAGCACCATACAAAGCACCTGAAGGAGCACCAGGAGGAGCACCTGAAGGAGCACCTGGAGGAACACCTGGAGGAACACCTGGAGGAACACCCGGAGGAACACCTGGAGGAACACCCGGAGGCCACTCATGAGAACGTATTCGGGCAAGCTGGGTATGATTGGGCCGTAACAACATGCGAGCACCAGCCTCCTGGGGGGCGGCAGGGGCAGGGCGTGAGAGCATGTGAGGCCGGTTGGAGAGATCATGCAGGAGTGCATCGCGTTCGGAGGCGAGCTGGGATCGCAAGAGGGGATGCAATCCCGAGGGCACAGCCTGGAAGGAGTCGTCACCTGTGCCCTGAAACGGCAATGCAGAGATAGGGGCGAGTGGTGGGCTTGTAAAGGGTGGGCTTGTAAAGGGTGGGTTTGTAAAGGGTGGGTTTGTAAAGGATTCTGAGCCCAAGGGAGAGTTTGAAGGAACTTGAGGGACGAATGGTGGGGTTTGTGACGCAGGGGAAGGGAAAGGAAGGGGGTATGGGCGGGGGTTGGTCTGGGGCCTCTTAGCTGGCTGGTCTGGGATCAATGGTTCTGGTTGCTCTTCCCCCGCCGCTGCTCTTGCTGTGCCTGCTCCTGCTGTTACTCCTACTCCTGATGCTGATGCTCCTGCTGCTGTTGCTGCTGATGCTGCTCCTGCTGCTGCTGCTGCTGATGCTGCTCCTGCTGCTGCTGCTGCTGCTGATGCTGCTCCTGCTGCTGCTGCTGCTGCTGCTGCTGATGCTGCTGCTGATGCTGCTCCTGCTGCTGCTGCTGCTGCTGCTGCTGCTGCTGCTGCTGCTGCTGCTGCTGCTGCTGCTGCTGCTGCTGCTGCTGCTGCTGCTGCTGCTGCTGCTGCTGCTGCTGCTGCTGCTGCTGCTGCTGCTGCTGCTACAGAAGCCCCCGGGATTCAACAAAGAAGCTCCGCCAAGAGCTGGGAATTGGACCGACCCTTGCAGAGTGGGCGGCGGGATGGTGGCGGTGGTAACCTCATGAGACCGCCGTTTCTTGCTGGGGTTGGCGTGAATACTGCGGCTGCTGGGAGGGGTGGTAGTGGTAACCACCCCAGACTGAACATCAGAGCGAGGTAGTAACTTCTCCAAGGGCTCAGCAAGCAGAGGCTGCTGGGCCGCAGCGGAACTTGCGCCGTAAATTGGGGGGCTGATGTGTGGCCTTTGGGCAGCAGCAGCAGTGGCAGCGGCAATGGCTGTGGCAACGGTAGTGGTAGTGGTGGTAGTGGCAGCGGTAATGGCGGCGGCAGCAGCAGTGGTAGTAGAAGAGATAGTGGCAGCGGCGGCGGCAGTGGCAGTGGCAGAAGCAGAGGCGGTAGCAGAGGCAGTGGCAGCGGGAGGGGGGGACGACGATGACGATGGGCTGCAGGAGTCAGGAGGAGGAGGCGGGTGATTGTGCTTGTTCTTGGCTGTCAGCCGCCGCGCTCGCATCTCAACCCTCCGCGCTCTGAGGCCATTGCTGCTGACGCCAGGAGCTGTGGTGCTGCTGATGATGCTGCGTTGGATGGGAACCTTGTCCACCACCAGCTTGGCTGGGCACCCCAGCGTGTCTTTCTCTGCGCACGCGTAGTAGAATCTGCGTGACATGGAAAGAATCGCACACACGCACGCATGCACGCACGCAACCCCCCCCCCCCCCCCCCCACACACGCACGCACGCACGCATGCACACACGCACACACACTCACACACACACACACACACTCACACTCACACACACTCACACACACACACCCACACAGACACACACATCCACCCACACACACACCCACCCACACCCACACACACACCCACACCCACACACACACCCACACACACACATACATACACACCCCCACACCCACACAGCCACACCCACACAGCCACACCCACGCACGCACCCACACCCACACCCCCCCCCCCCACACAAACACACCCACACACACACGCACACGCACACACACACACACACGCACACACACACACACACGCACACACACACACACACGCACACACACACCACTCACACACTCACACCCACCCACCCACACTGTGGGTGCACGCACGCACGTATGCACGCACGTATGCACGCACACATATACACACACACACACACACGCACACAACTTAATACAACAGAGTCTTGCCTTTTCATGTACATTACTACTTTCCTTGTATTTGAAATACAGATTCAGTCTTGACTCAAGGAATTGTACTGACCCGAAAGGGACCCCCAGGAAACTTTCGGGCAAGATTCAGGTTTGCGTGCCAATAGCCAATAAATATATAAATCAGAAAAACGTGTCCTAAGATTATACTGATCGATGGAAAGAGTAAAATCGATTTTTTTGTTCGCAAAATTGGGGCCCGCGTGAATGCCACTCACATAATTGTTCAACGGAAAAGAATCTGAGAAGATTAAAATAGCCGTGAACTCTAGTACCAACCGTTTGCCTTCTTGATGAGACGAGAGGACTTTGTGTCCATATTTCTTCCACTTGTAAGCGGTAATAGGGACGTCATCTGTCGACATTTCCAATTTTAAAGAAAATGCAAATGTGTTGACTGCAAACTGCGAAATCATTCAAACGCTCTGAAGCGACTGCAAACTGCGAATCAGTTCCAGAATTCGTGCAGAGCTCGTGGCAAGTCCTGAATCGGCTCACGAAAGTCTTCAAATGGAACGGATGAAGGCGATGGACTCTTGCCATCAGGGTTCATGGACCATAAACGGATGACAAGGACAATTCAAATGAATGGAGGGTGGAGAGGAGCTGTTTTGCCAACAAACAGTGGGGGAAATGGCTGGCATAAACGAGCTGGTAGGGAACAAACCCTACGCCAACAAAGAAGGATGGGAGTGGCTTGCGGGGGGCAATGGACCACCGCAGGCGGAACGGCGCAACGCAAAACCAACAGCTCTTGGAGCTCGCGCGGACGCGGTTACTGTATCGGAGCAACAGGCGGTGATTATTGTCCCCGCATGCTATGTTTCATTTCGAACCAAACACGCTGAACAATACACTCTGACAGCTGGAGGGCACCGAACCATGACCAGCAGGTTCAGGATCAGGTACTGTATGGTGCCGGTTGTCCAATTGAATGGGTTCTATGGACGGGCGGTTGTGGTGGCGAAAGTGAGTTACAGTAGTTTTGTAGGCTGAATGTTTGGTTGGAGGAATCACATCACGTTGTCTTCAGACACAATAAGGGCGTGGGCCCAATCAGGTTTGATCGCCTCGATCAGACGCGATAAATAATTTCCAGGAACCCTGTAAGCCATTTTCTGGCAATCGGGGGCAATCAGCTGATCGCGATCAGCTGATCGCCCAAACTCAATCAGACCCGATTTTCACCCCGATCAGAGTCGATTTTCCTCGATCACTTACGATCAATTGATCGCTACTGATCGGGGCAACAGCGACACTTGCGAAATGTTACTCTGTATTACTAGGTATCGTCAACCTCTCACGAATCGGTGGAAGATTCCGCAAAAAACAGCACGTGCGGAGTGGGATTGGCGATATTACAAGGATACAAATATTTTCGCAAGGTTCCGTCAGCTCGCAATTCTCGCTAAAATTGGGCGGAAAATGCCTAGTAATGAGACACCGCTTGCGGTGCAGCCAACGCGAATGTTCTACGAAAACTTCTGCTGATCGGGCGGCTCGGGCATTGTGATCACAAGCAACCCGATCAGATCCGCCCCGATCAGACAGTCGCGATCAAACCCGATTGGGCCCACGCCCTAACCTGCAATATACCCGAGCTGAAGCCTAAGAGTGTCTCTTGTAAAAAACCGTGGCTATTTTCTCTATTTCGGAAAAAACATGCGTACGTGAAGATCGGAATCGAATCAGCAGCACATTCGAACAAGAACTGAGCGGTCTGGCCAGCCTTTGCCAGCACTACCCACGCACCCTCGCTTCTTGGCACTTTCTGCTCCGCCTCACAGTGGCTTCAACTGCGATGGTGTGGTTGGTTGGTTGGGCGCGTTTTGGGGTGCTTTGGTTCTGTTCATCCTCCCCAGGCGTGAAACGGGGGTGGACAATATTTCAGGGTGAGTGACTGAATCTGACAGTAGCCACAACTGCACTTTCTTTTGTAAACCCATACTCACTGCCACTGATGTGCAAGAAACCCTCATCAGGAGGACTGAAGTTATGGGAGGGAGTGGAGAGAAATCCGATGTTGTACACCGTAACCTTCTAAGATCAATTATAGTTGCTACGTAGCGTAGATTTGACCATTCTCTGTGGGCAGAGAGACCTGGGAATGGGATCGTTTCGACGTGACCCCCACCAGATCGATTCCCACCAGATCGATTCCCACCAGATCGTTTCCCACCAGATCGTCAGCCCTTGCTTCCTGCTTGTTCGGCTTCACTCCAGTCAGGGTTATCATGGCCAAGCTTGAGTGCTGTCGATGACTTACGACTGTTTGTTTGAAAACAAGAGTTATGAACCGAACAAACATTCGTAAGTGGTAGCCAGCAAGAGTTTTGTTGAAATCTACAACTAAGGGGGTCACCGTGTCTGGAGGATGGACACTCAGAAACTGCTGTCGTAATAAAATGGTAACAGCAACTAAAGTGGGGTAAAACTCCTTGACATACTGTGGCTCCTGCTTGGCTAGGCTGGGCAATTGGCCCATACACGTTGACGGTCGGGGAGGAAAAGGTCGCAACTTTCACGTGGTTCGGGCGAACGAACTTTGAAAGTGCAGTACACCTTTGTAAGTGTACAGTTATGTTCGTAGTGGCTTTATTTTTTGCATTTTAAATTTGAGTGCACTTGATTAGAGAATCACTCATCACACAGTGAAGGCATGCGTAAGGGTGTTCATTAGGGCGTTCGTTAGGGCGGGTCCAACAATATACGTATTCGCAAGAAACGCTACCCAACCATTCTGTTTTTACATTAGACCGCTCTGAATTATTTATTAACCGTTTTCAACCGCAATTGGACGTACTCTTTGGACCCACCCTTAGGTAGGCATATACATGAGGGTAGCTAAGGATAGCATCGACATTGGGGACAAATCATCTACTGCATCTATACATCTGAAGTGTGATATAGGGGAAATTGCTTGCAGTCTACATTTCCATTCCAACATTGACATTGATGATCGATAATATATTATCCAGTACTCGTCAAACTACCGTATACATTTGAAGTGCGGCCGTGGGGAAATACCTTGCAATTCACCTTTTCACGGAGACAGCCTCATAGCTCCAGTGATCATAACTATCCTAAGTATCACATGATACGGTAACATTAGTCAACCTCAAATTTAAACCTTGAACAACATAGAGCAGCCGGTGGCAGTGGCTATAAAGCAGTGCAACCTGACGTTTGCATCAAGACCACACATGGCAAATACAACGGCCTGAAAGGGTGTAAATATCCAACCCAGCCCGCTTCACTTGCTGGTGAGCTTATTGACGATAGCAGCTGCCAGGGAAGGGGGGCTGTGAGCGTGCGTAGGCATTGTCAACGGGGGCAGCCTCTATGCCGCGGGATGTGAGCAGGCAGCGGAACATGTGCAGGCGCGTGTGTGCTTCAGAGAGTTGTGATTCAACATACTCACGGGGGCTCCACAGGCGCTCTGTGTGGAGGGGGATGGGGTGGGAGGGAGCGATGTGAGCAGGCAGCGGAAACACGTGCAGGCGCGTGTGCGCTTCAGAGAGATGTGAGTCCACATATGCCCGCGTCGACCAGAGGCGTTCTGGGTAGAAAGTGAGAGGGATAGGGAGAGAGGGATGTGAGTAGGCAGCGGAACATGTGCAGGCGCGTGTGCGCTTCAGAGAAATGTGATTCAACATACTCGCGGGGGCTCCACAGGCGCTCTGTGTGGGGAGGGGGAAGGAAACACAGAGAAATGGGGCGGGAGGGAGGGATATGAGCAGGGAGCGGAACATGTGCAGGCGCGTGCGCGCGTGTGAGCAGCATCTCACCAGCAGCAGCATTCACAAGCAGCAGTACCTCACCAGCCATCATCTCACCAGCAGCAGCGGCAGCACGAGGCCACACAGTGTTGAGCAGGTCTGATGGGTCGACCCTCTCCCCCCACATGCACGTCTCCCCGCCCACCACCAGGTGCTGCAGCGCCTCTGGCACCCCTGCTGTGGGCTCCTGAGAATACACCTGAGCGCAACAGAGCAGAGCACGGGAGGGGAAAAGGAGGAGTGACTGGAGAGAATCGCAAGGCCAGGCGTCACGTCTGGTGGCTGCCGCAGTTGAAATTGCTTGTCTCTACATGCTTTCCTGTTGACTCTTGTTGACCCCTGTTGACTTGCGTTGACTCACCTCGCTCCATGTGCGGTCAGTTAAGTCGAGGTACCAGCCGAGGTTGAGATTGCTTCTTGACTCCCGTTGACTCACGTTGACTCACGTTGACTTGCATTGGCTCACCTCACTCCAAGTGCGGTCAATGAAGTCAAGGTACCAGCCGAGGTTGAGATTGCTGAAGATCATGCGGAATCCAGACTGCACGATTGCAGGCGGCAGAGCCGTGTCAAACCTGGCATGAGGGGAAGGGGAGGACGGGAAGGAAGATGGGCAGGGCAGGGCTGTGTCAATGATGCTGCAAGGCCGTGTCGATGATGCTGCAGGGCCGTGTCGATGATGCTGCAGGGCCGTGTCGATGATGCTGCAGGGCCGTGTCAATGATGCTGCAGGGTATTTTTGAGAATTCTCAAAAGGGTGGGGCAGGGCCGAGTCAATGACCCTGCAGCATGAAGGACAGGAAGGAAGATGGGCAGGGCAGGGCAGTGCCAATCCTGCCACAAGGGGAAGTGCGAACAGGAAGGAAGGGGAGAGACACACAGCCACTACACGATGGTAGTGGCACCGCCGCACATGCATACTCACTTCGCCCTTCATCCCTCCCCCCACTCCCCACCCACCAGTTGTGCACGATGGTAGTGGCTGGATCCAGGTCCTTTCCAAACACGTTGAAGGGCTCCAAATGCTGGTGGCAGCCAATCATGCCCCACCCCCCACCCCACCCCCCACCCCACCACCCACCCACCAGTTCTGCACGATGGTAGTGGCTGGATCCAGGTGTGCATTGAACACGGCTAAGTGCGGAGGACAACACCCCTTTATCCCTCGTTACCCCACCCCTCACTCACCCACACACCCAACCACCCACCCAACCACCCACCAGTTCTGCACGATGGTAGTGGCTGGATCCAGGTCTTTTCCAAACACCTTGAAGGGCTCCTCCCTGCCATGGATGACGGAACAGAAGAGTGCCTTTGGGGCACCTCAACAACAGGTCAACAACAGGTCAGCAACAGGTCAGCAACAGGTCAGCAACAGGTCAGCAACAGGATAGCACGTGCCAAAAGCAAGTTTGCTGTCAGTCTGCCACGCTCTGCCACGTGCTGACACACATTGCCACATACCACCACACAACACCACACACCGCCACACACTGCCACGCACTGCCACGCACTGCCACACACCGCCACGCACTGCCACGCACTGCCACACACTGCACCACACTACCACACCCCGCCACACCCCGCCACACCCCGCCACACACTGCACCACTCACCACACGACAGCAGTCTTCCATCCAGCCTCCAAGGCCAAGGCCTGCACACGCTTTACAAAGTACCCATAAGCGCCCTCTGCTGTCAGATTGCGCTGCTGCAGCCTACGGGAGAAGGGGGAGTGGGGAAAGTGGGGTGGTGGGGGGGAAGGTTTGCCCTTGCTGGATGCCAGGCAAACAGAGAGGGACAGACAGGGTTGACATTCGTTTCAACATTACGAGTTGGTTTTTGAGAATTCTAAAAAACCAATGCCTGGGGCAGAAAAAAGGGGGGAAAAGGGGTGCGGGTGGGTTGCCAGGCACAGAGGAAGGAAGAGATGCAGGATGGGACGAGATGCAGGATGGGACGAGATGCAGGATGGGACGAGACGCAGGAGGGGACGAGATGCAGGATGGGACGAGATGCAGGATGGGACGAGATGCAGGATGGGACGAGATGCAGGAGGGGACGAGATGCAGGATGGGACGAGATGCAGGATGGGACGAGATGCAGGATGGGACGAGATGCAGGAGGGGACGAGATGCAGGAGGGGACGAGATGCAGGAGGGGACGAGATGCAGGATGGGACGAGTTGCAGGATGGGACGAGATGCAGGATGGGACGAGATGCAGGAGGGGACGAGATGCAGGATGGGACGAGATGCAGGATGGGACGAGATGCAGGAGGGGACGAGATGCAGGAGGGGACGAGATGCAGGATGGGACGAGATGCAGGATGGGACGAGATGCAGGATGGGACGAGATGCAGGAGGGGACGAGATGCAGGATGGGACGAGATGCAGGATGGGACGAGATGCAGGATGGGACGAGATGCAGGAGGGGACGAGATGCAGAATGGGACGAGATGCAGGATGGGACGAGATGCAGGAGGGGACGAGATGCAGGATGGGACGAGATGCAGGATGGGACGAGATGCAGGATGGGACGAGATGCAGGAGGGGACGAGATGCAGGAGGGGACGAGATGCAGGATGGGACGAGATGCAGGAGGGGACGAAATGCAGGAGGGGACGAGATGCAGGAGGGGACGAGATGCAGGATGGGACGAGATGCAGGATGGGACGAGATGCAGGATGGGACGAGATGCAGGAGGGGACGAGATGCAGGAGGGGACGAGATGCAGGATGGGACGAGATGCAGGAGGGGACGAGATGCAGGATGGGACGAGATGCAGGAGGGGACGAGATGCAGGAGGGGACGAGATGCAGGATGGGACGAGATGCAGGAGGGGACGAGATGCGGAAGCAAAAGCGAGGTAGGGGTAGGTGCAGAGGCTTAAAAGTGCTGATGCCATGTGGGAATGCGGGGATGTGGGAGTGCGGGGATGTGGGAGTGCGGGGATGTGGGAGTGCGGGGCGTTTCGAAATTTGAGTCCAAGAGCACATTCGAGAGAAGAAGGGGTGTGACGTGTCTCTGAGAATTCTGAGAACAGCCCGCGATGAGCATTCATCCATGGTCCGCGCACCAGCTTACAGGTCAGCAACTCACTCACAGGTCACAGGTCACATCACAGGTGTTGTACTCACCATGCACTTAAGGTGGGAAATGAACTCCAGAAATCTGATGCGAGCAGGGAGGGCGTTCAGAGAATTCTGAGAACAGGTCACAGGTCACAGGTCACAGGTCACAGGTCACAGGTCACAGGTCACAGGTCACAGGTCACGGGTCAGCAACTCACCATGCACTTATGGTGGGAGATGAACTCCAGCACTCTGATGCGAGGAGGGAGGGCGGGAGGAGAGGGAGAGAAATGAGTCGTGGCTGAACCATGAGAGCAAAGAAGGAGCAAGGGGAAAGTGGCAGCAAAGAAGGAGCAAGGGGAAAGTGGCAGCAAAGAAGGAGCAAGGGGAAAGTGGCAGCAAAGAAGGAGCAAGGGGAAAGTGGCAGCAAAGAAGGAGCAAGGGGAAAGTGGCAGCAAAGAAGGAGCAAGGGGAAAGTGGCAGCAAAGAAGGAGCAAGGGGAAAGTGGCAGCAAAGAAGGAGCAAGGGGAAAGTGGCAGCAAAGAAGGAGCAAGAGGAAAGTGGCAGCAAAGAAGGAGCAAGGGGAAAGTGGCAGCAAAAGGGAAATTAAGGAACAACAAGAGCAGAAGCAGCAATGTGCGGTGGCGATGAGACAGTTGGAAAAGATGGTTCGTGCGTGCGTGCGTGCATGCGTGGGGGTGCGCACGGGTGTGTGGTGTGGGTATATGCGCACCAAAGCTGACTTCGTCTCCCCCCAGGTGAATGTGGGAGCTTTTGAAGACTGCACGGAGGTCTGGAGGAGGAGGGGTGGTATGAGGGATGGGGGGTAAGGTAAACCGCGGGTGAGGAATATGGTGAATGTGGGAGGTATGCAGGGGAGCACGGATAAGGTGAATGTGCGAGCTCTTGAACACTGCACGGAGGTCTGGTGGAAGAGTGGTAGGGGGAACAGAGGAGCAGGGGAGTAGTGGAGTAGAGGAGCAAGCGAGTGCAGATAAGGCGAATGTGGGAGAAGAGTGTTGGTCATGGCGTTGCACGCATGCACCTTGCAACATCCTGCTGTCGAGTTGGAGGTGAAGGTACCCCCCGGGAAACCGGGAGACCGGGAGACCGGGAGACCGGGAGACCGGGAGACCGGGAGACCGGGAGACCGGGAGACCGGGAGACCGGGAGACCGGGAGACCGGGAGACCGGGAGACCGGGAAACCGGGAAACCGGGAAACCGGGAAACTGTTAGACTATACTACTCTTTCGTATCCTGCATTGATCCTATAAACCCTAGGATATAGATAAGCACCCAAACTATGTTTGGGTGCACAAAATAGGGTTAACCCTAATTGGGGGTTGGAACCCAACCTTGGTCCAATTATTGGCCCCCAAGGTTGGGTTGGAAGATTATTGGCCCCCCCAATAATGTTGGCCCACTTTGGCCAACATTATTGGGACCCCCAATAATTCTCCAACCCAACTTATTGGTGGGGGGCCAATAATGTTGGCTAGGTACCCAACCAACCCCTCTTTCCCTCTTGATTGACTCCAAACTATGTAAAGCCCTCTTGATTCCTAATCAAATCAATCGGTTCAATTCTAACAGAAACCGGGAAACCGGGAAACCGGGAAACCGGGAAACCGGGATACCGGGATACCGGGAAACCGGGAAACCGGGAAACCGGGAAACCGGGAAGCCGGGAAGCCGGGAAGCCGGGATACCGGGATACCGGGAAACCGGGAAACCGGGAAACCGGGAAACCGGGAAACCGGGATACCGGGAAACCGGGAAACCGGGAAACCGGGAAACCGGGATACCGGGAAACCGGAAAACCGGGAAACCGGGAAACCGGGAAACCGGGAAACCGGGAAACCGAGAAACCGGGAAACCGGGAAACCGGGATACCCAGATACCGGGAAACCGGGAAACCGGGATACCTTTATACCGGGATACGAAGATACCGGGATACCGGGAAACCGGGAAACCGGGAAACCGGGAAACCGGGAAACCGGGATACCGGGATACCGGGAAACCGGGAAACCGGGAAACCGGGATACCGGGATACCGGGAAACCGGGAAACCGGGAAACCGGGAAACCGGGAAACCGGGATACCGGGATACCGGGAAACCGGGAAACCGGGAAACCGGGAAGCCGGGAAGCCGGGAAGCCGGGAAGCCGGGAAGCCGGGATACCGGGATACCGGGAAACCGGGAAACCGGGAAACCGGGAAACCGGGATACCGGGAAACCGGGAAACCGGGAAACCGGGAAACCGGGATACCGGGAAACCGGAAAACCGGGAAACCGGGAAACCGGGAAACCGGGAAACCGAGAAACCGGGAAACCGGGAAACCGGGATACCCAGATACCGGGAAACCGGGAAACCGGGAAACCGGGATACCTTTATACCGGGATACGAAGATACCGGGATACCGGGAAACCGGGAAACCGGGAAACCGGGAAACCGGGAAACCGGGATACCGGGATACCGGGAAACCGGGAAACCGGGAAACCGGGAAACCGGGATACCGGGATACCGGGAAACCGGGAAACCGGGAAACCGGGAAACCGGGATACCGGGATACCGGGATACCGGGATACCGGGAAACCGGGAAACCGGGAAACCGGGATACCGGGAAACCGGGAAACCGGGAAACAGGGAAACCGGGAAACCGGGAAACCGGGAAACCGGTTAACCGGGATACCGGGAAACCGGGAAACCGGGAAACCAGGAAACCGGGAAACCGGGAAACCCGGATACCGGGAAACCGGGAAACCGGGAAACCGGGAAACCGGGATACCGGGATACCGGGAAACCGGGAAACAGGGAAACCGGGAAACCGGGAAAAGGATACCGGGAAACCGGGAAACCAAGATACCGGGATACCGGGATACCGGGAAACCGGGAAACCGGGAAACCGGGAAACCGGGAAACCGGGATACCGGGATACCGGGAAACCGGGAAACCGGGAAACCGGGAAACCGGGAAACCGGGATACCGGGATACCGGGATACCGGGAAACCGGGAAACCGGGAAACCGGGAAACCGGGAAACCGGGAAACCGGGAAACCGGGAAACCGGGATACCGGGATACCGGGAAACCGGGAAACCGGGAAACCGGGAAACCGGGAAACCGGGAAACCGGGAAACCGGGAAACCGGGATACCGGGATACCGGGAAACCGGGAAACCGGGAAACCGGGATACCTTTATACCGGGATACCAAGATACCGGGATACCGGGAAACCGGGAAACCGGGAAACCGGGATACCGGGATACCGGGAAACCGGGAAACCGGGAAACCGGGAAACCGGGATACCGGGATCGGGATACCGGGATACCGGGAAACCGGGAAACTCACTGGGAGGGATGGGGATGGGCAGGTTGCATTGAGGAGGTGAAGCGGATGCAAGGTTAGCAACTGAAGTCAAGTTGGAGGTGAAGTCAAGTTGGAGGTGAAGTCAAGTTGGAGGTGAAGTCAAGTTGGAGGTGAAGTCAAGTTGGACACATTGCAGCACACACACACACCTTGCAGCACACACACACCTTGCAGCACCCACACACACCTTGCAGCACCCCTTTGATGAGCTGGAAGGTGAAAGGGTTGGACACAAGTGTCGCAACAACCCCTTGCACACACACACATACCTTGCCCCACCCTTCTGCACGCAAACGCACCTTGCAGCACCCCTTTGATGAGCTGGAAGGTGAAAGGGTTGGACACATCGAGAGGCTCGGGGCAGGCAGCAGATGGCAGTAGCGATGGATAGCCCACCCCCCTGGAGAGGGGACAGGAATAAAATAGAGAGGGAAGATGGGGAAGGGAGGGGAATAGAATAGAACAGAGGGTGAAAACCGCACTGTACCACCCATGCTTATATCAATGAAGGACCATTCAGAGGGTGTAAATGAATGGGTAGGAGGAACGGCGGGAGGGAGTGGGTGACGGAGAGACGAATGGGGGTGAATGTGGGACTGTGGGGAATGACTGTAAGCGGGTGGGAAGGGTAAGGGAGGAGGAGAATGAGAGATTCTCAGGGTAAGGGAGTAAGAGAATGGGATGGGCTCAGAGCACCCCCCCTCCCCCCCCCGCCCTTCCATTTTCAGAGATTTTTAGGGGAACAAAAGAGGAGAGCTGACGAGGTGACTTGAGTCGACTCAAAAGTTGCGCATAAGGGGAAAAGGGAGGGGAGCTGACCATGAGGCAGCGTGTGCAGGTGAGTCGAGTTCAGGTACCACAATCACCCCCCTCTCCTCTGCGTATCTGGGCCACAAGAGGGCAGGCAGAAACAATAGGATTGAGACGATTTGAAACTGATGAGAAGGAATGAGAATAAGAGCAGCATAGAAAGGGAGGAAGGGAGTTGGCAAGAGGCGAGAGGATGGGAAGAACAGTCAGCAGAGGAGTTGGAACGAGGTGGCTGGCAGGAACATGCAACACAGGTGGCAAGAGGTGGCTGGCAGGAACATGCAACACAGGTGGCAAGAGGTGGAAAAGCACGAGAGCAGCGAGGAGGGAGGGAGCAAAAGGAGAAGGCAAGAAAAGGGAGGGTAGAGGGAGGGGGCGAGAAGGAAGGAGGGCAGAAGTGTTTTGAGACGTCTCAAAACACTACTTCAATCGCGAGGACGGAGGGAGAGAAAGGAGAAGGCAAGAAAAAGGAGGGGTAGAGGGAGGGGGCGAGAGGGAGGGAGGGCAGAAGGTACTGACTGACTGCACGATGTGGTGCATGTCATCAGTGGTGCAGCGCTCAGAGAGAGAAGACATCAACGAGGAAGAGAAAATAAGAGGTGTAGGGAAGGGAGAGGGAGGAAAAGAGACAGTGGGGTACAGCAGCTACTGACTGCACGATGTAACGCATGTCGTCAGTGGTGTAGCGCTCGGTGGGAGAGAAGGCTCCCAGCCAGAGGCGAGGGAAGGAGGGCGTCTCGATGGGGAAGGACTGTGTGTCCACCATGTGCCAGTGCCTGGTGGGGGGGCGATTGGGGGCACGGGGCAGGGGGGGCAAGGGAAGAGTGGGGGGGGGAAGGGAAGAGTGGGGGGGGGAAGGGAAGAGTGGGGGCGGAAGGGGAACGCAGGGGAGAAGTGGGGGTAGTGTGGGGAGAGTGTCTCGATGGGGAATGACTGTGTGTCCATCATGTGCCAATGCCTGGTGGGGAAGAGAGGGACGGGGGGAGGTTGGGGGAAGTAGGGGGAAGGAAGACAGGGGAATGAACGGGTGGAGTGCATTGATTGCAGAGAGGGTGTCTCGATGGGGAAGGACTGCGAGTCCACCATGTGCCATTGCTTGGTGGGGGGTGGTTGGCGTGACTCACACCACTCACAGCACGTTGAATGCATGGTGTGAATGCATGGTGTGAATGCATGGTGTGAATGCATGGTGTGAATGCATGGTGCGAATGCATGGTGCGAATGCATGGTGCGAATGCATGGTGGTGCGAATGCATGGTGGTGCGAATGCATGGTGGTGCGAATGCATGGTGGTGCGAATGCATGGTGGTGCGAATGCATGGTGGTGCGAATGCATGGTGGTGCGAATGCATGGTGGTGCGAATGCATGGTGGTGCGAATGCATGGTGGTGCGAATGCATGGTGGTGCGAATGCATGGTGGTGCGAATGCATGGTGGTGCGAATGCATGGTGGTGCGAATGCATGGTGGTGCGAATGCATGGTGGTGCGAATGCATGGTGGTGCGAATGCATGGTGGTGCGAATGCATGGTGGTGCGAATGCATGGTGGAACACAAGGCGTGCACCCCTGGCATGCACCCATTGCATGGTTCCATGTCACAAACACACTCACAGCACGTTGAGCTTGGCATAGGCCATGGAGTCAATAACCCTCTCCATCACTGGTACTGGCAGGAAGTGCCTCGCCGTGTCTGATGGGTTGATGGATGGTGGGTTGATGGGAATAAATGCGGTGGCACATGGGGATGACACATGGGCATGACACATGGGGATGGCAGGGGGCAACACCGCGACAGGGGTTTCGTCATACCAACCAACAATCCTCAATAGATTACAACAGAGGCCGAGGTGACGTTTGAGAAACGACGGGCACCAAGGGAGCACTCGTCACAGGGCGGTAAGTCGGTGAGCATGACTCGGCTTGCCGCGAATGTTTTTTGAGAATTCTCAAAAAACATTCGACGGGCACCAAGGGAGCACTCGTCACAGGGCGGTGAGTCGGTGAGCATGACTTGGCTTGCCTATGAGCAGGCCACGGTGGTGGAAGCGGGGGGCATCGCGGATGAGGAGAGGCGAGCCCCTTATGGTGACCACGCGAGCCACGAAGTCAAACACACACAGCTGGGCCAGGGTCTGTTACAGGAAGACAGGGAGGCAGGGGGGGAGAGGAGGGACGAGAGGACGGAGGGAAAGGGTGAATGGGGAAGGGAAAGACGGGTGCAAGGGGGAAAGGAGCGGATGGAGTGGGGAAAGGAAAGGAGGGGAGCTTTTATGGCGAAGGGAAGGGAAGGGAGAAATACGGCAATGCGGAAATGTATTATGGAGACGGAAGGGAAGGGGGAAATGTATTCTTATGGAGACGCCTAAAAAAGTGACGATCTTTGAGGCGCCTCACAATTTGAGATGTCTCAAAAAGAGAACGACGACAGCGCTGTAGGCGTACTTTCGAGAGTTCCCAAGATGTACACATGACATGACTACGAGCAGAGGTGGGACCAGCAGGTGACAAGAGCATCGAGAATCATATGCAGGCATGGCCGTTGGTGACTTGCTGGGGGACAAAGGAGAGCGTGATCAAGTGCAAACGAAGAGGGCTGACCTCCAATGCTCGCAATACTCCGGTGGTGGTGTTGGCCTGCAGATAGGTAGACAGACGCATGTGCATGCATGGACGGACGGGGCGTGGATCAACACAGCAGAACATGAGAAGAAGTGACGGAAAAAGGAATAGAAAAATAGCTGAATCGCAGTTAGCTGAATCGCAGTTAGCTGAATCGCAGTTAGCTGAATCGCAGTTAGCTGAATCGCAGTTAGCTGAATCGCAGTTAGCTGAATCGCAGTTAGCTGAATCGCAGTTAGCTGAACCGCAGTTAGCTGAATCGCAGTTAGCTGAACCGCAGTTAGCTGAATCGCAGTTAGCTGAATCGCAGTTAGCTGAACCGCAGTTAGCTGAATCGCAGTTAGCTGAACCGCAGTTAGCTGAATCGCAGTTAGCTGAATCGCAGTTAGGAACACCTGGCGCATGGCACGCACTGCACAGTACTGACCCGAATGGTGGCATGAGTGCTGCTCGCATTCCCACGGCGTGCAGTTGGGTTGCCATCGTCAACGTCATGAGCAGCAGCAGTGGCAGCGGCAGCATCATCATGTGGTGGAGTCGATGCGTGTGGGATACATAGCACGTAGCTCTCGTCCACTCCCATATGCAGCTGCACACACCATGCATGCCATGCCATGTCATCCATGCCATGCCATGCCATGTCATCCATGCCATGCCATGCCATGTCATCCATGCCATGCCATGCCATGTCATCCATGCCATGCCATGCCATGTCATCCATGCCATGCCATGCCATGTCATCCATGCCATGCCATGCCATGCCATGCCATGCCATGCCACGCAAAGCCATGCATGCATTGATAGTCATACCATTCGAGGCCAAGCTATGCCATGCCATATGATGCCACGTCAGCCAGCAAAGAACCAGCGCGCACATGAGTCATCATCCCGCCACCCCAATATCATGCCATGTTATGCCACGCCATCCCATGTCATGCCATGCCACGCCATCGCATGCAATGCCATGCCACGCCATCCCATGCCATGTGAAGGAGCGCTGATTTCACTGGACCAAACTCAACAATCTACAAGCAAGGACGTAAGCTCATGAATGAAAGAACTGAGAACTAGTAAGAGCGAGGAGGACACAAGCATGCACCACTCCTCTCTCTCACCTCTGCCTCTGCGTCTTCCACATGCACTCGCACCCACTCCATCACCTCTACCCCCTCCCCCTCCTCCACCTCCCCTCCCTCCCCCTTCGCTGCACTCTCCTCTTCCTCCTTTCCCCCCGTTTTTTCCCCATTCCATCCCGCCTCGTCTCCTCCCCCTTCCGCCGTCCATCCCCCTTCCGCCGCGTTTCTTCCCCTCAGCCGCCTCCTCTCCGAGCCGCCATGGCTCTGCCCGCCGCGCCGCCGCGAGTAGTCATGGGCGAAGATGATCCCAAGGTAACGCTCGAACGCGCGTTGCAGCACCTCCGCATTCTCCTCCCGCCTTCTCCCGTCCAGCAGGCTCGGCACTCCGCCGAAGCTAATGTCGAGCCTCAGGTCCGGGCTGACTACTACCTCTCCGCTTCCTTCCGCCGCAATTTCCGCCGGCATGGGCCACAGGCGCAACCCAACGCCTCCCCCTCCGCTCCCCCCTGCGCCATCGCCAGGCGGTTTCCCCGCATGCCTTTGCGCCTTCCGCGCTCGCCTCTGCTCCGCGCGCAGCCGGGGAAGCTGCGCAACCCGCTTGCGCCATTCCTCCGCGTTCTTCCAGCCTTCGTTATAAGCACTCTCCCCTTCACGAAAACGACCGGAAGGAACGAAATTAGCGTATGGACCAAACTCTGATTTTAGACTGCTCGGTTCCGCGGCGGGTCCACGTGGCTGAGAGTGGGCCACGTCGGACTCAGACGTGTACGAACGCGAGTGGAACGAAGGCAGGGGGAGGATTTCGAGCTCGAGCGAGAGAAGGAGCAGCGCGGCGACTAAGGTAAACGACACCCACGCGGTGTGCCAGCGGACGCGGGAATTGCGGCTCGAGTCTCCCGCGATGTTTGTGGGATGCGCGCGCGAGGACGGGGAGTGGCGGGATGACGGGGACGGGAGGAGCGGAATCTCGTGATCCGACGCCATGGCTTCAGGATTTGGTTTGGAATGTGAGCTAGAAATGTGGTGAGGTGATTGCTCTCGGGATTTGCGAAAGTTGATTTGTGAATCTATGGCTCTTGGGATTTAAGTCTTCGCTAAAAACGGTCCTGCTTGAGTGCTTCCACTAGTGTACAGGTATGGGTCATATTGTCACAAAATGTGATCCCTTAAATATCTATTGGGCAGGACTACCGTCTTTTCCCGGATATAAGACCCGGGGGACTTTATAAAAATTCAGTATAAAATGGTAGGGTGAACATCATGGAGGCTGGAAATTGATAAGACCCCCGGACATCTAATTTACTCATAAGAAACCGATTTTCGCTATCCAGTAGCTTTTTTCCAACCAGGATCGGACCTAATTAAAAAGAAATCGCGAAAGTACCCAGTCAAACCTTCGATCTGACACGGTCAACGCGTCAGATTTCGAGTCTGACGCATTGATCGCGTCAGAATTTCCCTTTATCCACCTAAAAAATGATTCGTGAATGTTGAGAAGCACTCGAAATTGCACAGTCTACACCAACGAGGGGGGTCTTTAAATGTTTAATAGCAAAAGGGGGGTCCTCACAGATTAGACCATATTAAGCGTACACCCCCCCGCATATAAGTCCCATGGGACATTTATTTCGGAGGGTCTTATATCCGGGAAAAGACGGTACGTCAGCAAGATAACTCAGTATATTATTACATAAATACACATTTAACCATACTTTTGGTACTTCGGAAACGCTATAATACCCTTCGGCAATGCTACATTCGAGTTTTTAAACACCGACTTCATGCACGTGTCCTGCATAATACCCAACACAGTTCAATCCCCTTCCACCTCACCTCCGTCCCACTGCTTGCGAGGAACCAATGGCAACGTGAATCCAACAAGGCAATTCCATGCTTGCCTCTTCATTTCAACAGGAAAACCTCACATCATCAAGCCCATTCTACCGGGCATTGAATCTACCGTAGGACATTCAAATGCAATTATGCAAGGCTCGTATCATATGCGCACATCACATGAAGAGAAGGGTTCCCTCCCATGTGCTAACATGCATGGAGATAAGGGTTCACGGGTGCGCACATGCATGGACGGAAGGGTTCCCGTGCACACACACATGGATAGATGGGCTCTTGTGTGATCACATGCATGGATAGACAAGCACCCATCTCATGTGCTCACATCTTTTGAGTTGGTGCGGTTTGGACAGGAAGCCACATACATCCGTATGAAACACTTTCAGATCAAGTTGGTTGATGATATGCGTGTCTGGCTTGAAAATGAAGATGGAAGTTGGTTTGCTACAGGCATACAAAACGAACTGGAAGGACACTTTTCGGAGTTGGCTGGGGGCAAAGGTTTCGGCTTGTCAATTGGAAACAAACTGCTCCTGAGTCAAAGAGGCTCGTGATGGTCTATGGGTTTGGGCATAGAGAAACGATGCGAATTATGAGTTGACTCAAAGGCCACTCGAATGGCCACAAGGATATGACATTTGCCTGCCGCACTTGGCGAGCTTTTGACTAGGGCTTTAACGTATGAAGGGATCAGATATGAGAGCAGCAAAATGGGAAAACAGCACAAGGCTTGGAGGTAAAACATAAAGCTCGGAGGGGGGACCCCGCCCGAGCATCCATAGAGGTTCACTTGTGCTGGCACAGAAGCTCACTGGGGCTTCCATCTAGGGGTTGTCTCTTTGGCTGAGTCTTGTTCCATTCAACTAGTTTCTAGATCTCTGAAGGAGTTTGAAGGAGATTGCATGGGTGTCCGGACCCCTGGCCCTGGTCCTGCTATGGAACTTCAAACCTTGGCCAGGCTTGAACTAGTCTAGTCAAGGGTGTCCAGGCCAGAGCTGTGACTGGAGGGTGTGAGAGGCTGTGTCAGCAACAAGGCTCTGAGTGCTGCAGAGTGAGGCATCGCGGATTGATCAGGGTAAACCAGGCATGGGCATGGGCATGGGCATGGGCATGGGGGATTGATGAGAAACAGAAGGCATGTTGGCGTGATAAGGGAAAGCTCATTGGAATGGTGGAGTGATACAGGCGAAGCTGGTATGGGCACGGACACGGGAGTGGGATGGGATGCTGATGAGAGATGCTGAGTGAATGGGCCATCAAAAAGTACAAGCCGTCATGAGGGAAGGAGGAAATGCAGGTGGAGATCAGAGGCACGGAGCAAGTTCAATGGCAGGCTTGGTGTGGCTAGGAACACAGGAAGAGGCAAGAGGCAACGCGTGAGACATGAGGCGTGTGTATGGGATACGTGAGGTATGGGATATCAGGTGTGGAGCACGAAGCACAGTGCATAGGGCATGGGGAACGGAAATTACACCAGGCGGCGAGATGCCATGAGCCCACGTCCATGCCATGAGCCCACGTCCATGCCATGAGCCCACGTGCATTCCATGAGCCCAAATCCATGGCATGAGCCCATGCCAAGCATGACTCCATGCAACAGATTACCCCATGAATGCAACCACCACTCACCGCGCCTGCAGCCACCTCCCCTGCAACAGTCAATACGCGTCACGCCTCTCAGCGTGCCTCTCAGCAGCAGCGGTGCCTTTGATGACAAATGCATGGATGATGGTCTGAGCCGCCTGCACCTGATCTGCCGACCCCACCACCCTTAAAGCATGATCCCACGCCAAGCATAACAGCAACCACCACTTACCACGCCTGCAGCCCTTTTCCTTCCCGGAATCAGTAAGCCTCACGCCTCTCCGCATGCCGCTCAGCAGCGGCGGTGCCTTTGATGACAAACGCGTGGATGATGGCTTGAGCCGCCTGCACCTGATCGGCTGAACCCACCACCTCCACCACGCGCTCGCTCTCCCCCTCCCTCCCTTCATACATGCGCACTCGCGCCCCTGATATCTGCACAGGTGAAAGGGGAAGGAGAGCCAGGGTGGGAGAACAAGCAAACAAGCAAACGAGCCACGTAAAGGGGAAAACAAATAAGCTCCTCCGATATCTAGTGACCAAGCTCTGGGGTTCCACAGGTGAAAGGGGAAGGAGAGCCAGGGGGGGAGAACAAATAAACTCCTTCGATATCTAGTGACCGGATGTAACTTTTGCCCCAAAACTATCAATCGAGTTTGTGAATCCATCCACTCTCCCTCTTCAGTACATACCTCCAACTGCATCCTCCCCACACCCCCTTCCCCCCATCGTACACCCCTAAATCCAACCCCCATCTTCCTCCCCCTTCCCCCCCCCCCCCTCCCTCCCTGCCGTACGCTTTTGATCTGCTGAATGTTGGATCCGCCCTTGCCGATAACCGCCCCTGCTGCCACAGCCGGTACCGTCACCAGCGCCGTCATCACTCCCCCTGCTCCACCTCCTGCTCCTGTCCCGCCAGAAGCTCCACCACTGCTCGCAGCAGCGGCGGCAGAGCCACCAGCACTAGCAGCAGCAGCATGAGCGGGAGGAGGAGAGAAGTGGGCAGGTGCGGGTGCAGAGGCATGTGAGTAGCTGCATGCATGAGGAGGACGATGAGAAGGGGATGGGAGGGTTACTGGGAAGGGGATGAGGAGGGGAGTGGAAGCGGCACAAGGAGGTGGAATATGGAGGGGAGTCGAGAGGTAAAAACAGAAGGGAATGTGGAAAACGGAGGGGTGCACTAGGCAAAACGCTGTAGAGGGTGCAGTATAGGATACCCCATGGGATGCACTAAATTATGTCGATGCACTAGATTATGCACAATGGTAGGTATGTCAACTCAAACGTACTTGGCATAGTCTTGTGCTGCCGCTGGCGCCACATCCCATCCAGAGCCCCTGAGAGAAAGTGAGGGAGTTAGGAGGACAAGAGAAGAGAGGGGAAGGAGACGCAAGAAAAGAAGGGTGAGGCACAAATTCCCCTCTCGTGACTTGAAAGCAGTTAACGTTTGAGTGAGGGAGGTATTACCTGGGAGCAGCGTAGCCTGAGTCATGGTATAGTTTTGAGGCGCCTTAAAACTAGGCGCCTCAAAACTAGGCGCCTCAAAACTAGGCGCCTCAAAACTAGGCGCCTCAAAACTAGGCGCCTTAAAACTAGGCGCCTCAAAACTAGGCGCCTCAAAACTAGTTTTGAGGCGCCTCAAAACTGGGAAGTGTTACCTGGGAGCAGCATAGCCTGAGTCATGGTAGGAGGGTTCCACCTTGGGCTGCTATGAGGGGTGTGCGGGGGAGAGGAGAGGGGGGTGAGGGTGGGAGGGAGGGCGGGCAGGAGAGAAGGAGAAAGCAAGGGGACAAACAGAAGAGAGAGGGGAGGGAGGGAGGGAGGAGCGCAGAAGGAGGGGAAGAGGGAGAGGAGTTTAGTTTCGAGTGAAGAGCTGGCTAAAATGCAAGTAAAAAAAAATGAAAGAAAGAAAGAAAGAAAATGCAGGGACTTCAAATGACGCATTACCTTGACCCCTCATTCCTTCGACCATGACATCATGCATGCATCACCTCACCGCTTCACAACACAACCCACTGCAGTGCATCGCATTGCACCGCATGCACCTCACCTCGTACGACCACCCAACAGTGCCATCAGGGCCCCCAGCAGAGAGAGTCGCCACCACGGCTGGCGCTGCTGCTGCTGCTGCTGGAGTTGAATACCCATACGCCCCCTCCACTCGACTGTTCGACCCAGGATAGCTGTACCCCCCTCCCCTCCCTGTCTCTGCATAACCACCCGCACCACCCGCACCAGCACGAGCACCACCAGAAGCACCACCACGAGCATCGGCAGCAGCAGCGCCTTTAGAGGCAACGGCGGTTTCCCGGCCTCGGATGCGAGCACAGATGAGGCGCAGAGCGTGTGAGACACAGTGGGGTTCGCCTGATACCTGGTGGGGGCGAGGAGAGGGGAGGGAAAGACATGCAGTGGGACACAGTGGGACACAGATGAGGCACAGTGGGACACAGTGGGACACTGATGAGGCGCAGAGCGTGTGAGACACAGTTCGGCTCGCATGATACCTGGTGGGGGGGATGAGAAGGGGGCGGAGGGGGGAAGAGAAGGGAGGGGAGAGGGGTGAAGAGAAGGGAGGGGAGGGGGGTGAAGAGAAGGGAGGGGAGAGGGGTGAAGAGAAGACACGGAGATTCACAGTGGGGCGTGTGACACACAGTGCGGCTCGCGTGATACCTGGTGAAAGGAGATGGGGGGAGAGGAGAGTGTAGAGTGAAAAGGTGGGAAAAGACATGCAGGCCAGTGTGATGGGATAGAGACAACGAGAGCGGCTAATGCAGCAACAGCAGCACCCACCATCCATCACCCACCACCCACAATCACCCATCACCCACCACCCACCACTAACCACCACCCACCACTCACCACCAGCACTTCATCGCTCTCATCCGCGCATTTGGGCAGCTGGTCCCTGGGAGGGATGCTGATGCGCGCCCTGCTCGTGCTCCTTAGCTCGCTAATTATGCTGCCGCCCTTGCCCATCACACACCCCACCTGGAGAGGCAACAAGGGGAGAGGGGTGAGGAGTATGCACATGGTGAAGAGGCGGACTAGAGGCTACCAGACAGTGACTGCTGCTAACCTTAACACAATCCTCTCCTTTCCCTCCCTCACCTGCCTTCCCATTCCTCTCCTCTCACGCACCCGCCCCTCTTTCTGCCAACTGGTTAACAAAATCCGTCTTTCCCCCTTCTCAACAGCTCACCTGCCCCTTTCTAACGAGCAGCCGCGCAGTCACCCCGTGGCTGTCTCTCCCGCCCTCCTCCCCTGCGCCTGCCGCCCTGTCGCCCGTGTGGGGCTGCGATATGGCAGCATGCACGCGGAACAGCGCCTCCTCAGTGGGTGAATGGGCGGAGAAGGGCGCCTGCGGGAAAGGGGGTGGGTGGGTGTGCGGTGGGGCGAGATGAGAGAGTGAGATGGCTGCATGCACGCGGAACAGCGCCTCCTCCGTGAGTGAGTGGACGGAAAATGGCGCCTGGGAGAGAGATGAGAAGCGGGAAAGCGCGATAATTAGAAAGGAGGGAGGGACACTCACGAGCGAAGAGAGAGGATGTGAGAAGCCTGGCAATGAGAGGAGAAGAGAGAGTAATGATTCCCCGAAACTTGAATTCTAAACCCCGAAACGGTATCTTGTAAACCCTGACCCCAAACCCTCATTTCATATCGTGTCATCTCCATGGCATCGATTAAAACCAAGGGCTCAACGTTTGAGAAAATGCTCAAGAACCAACCAGCCAGCTAACAACCAGTCAATTAGTCAACTAGTCAACCAGCCAATCAGTCAACTAGTCAACGAGTCAAACTAGCCAATCAGTCAACTCGCTCACCTCCATGGCATCGATGATAACGATGCGCTCATCGCAATCCGCAACGGCCTCTGTGACCTTCACTCGCGCTCCAGTCTCCTCCTTGATCTGCCACCCACAGCATCAGTGCAAGCAGCCAGCCAGCCATGCAACCCATGCCAGCCATGCAACCCACGACAACCATGCACGCAGTGCACCCGGGCTAAGCGATTAAATCAACGCACACAGAGGGCAGTGAGGCACTTAGAAGAAAATACAGGCCATCAGGATGCAGAATCTATGTTGGATACACAATGGATGCACTGAACAACCGCATCCACACAATGTTCAGTTCGAGACAACTGACAGGCTGCTTCCCTCGCCAGGGTCCCTCCTCACTCCCATGCACCCCATAAACCTTCCTTTTTCACACTCCCATGCACCCTCCTTTCGGCACTTCCATTTTACCCACCTGCTTCGTTGCAGTCACACCCACCTGCTTCGTTGCAGTCACACCCACCTGCTTCGTTACAGCCACACCCACCTGCTTAATCCGCGAGCCCCCCTTGCCGATAACAATCCCCACTTTATCCGCGGGGCATAGCACCCGCAATTCCATCTCCACCGCCGCCCCCTCCGCGCCTCCCCCGCCCCTTCCCCCATAACCGTGCGCCCCCCCTGCTGCTGCGCCCGCGCCCCACGCTCCCCCGAAGGGAGACGGCGCGGCTGCGTAGCTCTGGGGGGGAGCGTAAGGGGAGTAGCCTTGCGGGGGGTGCAGCGGGGGAAAGGCCGCAGCTGGGGCGGAGCGAGAGGGGTACGAATCCGTTCCGCGGTGGTAACCCGACGCCTGGTAACCAGGCTGGTAACCAGGCGACGGCTGGTAACCAGACGTGGGGTGCATGGCGAGGAAGTTGGGCGGGTCGCGAGGAGGCGAGCGACGGAGGCGGATGGATATGAGCTCTAGGGCCTTCTGGACCACAGGATATTCGCCCGTCACCTGCCACGTGGCATGGCAACACGGGAGAACACAAAATTGGGACGTGTCTTTACCCATGAAAGCCGTAACATCGCGATTTCTTTACGCGCCTCTAGCACCGCGTACCTGCATTTTGAGGCGCCGCCAAGAGAAAAGTACCTCGTCTCGTCCGACCGCGTTCCTCCACCTCTTTACCTGCATTAACTCGATTCTCTAGGAGCCTCAAAGGCTGCATACCTGCACTAACTCGTCCGTGGGCAGCGCGCAGGGCGGCAGTTTGTCCTTATTGAAGATTCTAATATGCGCGCCGCTGTCCTGCCGCATGCCCGCTATGATCGAGCCGCCCTTCCCCAGAAGACACCCGATCTGACTGCTCGGCACGAGTAGCCTCGCGGGGGTCCCTCCGCTATTAGCAGCTCCGTTACTAGCACCACCCTCTGCTCCGTCCTTGCCACGAAACTCGCGATTGTCGCCATCCGCGTCGGCGATTCTCGCATGCACGCGAATCAGGGCTTCCTGTGCGACGGACCAGTCGTCCGGGCGATCCACAGACGCGTCGCCGTCGTTCGCAGGGTCGCCGCTGCGAAAATTCTTGTCGCTACGAGAGGAAATTATTATAACGCGTTCGTCCGTGCCGGGGATGGGATCCGCGAGCTTGAGGCGCGCCCCGGTGGACTCGCGAATGCTCTGAATGATCACGCCGTGTTTCCCGAGGAGCGACCCGATGCGCGCCTGGCGGAACGGCGAATCAGATCAATCGGTTGAAGAACAAAGAAGGTGGGTGGTGGAAGGGGGGGGGGGGGGGGGAGAGGATGTGGTTGCGGAGAGAATGGATAGCGGAGAACGAAGGGTTTGCGGAAAGAAAGCGGGTGCGAAAACAACGCTATTCCACTATACTTGTGAATGACTCCGAGAGCCTCAGGCGAGCTCTCATGGAGACTCGGGTGCGCCAATGCGTGAGAACGGATTTGTTGAGAAACGGTTTTGACAAGAAAACAAAAAAAAGATGGGAGGTGGAGTGCGTGTGGTGGGAAACAGGGCAAGAGCTGGATGCTCGGCGAACTCCTAAGCCATGACCCCTAACGAACGCCTTCGCCGCCGTGCCTCTACCAATGTGCCTCTACCGATGTCGTGCTTCTGACGTCGTGCTTCTAACGTCGTGCCTCTAACGTCGTGCCTCTAACGTCGTGCTTCTAACATCGTGCCTCTAACATCGTGCTTCTAACGTCGTGCCTGGGGGCAGAGGATGCGGAAGACGACGTCCGAGTCGCTCCGCTCGTCCCGCTCTCGCCGCTTCTCGCGGCCGTTCTCGTGGTCGTAGTCGCCGGACCGCTTAGACATGCTGACCGCAGTATTTAGAGACGGGAGGAACGGATCTTTGGAACTATTTGCTGGAAAGGGAAGTCCGAGCTGACTGCTGGCTACATAAAGTTGACCCAGAAGTTGGTCTGAGAAAACATATGCTTCAAAACAGCATCCAGAAACCAATACATGAGAAACATCAGTCGCGATCGCATAGATGGGCTTTTATTTATTCGACAATATCAATGTTTCTTATATTTTCCTAATAGCTGTTACCACAGTAAATTCAAAATACAGTTGTGGATGTGCTTGTAGAGGAGTACGCTTGTGGGCATCGAGACCGGATGTGCTACAGAGGTCGCTTGCAGCGAAAGAGAGTAACTTCGCCGGATTGTTCCGAAATTCTTTCCGTCTGGAGCAAATCAATGCGGCTTCCAAGTTCCCCACTAGCTCTTGTCGAACCTACATGCAAGTGATTGATCTGATCTGCTTCCCTTTCATGCGAGTTACGTACATAACCGAAAGGAAAGAGCCCTTCTGTCCAGCCCAAATCTTCCACTCTTCTGGTGGAAGGCATCCTTCATGGGTCATTCATCGCTTTTATCGTGTGCAAAACGCGATTTTGGGTGGGGAATCTGGACTCGGAAACCTTTCAGGTGCGCAAAACGAAAAACTCTTCCCACTCTCCTTTCTTGCCCTGTCTTCCTTTTGCCTTGGTACTGTACAGTATCGCATGGTTACGTCCTCGCAACTGGTGCACTCTTCCTTCCCCAATCCGTCCACTCTGTGGCTGTCAGTCACCCATCCCGTCCCCAGCTCTCCCTATTCCCGATTCCAAGGCGATGTTCGGTTGCCGCATTGCCGTTCCTCGCGCCCCCGATTTCCCGACCGGCTTCCCCGACCAAACTTCCCGCCCCGAACAACTTCCCCCCGTACCCGAACCCCGCAACATCAGCCGCCAAGAAACCCACCACTCCACTGGACTCTCTCGTCTCAACTCAACGACACATTTGTGCAATCGAAGGTGGAATTTCCACCACAACCACTCACATCACACAGGGCCACAAATAAATGCCGCCGCGACCAGTGCCCCTTTCCTCGAAGCTAAATTACAAAAATCGCAACTTGGAAAAGGAAGGTCATGGATGGAACGTGGATTTCGATCAGCGACACGTCGAACTAGAGCGTCAGTACCTCCTAAGCGTCCACTTCTATGAATCTCCTTCAGCCTCCCCTTTCCCAGTGTAGCATTGAGTCTTAGCCTTCCGAATTGAGGGAGTTGCCTTTCGTTGTTGCTCAGCCGCTTCTACCCTCTCGCCCAACACCGATCTCCGTAAATTCGACTCTGCATTGCGATTGCGATCGACTCTGGATTGAATCCATCGAACTATGGCCTCTATCAGCGCCATAGCTGCGCGTCAATTCTCCTTTAAAACCTCCACAGCCGTAACGGACTCCGTCAAACATCATGATGATCCCGTCATCGTCATGCTCCCTGATGGCTCCATTCGCTTCTTTGACGACTCGTCGACCGAATCCGGCGAGCATCTAACGGCGCAGACCGTCCTCTCTGAGTATCCTGATATGCACCTCACATCGGTCGTATCCGTCGTGTCACCAACCACCCCTCTCGTGCCTGGCGAAACCTATTTCCTCACGCCGAAGCGAGCTACCCCGCAGGCAACAATCCGCCCGCCTCCTCGCCGATGCTCTATTTCTCGCAACGGGTCGCCGGTTCTTCCGCCGTCGCGACGAAGCCTGCGAGCCGGCCCAGCCAGTTTCGTCGTGGCGCGCGATTTACACGCGACGGTCGAGACTGCTACGGGAATTTCATCGGCCGGATGCAGCAATGTGCGAAAAGAACTTCAAGCGAAAATTCCCGAGTCGGAAATTGGCTTCGTCACGCATGCATGCTTGGGTAACAGACGTCGCAGCTGTTCGAACCTAGGTGACCGGGAACGTAACGAGGACGAGGATTCGATAGAAGATCCTGGACTTATCAAATCGAAGACCTACAGCGGAAGGCAAACGCTGAAAAACAGCATAAGCCCAGTAAAGGCAATATTTGAAAGGCGACACATTGAGTTTTCCCCTCTACGTGGCGATATTCGCCGAAGCGGAGTGTGGTCCAATAGCTCTTCGCCAGCGTCGTCCGTGTCCAGTGTTACCAGCCAGCGAGGCGAAACCAACCCCCCATCGCCACTCACCACCCAGAATCTCATCCTCGCTGAAGTAAGACCCGTTCTACATTTGCGATGCTTTCACCCAAACTCCTTCGCAATGATCGCATTTTGGAAAATCTCAGCCAAACTCACCCCTATCGTGATCCCTCCTTTTTCCAGATTGCTGCACTTGACGAGGAATGTTATATCGCGGATATCACCAGCACCACATCAGCGACCACCACGACCACGGTTTTTTCACCTTCCTCCTCATCGCTCAAATCTAAGGTCCTCGCGACGCTCGCGCAGTTCAAGCCCAGCAACCTACGACGCTTCACTTCCCCCGCAAAAAGGCATCAGTCCGCATCTGCCGCTAACAATGCTTGTGACGCAAAGGCTAACAGCGGATTCGAGTCAGCACAGGACTGGGCTGACGCGGACAGCCGGCTGTTCATGATGACGGACACGCGGATTCGGCACCGGCGGCCGCCGAACGGTGCTGACCGCGGCGCACGTGTAGAGAAATTACAGCATGGCGCCGCACGAGCGATCCCCTCGCGGATCTCTTGGGCCGTCACAGCGAGCAACCAGAAAGGCAGTCGCACAGCTGCTGTGCGTTCTGGTGCTGATCTCGCCGTTCCCCGCCAACCCCAGCGCTCTCCGTCGGTGTCGACCGAATCTGACAGTCCCATATCATTCAGCATTTGCCGGAACTGCCACGGCATGAGCAACTGCTGCTCGTGCGACCCGCAGCAGCCCTCGCAGGGCCCTCGGCGACACAGCATGTCGTCAGCACAGAGGGTCGTGATGGAGCGATGCGACGCTGCATTGGCTGCCAGGAGGCGAAGTGTGGATGGGGATGCTGGGTATGTGATGTCCCCCACGAGCCAAAGTTTTTCATCTGGGCCATTGGCACCGCGCGCCATCTTCTAGAATCCGCAAACCAAGATTTTGAGAAAAGCCTGGGGGCGTGCCGCGGGACAATCCGCAGCAGCGTTTTGGGCTTTGCGAAGTTTGGGATTCTTGCGGTGATGGGTGTTCCTGATTTCCGTATTCTCTGCTTTATCAGCTTGCTCAACAAACTGGAAGTATGTCAATCTATTGTACCATACAATGTTTAATTCTTGGTACCTTATTCTTACTGGTGCTATATTCCAATACCAAATTAGGTCCGAGTCTAACATCGTATTCTTTAGTCTCTGCAGGGAAAGGGAAAAGATGTAGAAGAAAAAGTGCAAACCATCAAAATTTCCCCCCACCACCCCAGCTGAAGTACCCAAACGAAATTCCAACCATTACCAGCCTATAGAATGGAGGTAATTTCCTTGATTAGCTTGGATGTGTCTCCATAAAAGCTGAAACCAAATGCAGTCCAGTTCTGTTATGATGTACACATAACGAGGTGAGCTGTACTTGCTGGGCGAATGAGAAGCGGAATATACTTTACGAGCTCGTTCTTTCTCCGCTCTAGGTTTGACCGAAATGTTCCGTGATTGCAGCAAGACCCAAACACGACAATACTGTGGACCAGGCGTTTTATTCGCTGTGTAACAGTACCGAACCAAATCAGCCCAAAACCCGTTCCACTGCCCCCTGCTCCAACGCTTCCCCTCTGGTGATCACATGCTCAAGGCACAACTGTTTCACTTTTCCGCTTCCCGCAACTACGTTTTATGTGGCTGTCAGTCATCAAGTCCATCCCCATCCCATCACATTCCTTTCTGGCTCTGCAGCATCAGCCCGCAAACCCAACCTGCAAGCCACCCCTCACCCAGTCTGCTCAAAGTAAATACTGTAGCGCCCATTTCTCGCCACTTACGGTAAGAGTGACTGATGCTAGTTTTTTTCTGCACTGAAATGCTAGGATACAAAATCGCAACATGGAAAAGAAAGGTGACATACAGCTCTCTTTCGCGGTTTCGATGGGACGCGGATTTCGATGTAAGGGCGTGTATCTTTTGCCCGAACCTGAAAATGTCCGGACCTAACACCCAAACCGTCCGTACTGCCTCGGTACGGACGTCTGGGTTTCCAGGTCCGGACATTTGCTCGTCCGGACCTTCAAAGTGGAACTTTTCGAGGGTTTGAAATTTGAACGACTGGCGACACGTTACACCCGCTACCAATTTGTTTCGGGCGCCAATGACAGCAAGGCAAATTCGGACGGTTCGAATCTGTCATCCCTGATGGTCCGGACCATTTTCCCGTGCTGCCAACTGTGCTAACTGTCAGAAATGGTCCGGACATTGGCGACGTCGCCAATGTTCTCGCGAAGTTTGTCTTGAACTTTCGCGATTTTTGTAACCACGTTGGTTGCCTCCTAGATTCAAACTCCTGTACGGAAAAAACGCCTAGATCGCGATCAAGCTATTAACTGCTTCAGTTTCCGTTTCTCCGAAATAGCTTCCCTCTTCAAGCTTTATTTGACGAGAATGTTGCCCTCATCGTTGCGCAGCCGCGACCCTCTCGCCTCAGATATAAGTTCGGTGAATTTGACTTCACATTGCATTCGCAAACTCGCAATCACTTCACGACATGGCTTCAATCAGCGCCATAGCTGCACGGCAATTCTCCTTCAAAACCTGCAAAGTCGTAGCAGAGACCATAGTCGAGAACGATCCCGTCATCGTAATGCTCCCTGACGGCTCCATTCGCTTCTTCGACGACTCGTCGACCCAATCCGGCGAGCATCTAACGGCCCAGACCGTCCTCTCTGAGTATCCCGACACGCATCTCACATCGGTCGTATCCGTCGTGTCACCAACCACCCCTCTCGTCCCGGGTGAAACCTACTTCCTCAGGCCGAAGCGAGCTACCCAGCAGGTGACCACCCGCCCGGAGCCTTCTCGTCACTGCTCTGTTTCGCGCGAGGGGTCGCCGGTACTTCCGATTTCGCGCCTGAGCCTCAGAGCCGGCGGCGGAGCCGCGTCGAGTGACGCGATCCCGGTAACGCGCAGCGTGCAGCGAGATCTACTCGCGACGGCCGAGACTGTTACAAGAATCTCGTCGCCCGGATGCAGCAAAGTGCGAAGCGAACTTGAAGCGCGTATTGCTGAATCGGAATGGGATGTTGCCTTCAAGCTATCGTCCAGCATTTGCCGGAGCTGCCACGGCATGAGCAACTGCTGCTCTTGCGAAGTGCAATCTGTCGCCTCCACGGATTGCGATTCACAGCAGGCGTCGCAGGGCCTTCGGCGACACAGCCTGTCGTCAGCAGAGCGGAAAGGGATGGATCAATGCGACGTTTCACTGGCCGCGAGGAGAAGAAGCGTGGATGGGGACGCCGAGTACGTCAAGCCCCCAGCAGCCAGAGGTTCTTGGCTGGGCCCTTGGCAGCGCGCGTCATCTTCTTGAGGCAGCTGCACTATTTATTTCCGACTGGAAACCTAAATTCTGGGAATAAACCTAGATCCCAAGCGAAGCCTGCAGCCAAGACAATCTGCAGCAGCGTTTTGGGCTTCAGCGTGATTGCTACAGCGACTGGTGTTTTTGGTAGTGTGTGGTTCCTCCTGACCTCCTCATTTCCCGTTTTTGGGTGCTGGTTGCTTATCAGAACCAACTGTAAGTACTGTCACTCTATTGTACCATACAAGAAATAGATGACACACCAAGTTCCTGGACTTATTTTACTAGATGCCTAGTGATGTGTTCTTCACAGTGCGAAGTAAATTAGGGGCGAAAACGTAGTAGACCGCCCCACACAGCACGCACAAGCGGCACCAGTGATAGCAAGTCCCACAGGCCTCGGGGGAATTGAAGATAAGGCAGGTACATAGGAGTTCCAGTTTGCGTTGCTCAGCCACTCGTGAGCCGTGACCCTGTCGATGATGGAGAGCGCAATATCGACTGCAACCATGCTGAAGTTAGATTTACCGTACAGAACCGTATCCAACCCCGTGGTGCGGGTGACAGCGAAAGATGTAATATCATTTCCTCTTTACTTGTCCGTCAGATTCAAAAAACTCCGAACTCAAACGGGAATCGAATCTGCTTCAATGTAGAGAGGAGTCCCCCAGCACTGCATCTGTTCCTGGTTTTGCAAGAACCAATGTAGGCATTTTTAGAACTAATCAAACCGTAAAAATCCGGTTTACACCGTGCTGAAACGTTCTTGAGTGATCTCACATACGCTCTTGTGCTTGCATGAAACGACGTTCTCGAGTTTAGCATGAGAAGCTAGCGATGGAGGAATAAAATTATCGTTTCATGGCGGGGAGTGTGGCATTGCTGCATGGCGGGTGGGATGGGCTCCACGCCAGCGCGGAAGCAGGTCATGCATTGACTCCCGAGGAGGAACCGCAAAGGATGGTCTGGATGATGAAGATATCGAATCCTGGTATCGTGACCGTGTAACACATTCATGGCTCGGTTCTTAGGTTTCGAGTCCTACATCATGCAGGCTTGGCCTCCTAAAACGCAACGCATCATGATGTGTAGCGCGCCGACGTTTCACCATCAGCAAGCAGCATTATGCGTGGGTCGGAGCACGGCGCGCAGACTAGGCGGAGCGAGCGGGGACGAGCATGAGCATGAGGAGGGTGAAGGGAGGCGAGCGCAAGGCGTGGCGATGTGCGTCGTTGCCGCTGACTCTTGGAGAGAGAATATGCTGTCAAGCTTTTCTTGCCTCCGTTATAATCGTCCTACTTGGATAAATTTAATCCATAGAGCACAGCCGCTACCAGTACCTACGGCGGTCGTGGGACACAACTACGGCAACATCTTCTCCGAAAAATAATCGCGTGCGTCTGCGCGCATCATCTCTCCACCGCCTTTCCTGCCTAGCCGATCGTCCTCCGTGAAAGTAATCTCACCCCCACCGTCACCGTACCACCCGCCACCCTCAACCTCGCCGTCACCCTCATTATCAAGGTCACGCGCACCCATGTGTATCCTGCTGCCGTGCGCCGATCCGACCACGCCCGGCGTGTGGTGGCGCGACGACGCGCAGTGGCGCCGCTACCCGCTGCACCTCGAGAACGCCGTTCGCAACGCCATCGCCAGGGGTCTCCCGTCATTCGATCTCGGCACCTTCGCATCCGACGCGTACCCTAACGGCGCGCGCTATACCGCGGATCTGCGCGCCATGACGCAGCGGAACGTGCAGAGCGGGTACACACGCCAGATTAAGGTGATTGGCGCGGCGCTGCCCGCTCCTGCGCCGTCCCAGGCCTTGGGAATGCCGAATCAGCAGGTAAGGCAAGCACGTATCCGATCATTTATGCAAGATTTTCCTTCATCATTTTCTTTTCTTCTTATATGTTTTTTTATTCATTATTCCAACTTCTTGTTCATGATTTATCCCCCTTATTTCTCTGTACTCCCATGCTGTGCTTTCCCAGGGCCTTCAGCTGCCAGGGGGAGCACCCATGCCGACCATCCACTGGCGTGACAGTCGCAACAACCTCCGGCAGTACGACGCAGCCACGGCCCGAGCCATCTTCCGAGCCGGCGCGCAGGGCTACATGTGCGCGCAAACCGCGCCAATCATCACCGATGCGTACCCCTTGGGCGTGGTGTATACTGCAGCGCATGGTGCAGCGGAACCCATTCACGGGCAGGGAGAGGGATGTGGTGGTGCAGTTTCCACACAACCCTCTGGAGCTGCTCAAGCTGGCTCTGGGGGCAACTGGGGAGGATCGCAAGCAGGTAAGGGGTGGAAAAAGAAATTCATGTTTTCCTTTATTTTCTTTTTTTGTCTGTAGAGATGTTGTAATAGTCCTTGCCCACACATTCATGGGTTGCTGAATTGCCTTGATGATGCAGCTGTTAGGTGCAACACTGGAAGCGTTTTGCTCAGAGGACAATGTGATGACGATGCTGGCGGGAAAGATTTCGCCGTACCAGGTCATTGCGAAGCGGCGCAACCCGAACCTGCAGCTTGGGCAGCCGGTGTTTGACAAATTCGTGGAGTCCATGGAAGGGATCGCTACTGGCTGCGCCAACCTCAGCCCCAGTGAGTAGCGAGGCAGAGCTGCTGCCTGTGTGAAAGAATCTCGGAGTGAGGGCTCTGTCTGAGCGTGTGAGGGCTGGAGAATAATTTTGAAATATCTCTAAATCAGTCTCTATGTGTGAGGGCTGAAGGAGCCTGTGTGAGAGGGTGTGAGAGCTGGAGGAGCCTCTGTGTGAGGGTGCATCGGCGGATGGACTCTCGAGGCTTGTGAGCAATGTGGACAGTGGCCAGCCTGCCAGTTCTTGAGCTTTCCCAATAAGTTAGCCCACCCTACCTTCATTACCTTTTTGCCATGGCCTCCTGCTTTCTGCACGTTCTCCGTCTTGGTACCCAGGTAACTTGATCGACGGACAGACCCAAGCAAGTGGCCTGCCCCTCCCCCTGCAGCTCGCATTCCATGGCACCCCACCAGAGAACATCAACTCGATTTTCAAGGAGGGCATGAGGGCCAGCCAGCATTGGTTTGGCTGCCATGCAAGCGTCAGCAGGTCATATGTCACTCCATCACGCTCGGGCCCCGCTGGGCCTGTGTGGAAGCTCATTCTCTTTGTGCTGCTCATGGTGCGGACCGTGATTTCCTCGCGGTCTGATAGTGTGGTGGTGATGACAAGTGCGCATCATGAGCTGCCTGTATATGAGATTACTTTCCAGGGTTAGTGGTGGACGAGGGATGTGAGTGTTGTAGATTTTGCTGTCGAAATGATTGGCTGCTACTGTAGTTTGCTTGTGTACAGCTTGAAAAGTGCTATAGAATGTGCTAGGTTTTTTTTACTAAATGGAGTTTCTTATCACCTAGTGTATTTCTGCCAACCGTCCTTCACCTAGATATCACCCTGATTTCCCCAGCACCGATTGACTTGACTCGTGCCACTTGTGGTTGGAGCGAGCTCGTTGTGAAGTTGACCAATCACGAACTGTCGATGCTTTCGAGAATGACTCCCGTCCGATAGTGAATGACGACTCCAAAGCACTGCGAAACCACGCTTGAGACCATTCCATCCTGTTTCAACCCACTCAACCCGTCGTAACCTCCCACATTCGTTGCAGGAGTGGGTTTGGGTAGGGCGAGATGCCTGCACTGCCAGTTATGCTGCTATGCGGGTGCTCCAGTGCTCCCCGAGTCTGGATTTTGGATTCAAGTTCTTCCACCTCGAAATCTCCTCGACCTACTTTCGAGTCCAGCCAGAGCACTCCTCTATCAAGCGAGTAGTTCATTTTCATTCCTCACCACTCCTCTCCAGGTCTAGCATTTTTCCTCACTTGGTGAGGGTGATTCTCTATAGCTGCATCTGTGAGCTGTCGCTTCCGGGTGCAGTACCAGCCCGTCCAACTCAATCCAGTCTAAGTCGCCGTCTTAGCATTTGAAACCAACTGGAAACATCATCTAGACTTGTTGATTATAATATTCAGAATGGTGTTCAATAGATTCGGCGGACATGACATTCCAGGAAGCGATCTCTCCGTCGCAGCAGCTGCCACATCTGCCTTCGCCTCCCTCTTCTCCGCCGCCTGCGACGTCGCACACCGCTTGCAAGCGAGTAACTCCCATGCGTGCGACAGACTGAGCGACGCTTCTGTGGACCACGCCACTGCATCGCCAGAACAAAACGCCGGGGCAGACGATTGTAACGCGTCGCCGATGGAAATTATTCCACTAACGGGATCTGGAAACGCGTGCATTCAACTGGGGCTCGGCGTTGGCGGAGCGAGCGCGAACTTCTATCAGCGGCTCGGATCCGGAACCGGCCGGCTCGTCGCTGCGGCTGTAGCGGCGTCGACTCGCGCCGCAGGCCCGCTTGTCGCGTCGCACATAGCCCACCGCGTCGTCTGGCTACAGCCGGCGAAAGGCCTGCTACAGACGTCGGCTGCGGCTGTCACGCCTGCAGTCGCCGGCCCAGCGGGACCAGGATTGGGTGCGCTGCCCGTTGGAGTCGCACGTCTGCCGATCGTTTTGCAACAGTCTGCGATCGGCGGACTTTTGTCGCTGAGCGCGGTGGCATTAGGGGCATTGGGATGGGCGAGGGCGTGTTCAGCGGAAGACGAGCGCGTCGGAGCGCGGCCGGGGGTGCGGGGGGATGGTTCGCGGGAGAATTCCGCGCTAGGTCAAGGCGCGGGGGAGGACGAAGCGGAGGCGGTGCTTTCACAAGTGGCGTCTGTTGCGGAAGCGCGGAAGCGGCCTCGTGAGACAGATGGCGACAGGTGGGTTGAAGCAGCGTCGTGCCAGCAGGTAGGAATGAAGCAGCATGATGCTTCCCCGTTCCCCCTCACAACCTTCCCACCTTCCCCCCCACTCTCCCCCCAAACACCTCCGCCTCCAATTCCCTTTACACCTCCCCTTCCTTTTCCGCCTCCCTGTCCCTTTTTCCCCCCTCCCCCTTTCCCCTTTCACGCTCCCTCCCCTTTCCCCACCCCTCCCTCCCCGTCCCTTTGCGCCTTAGTGTGCCGCACGCGTGCGTGGCGACGGTGGTGGCGGGCGCGGAGAGGGGCATGGTGGTGGCGGGCGCGGAGAGGGGCATGGTGTTGGCGGGCGCGGAGAGGGGCATGGTGTTGGCGGGCGCGGAGCGGGGCATGGTGTTGGCGGGCGCGGAGAGGGGCATGGTGTTGGCGGGCGCGGAGAGGGGCATGGTGTTGGAACCAAAGACGAAGCATTCAATTCTCTTTTCCCTCCCCTCCCCCCACTCCCTCCCATTCCTCCGATCCCCGCCCCCTTTCCCTTGCGCCTACCCTGGGCCCCCTTCCGTTGCGCTGGCAGTGTGCCGCACGCGTGTGTGGCGACGGTGGTGGCGGGTGCGGAGAGGGGCGTGGTGGTGGAACCCAAGACGAAGCACTCCTTCCCCGTCGTGCTGCGGCAAGAGGGGCAGGGACGCGGGGTGAGTGCGGTGCTGAGGGGCAAGAGGGGCAGGGACGCACGCGGGGTGAGTGCGGTGCTCAAGGGCAGCAAGGGCAGAGAAGCGGGGTGGATGTGTGGTGAGGGAACACAAAGTGGTGCTTCATGAGTCTTCGATCCATCACTGTCGCTGTCCCCATCCCCATCCCCTTCCCCATCCCCATCCCCATCCCCATCCCCCATCTCATCCCCATCCCCGTACCCATCCCCATCCCCATCCCCATCCCCATCCCCATCCCCATCTCCACCCACAGCTGCTGGCAGGGGTGGGCATCAGAGACACAGTCATCGCAAGGATCAAGTCCATCAAAGTATATGCCTTCGGCCTCTGTAAGCCCACCTGCTGCACCCGAAATCCGTCTTCCTTCCTGTCTGTTGTTTAAACTCCCAGCCTACTGCTTGTTTCCTTTTTTTGCTTCACACGGAGCTTCCCCGTTCTCTCTTCTCGAGTCCTCATGAGAAATTCCCTCTGCTCCCTCTTCCCCACCACCCCCTCCCCATCCCACCTCCTTGTCTGCGCAGGTGTGAGTCCATCCAGCCTGGGTGGCCACGAGCATCTCAAGGCCAAGTGTGGCTCCATGCCGCTGGAAACCACCACCCCTACCTATCTCATGAGTAATTCCCTCTGCTCCCTCCTCCCCACCACCCCCTCCACCGCCCTCCCCTCTCCCTCTCCCTCTCCCCCTCCCCTTTCGTTCTTGTCTCTGCAGACGTGAGTCCATCCAGCCTGGGGGGCGATGAGCACCTCAAGGCCAAGTACGGCGCCATGCCTCTGGACGAGCTGCGAATCAGCCAGGAGTTTTACGACGACCTGCTCAGGTGAAAACAACAGATGGATGCTCAGGTGAAAACAACAGACGCACACGCTCAGGTGAATTCGGCTTGTGCGTAGCTCTTCTAGTGCCCCTTCCGCTTGGTATGCTGCTTGCACTTGTTTTCTTTCCTATCTTATTTGCCTGTCTCCCCCCTCCCACACCCCTTCCCCTTCCTCCCCCCGCCTCGCCCCACCACCCATCTCCCTATTACTCCCTTCCCCACCGCTTTCGTCCTTCCTCATTGCCTCTCATCCTGTTCCCACCTCTCTAGCACCATGCCCAATCCCTCCTTTATCCGCCCCTCCCTGTTCCACTCCTCTCCTCCCCTGTACCGCCCCTCCCTTGTTCGCCTTGCCAGTCGTGAGATTGGCATGACGGTGCGGCTGGTGCTGCACTACAGAGGGCTCAACATGAAGATGGTGCGCAAGTGAGTGCCTTGGGTCGTGCAAGTCAATGCCAGCCAGGTAGCCGATTAGGGTGCCCCTAAAGACTGTTATGGCTGGTGCTGCACTACAGAGGGCTCAATATGAAGATTGTGCGCAAGTGTGTTCTGGGTCAACTCGAGTCAACATTAGTCAATGCAAGTCAATGCCAGTCAATGCTAGTGAGTGCCAGTCAATTAGAGTCAGTGCCAGGCAGACGACCTTTGCGGTTAGTGGCAGCATGACAATGTGTCTGGTGCTCCACTGCAGATGGCGCAACATGAAGATGCTGCGCAAGTGAGTGCTCCGAGTCAACCAGAGTCAATGCCAGTCAATTCCAGTCAGTGCGAGTCAATGCCAGTGAATTCCTGTCAGACATCCTTCGAAATTAGAACTGTGCCAATGCGTCTGGTGCTGCACTACAGAGGGCTCGACATGAAGATGGTGCGCAAGTGAGTGCACTAGGTCAACAAGAGTCAATGCGAGTCAATGCGAGTCAATGCGAGTCAATGCGAGTCAATGCGAGTCAATGCGAGTCAATGCGAGTCAATGCGAGTCAATGCGAGTCAATGCGAGTCAATGCGAGTCAATGCGAGTCAATGCGAGTCAATGCAAGTCAATGCAAGTCAATGCAAGTCAATGCAAGTCAATGCAAGTCAATGCAAGTCGATGCCAGCCAGAGTGTTTCCTGCGCATGCTCTTGAACCAGCCATCTACTTCGTCCTCTCTTCCTCACCACCATTCTCCTCTCTTCTCTCCTCTCCTCTCAACCCGCCCCCACATGTTCCGCCCTGCTCCCACACAGTGCGCTCAACACATCCCTCTCTAATCGCCTCACCAAGGTATGCTTCCCCATTTCTCTCCCCATCTTTGCTCCGAACTCTGGCCTCTTGTAGCAAGTGTTTAAAGGATAGAGAGGTGCTTTTGGGGTGGGTTCACAGAGTTGCTACTGCACTTGCCGCTTACAAAACGCCAATTCAGAAAAACTCACTCACAGCATTCCCTGGGCTTGCTCACAGCATTCCGCTGAGCTACACAACATGAAAAGCTCTGTTCTCTTCGCGGCCCCTCTACTCTCCGCCTTCCCCCCCCCCCCGCACGCACGCCCCTTCTCCCTGCTGCCTTCTGTTGCCTTCCCACGACCCCACACCTCCGTGCCTCCTCCTCTGTCCTGCGTCCCCACAGCTACTGGGCCATGCTGATGACCAGGGCTTCCACACTCTCAACGAGTGCCTCTCCCAACTGCCTTTCTTTTCTTCCCACACCCGCACCTCTTTTTCCCCCACGCCTGCTCCTCTCTCACGCCCTCCCCCACAGCTACTGGGCCATGCAGACGACCCGGGCTTCCATACTCTTAACGAGTACCTCTCGCTGCCGCACCAAGTCAAGCGGGTCAGTTCCCTCTGCTCTCTGCTCTCTGCTCTCTGCTCTCTGCCCTCTGCTCTCTGCCCTCAGCTCTCTGCCCTCTGCTCTCTGCCCTCTGCTCTCTGCTCTCTGCCCTCTGCTCTCTGCTCTCTGCCCTCTGCTCTCTGCCCTCTGATCTCTGCCCTCTGCTCTCTGCCCTCTGCACTCTGCTCTCTGCTCTCTGCTCTCTGCCCTCTGCTCTCTGCTCTCTGCCCTCTGCTCTCTGCCCTCTGATCTCTGCCCTCTGCTCTCTGCCCTCTGCTCTCTGCTCTCTGCCCTCTGCTCTCTGCCCTCTGATCCCTGCCCTCTGCTCTCTGCCCTCAGCTCTCTGCCCTCTGCTCTCTGCTCTCTGCTCTCTGCTCTCTGCCCTCTGCTCTCTGCTCTCTGCTCTCTGCCCTCTCCTCTCTGCTCTCTGCCCTCTGCTCTCTGCCCTCAGCTCTCTGCCCTCTGCTCTCTGCTCTCTGCCCTCTGCTCTCTGCTCTCTGCTCTCTGCTCTCTGCCCTCTGCTCTCTGCTCTCTGCCCTCTGCTCTCTGCCCTCTGATCTCTGCCCTCTGCTCTCTGCCCTCTGCTCTCTGCTCTCTGCCCTCTGCTCTCTGCCCTCTGATCTCTGCCCTCTGCTCTCTGCCCTCTGCTCTCTGCTCTCTGCTCTCTGCTCTCTGCTCTCTGCTCTCTGCTCTCTGCTCTCTGCTCTCTGCCCTCTGCTCTCTGCCCTCTGCTCTCTGCTCTCTGCTCTCTGCTCTCTGCTCTCTGTGCTCTATTCTCCTCTATCCCTCTCTCAACCCTCTGTGTAACCGCACTGATTTCATGCCTTAATCTTCCACCACCCTTGAGCTGCCATCCCTTACTCTCTATGGCTCTTAAGCTTCTATCACTTGACGGTCTACCTACCTGCAATCACCTGCCACTGCTCAACTGCTGCACGTCATCCCACGGATGACTTTTTGAGTCGACACAAAAGTCATCTCATTCATCTACCTGCAATCACCTGCCACTGCTCAACTGCTGCACACCATCCCACGGCCCTCGTGTCCCCCTCTTTATTCCCCTGTAACCTCCGCTCGTCACCCCTTTGCACCCCTGTGTAATCCTCCACTGTCTCTTGTCACCCATGGACCTCAGGGCACCACCATCGACTTCACCTGGCAGCCAGGAGGAACGCTGCTCACTGAGAGTGAGTGCACTGAAATCACTCTGGATGGAGTGCGTGGGGGGGGGGGGCGTTCAAGGAGGGGGGGTTGGGGTGAGTGGGCGGGCGTGTGGGTAGTTGTGGGCGCGTTCGCGGCCCCCACAAATCTCTATGTCTCAGTGCTACTCTATTCACTCACTCACTCCAAATCTCTCCCCCCACCCCGTCCTCCCTCTCTCCTCCTCTCCCTTGCCGCTCCCTCGCTATCCTCTCACTGAACCGCTTCCTCTCGCTCATCTCCCTCCTCACTCCTTCCCGTCCAGTTGATGGGAGGCGCATGGACCCCATAGTCAGGACTCATTACCAATGCTCTCTGTCCCACCTCTCTCTCCATCTCTCTCCTCTCCCTTCCCCTACCCCCTTTCCCCACCAGTTGACGGGAGGCGCATGGACCCAATAGTCAGTGCTCCTCTATGCAGTGAGTCTCGTTCACTCCCTGCATTGTGAAGATTGACTCCTGCTGATGCTTGCTGAGTTGTCAAAACTTGTTAATGCTTGCTTGCTTACTTTCCATGACCTGCAGGCATACCCTTATATATCTTGCCATTCTTTGAAGATCTTTTATTAGTTTTTAACTACTCATTTACTTCTTTGTTTATCCAACTCCGTTTTTGTTGCGTACACCACATTGACCAGGAGCCTTCTTTGATTTGTACATCGGCCATCCGCCCGTGTGCGAGAAGGCAAAGCAGCGGATCGGGGAGGGCATAGGACGGATGATTGCCACGTGCTAAAATGGGCTTCGTGAGAGTGTTCAGGTCCCAGTTGGTTCCCAACAACGTAATCGTTGGTTCGATTGTACATTTTTTTCACTAATTTAGCACGGTACACTGTTGTACTTAAGCTTGAAAAGAATCACACTGTAAATAGAAAAGCTCTGGTTACTAGCTGTGTGGTGTGGTATTTCACAATTGAAAACAGTAGGTTGTTACAATCCACCCCTAAAAGCACAATATGTGAAGCGCGGCTGGGTGGTGGTGGCACGGCATGCGACAGAAACCATGGGGACCATAGGGGCCATCCTGTCAGTCAGCTCACCGACCATTGGACCAATATGTCGTAGACATACGAGCCAATACATGAAGCCTTCTCCGGATTTCCCGTGTAGTGTACATTACCTGCTCGCACCCCTAGAAATACTTAGCTTTCTGACGCATGTGGCTCAGGGCAGGAATCCTAATGGCCTGAATTTAAGGGCTAGATTCATTTGCTGTCCGGATGTTTCAGGGCTTGTTTCGGGCCAGCTCAGCTTCGTAAGTGTTGGGCCTGGACCAAGCGACAGCCCTGCATCCAACAGAACATTCATCCCTCTGTCAGCTTTTGTAGGGTTCCAGAAACAGCTTCGATCTGAGCCGCGCCAAGAGGCGCAGCAAAGGGCACCATGAGGCGCAGAGCACCATGTTGTGTTGGTGGGCTAGGTTATCGTTTTTCGCTGTGACCAGAAACAACTAGATCGGTGATCGTTTCAGTCACACTAGGTAGGCGGGCGGCATGTGCGTGAAAAGGTTTTAGCATTTCGCTTACCTCGCCGCTGTCGCGACGGGCAAAAATGCGATTGTATGTTTAAATTAAAATGGATTTGTTGTTGGGTGTTTAAGTTTGTTACCAGGTAAACATTTCCGATGACGGGCAACCGTTGTTGTTTATGATCTGTAGATGTTTTTTTTCTGCAACCTGGTGACTGAAGCACAATGCTCGATCTAATCACTCACGGGCAAAAACGTTCGCGATTGACTGTTTTTTCGATTGTGCTAACCTTTGGACACGGGATAAGGTGAGCAACGACTGTATGAACTTGATTTGGTCCTTTCTCGTGTCGTCATATTTTGGTGCAACTTCTCGCTGGCATAGATTTGGACACAACACGACACGAAAGATGATTTGAATAGCCTGTCAAATCGTCAGGTTCCCATTTTTTTGGGTTTTTTTCTGGTTTCTTTTTCGTCAGGTTCTTTTCGTCAGGTTCTTTTTGGCATACTGTAGGTACTGTAGGTTAGGGTAGGGGTCGTACTGTATGGAAGGCTGAATTTTTTTCGGGGTTTCGGGTTGAGAGGATATATTTGTTTTTTTTTGGGCTGAAGCTAGGCGAGGACGCCCTCCCAGTTATGTCTCCCCCAACGTCGTGGTTTCAGGGGGAAAAAAGGTGCGGTGTGCTATTCCAGCTGAGAAGGGTAGTTGCAGGTTACACAGATGTGGAACACACTCCTCCCAAACCAACCCATGGAAACAAATATGCACCAGCTGGATCATCCTGCTGGTGGGTTTTGTATCGGCGCGCTGCTGTTCCCCAACACCCTGCTTTGTCTGGCCTGGAGCGGGTGCGGTTGGTCGGAAGGGGAGGGACCGTCAGTTGCTACATACTGTATCGATTTCTTCCACCTTCCGTGTTTCAAGGCTGTCACGCGTTTTTTGCGGTCGCTGAAGCAACAGTCGAGCCAAGTGAAGCCATGACCGTACACTACCTTGTAACTCCTTCCTTACCCTCTCGCTCTTTTCCTTTCACAGCAGGATTGATCACTTCTCACGAGGACCATAGCTCACCTACGATTAGTGCCGCACTGGCAACTCCACATTGGCACCTCAAGTATGATCTTCTGAAGCCTAAGTTCCATTGCACCTTGTCATGACCACACTCGGAGCCATGGCTGCGCGATTTTCCAGCAAGCCTCGAGTCAGCCTGACGAATTCCGTCGAGCAGGAGTCCGTCATCGTCATGCTCCTTGACGGATCCATCCGTATCTTCGACAAGTCTGCAGACTCTAGCGAATTGCTAACAGCCCAGACCGTTCTCTCCGAGTATCCCCACCTGAATCTCTCATCGCTTGAAGCTCTCGTCGCGCCGAACACTCCGCTCGTGCCAGGAGAGACCTAATTCCTCACGGCGAAACGTGCACCGTCCGCGGCTCGGCCGCCATTGACGCCCCCTTCGAGGGACGGCTCCCACGGAACTCGCTCTCGCGGCGTGTCGCCGCATCTCCCCCCGCGAAGCCCCCACGGAGCTGCAAGCGACGGGCAGATCCCGCTCATGCGAGACGGGCCGTTTCAGCGAGATTCGAACGAGTCCTTTCATCATCGCGATTCGCATGGCGGCGCCGCGGGCACGTTGGAGATACCGACGCGTGTGTCGTCGCCAGGTTGCTGCAGCGCGCGCAGCGAGGAGAGCCTCGATTTCAGCTTCGTCACCCGCGAATGCTTTGGTTCGGGCCGACACAACAGCTTTGATTCGGGCCGAGGCGGAGAGGATGAGAACGAGGAGGGGGAAGGAGCTAGTGACCAGCCCGCGTTATACAAATCCAAGACTTACAGCGGGAGCCGTAACCTGAAAGGCAGCGGTCGGCAACAAGCGGATTGCGCGGCGAAGCATCATATCGAGCTGTCGCCACATCGTGGCGAGGGTCGCCACAGCAGAACGCCGTCCATCGTCCCTTCGCCAACGTCGTCCGTGTCAAGTGTTACCAGCCAGCGCGAACACAGGCTCCCTCCGCGACCATCGCCACCCACAACGCCAAATCCTTTCCTCGCCGAGGTAAGGCCCCTGTTACGTTTGAATCTAGGGTTTCGCCTCGCCGTTTGAACCCTACACCATGTTTCCCATGTGGTTTTCTCGCTCAAATCTAACATCACGATGCTGTTTTTTCTCTCCCGCGCTCTTCACAGATCGCTGCTCTTGACGAAGAAGACTACGCGGATTCTGCGAGGGCAACCGCAACCGCTTCGAATCGCGCGCATCCGTTGTCTTCTCAGTCCGAAGGGTCGTCCCTTAAAGCCAAGGTCCTCGCGACTCTCGCGCACTTCAAGCCCCGCAGCCTGCGGCGCCTCACCTCTCCCGGCAAGAAGGGTGCTTTCCCTACCGCTCATTCCTCTGGACCGTGTGTAAAGCACGATGACGTCACGGCCGAGATCGGCTTTTGTGAGTCCGAGTCAGCGCGGGACTGGGCTGACGTAGACAGCAAGCTGTTCATGATGACGGACACGCGGATTGGACATCGGCAGTCGCGAAACACAAGCGCTGGCGCACGCGCGCACGCGGGATTCGCGCAAATCTTTGACGGCGTCGCGTGGGAAGCTCCGTCGCAAATCACCTGGGGCGACGAGTCAGGTCGCGGAAATTCTCGTCAATTTCAGCGGACCGCGTCGCCTTCACCCGACTTTGGTGCTCAGCTTCCTTCGAGAATCTGCCGGAGTTGCAACGGCATGAGCAGCTGCTGCTCCTGCGAATCGCAACCTGTCGCAGACTGTAACGTGCGACGAGGCTACGCGTCGCAGGGTTCCTCGCGCCATCAGAGCCCTGCGATCATGCATAGGCCAGGAGAGGATTTCGTCCATGACGGCAGGCATGTGAGGGGTAACGCGGTGGACTGTAACGAGTACATAATGCCGCCTAGCAACCAGAGGTTCCTGTCTGGGCCCATCTCGCATCGCGCAGCGATCTTCTAGGGCACATCCCGAAACCCTACCTTTCTCACTCTCGTTCCTCCTCCCCCTATCTGGATCAAGCATTCGATGGGTGGATGCAGTCTGGGGCCTTTGTGGGCTTTCCTTCCTCCATTGGCCAGTAATGACGATATGTGGGGTGGCTAATTTGATGAATTTTTGTGTGATAACGAGTATAACATTAAATTTATTTATATGGAACTACAAGAAATCTGAATGATAGGGAGACAATGATTACTAGGGCATCTGTAATCGAATTATTCCAGTGAGTGACTCAATTGGACTATACAGGGAGGACTGCCAGTAACTGCAGCAGTCATAGGGTACCATGATGACTATACAGGCAGGCGCGGCGCGCAGCAGCCACACTAGAGGCATAACTGACACTAAAATCCAGCACCAAGCACCAGTCGCTGGATGTGACTGTACAGAAATGTGACTTCCAGGAGTCGTATGAAGATGTGGTGCACGGAGTGACGTGCACTGAATGACGTGCACTGAGTGACGTGCACTGAGTGACGTGCGCTGTGTGATGGCACTGAGTGGCAGTGGCAGGGCAGGGTGGAACGACGTAAGAGATGCTACAAAGCGGCCCAGGGCAACCAGCCTAGGTGGAGGGGGGGCTGAGTGTGTGTGAATGTGTGTGAATGTGAGGACAGCAGAGGCGCACTTAGCTGAAGCTGGAGTGGCGCCTGGAGTGGCAGTGGCAGGCTTGGGTGAAGCCACGAGAGAGATGCTGCACCGCCTTTCAAGGTGGAGGGGGAGTTGAGTGTGAGGTCAGCAGAGGCTGGGCAGTGGCTCTTCCTGCACAGCAGTTGATGTAGAGTGGCAGTGGCTGGGCTGGCTGGGATGCATGAGATGGTGCAGAGCGGCCCAGAGCAACAGCTGAACATGGAGTGGAGGAGGGTGGGTGAAGCGACGTGGGTGATGCTGGCAGAAGCTCCCTCAGGTGGAGGGTGGGGCGAGTGTGAGCACGGCAGAGGCATAGCTGACACTGGAGTCACGCATGGAGTGGCAGTGGCTAGATTGCTCGTACTGTACAAAGCGGATGGAAGGGGGCGAGGGGCATAGCTCCGCCATCTGTTGGTGAGGGGAGCAATGGGTTGGAGGGAGGGAGCGGGCAGGGAGGAAAAAAACCATATGAGGCAGGGCAAGGCAGGGCAAGGCAGGGCGAGGTGGAGGGGGGAACATGGAGTGGCAGTGGCTGCTCTGCTCGTACTGTACAAGCGGATGGAAGGAGGCGAGGAGCACAGCTCTGCCATCTGTGGGGGTCAGGGAGAGGATTAAAGCCATGTGAGGCAGTGTGTGTGGGGCGCATGGAGTGGCAGGGGCCAGCCCAACACCCTTCCCAACGCACCTGCAGCAGCACCCCAATAGGGTGCCTCCCACAAACTGTGTTCCCCGTGCGCTCGATATAGTCACGGAAGGCCTTGGCCTGCCCCCCCTCTATAGCCGCCATGCCCTCTCGGTCCATGGCCTCAATCGCCTTGTGGATGGGGCCGTGCGCCTTGTCGTATGGCGTGAAACGGAACCTAAAAAAGGATAGGTTGCAAGGATAAGGGGCAAATGGGAACGGGAAAAGGGACCAAAAAAAAAAAAAAAAAAAAAAACACCGGCAAGCTTCTCCTCGACAAAAACATTTCGATTGGCAGAGGAGATGGGGGAGAGGGAGGAGGATTTTAGGGATATATGGTGGCATGCGTGTCAGTCCATGCCATGTGTGCACCACGTTGCAGCACAAACAGAACTCTACGCATCACTGCAAACCTGCACACCACACAAAACCATGCAGAACCGCATGGAACCGCACAGAACCATGCCATCGACGCACCTGGAGCCCCAGTGGCAGAAGTCGGAAGAGATTGAGAAGAAGTTGGATGAATCAGAAAAGTATCTGCAGAGGTGTGGAGGGTGGCACACAGCCAGGGAGACAAAAAGAAGGCGTGGAAACGGTTGTCAGCAAGTGGTAAGTGAAGGAGTGAATGATTACGTAAAGAGCAACCTGGCGTGAAAGACAAAAGGTCCTCACGTGGAGAGAATGCCACCGTATCTGGCCTCTGCTGCTGCATCCAGCGACCCCACCATTATTGGCACCAGCGACACGTTGTGACTGCAACGAGGGGTGAAGGGAGGTGAGGAAGGGTTGAAACGGGTTGGGAGACTGTCTAAGAGGTCATTTCCTCGTGTCAAAGCCATGTCCAGTTACATGCGAGGAGATATGACAACTCAGTGACTCAAATCGACTCATGCTGAGCTGAGATGCATTAGCTCGCATTGAACAGCGTTGACTGGGCGTTGACTGACTCACTCTTTGCACATGTGGGCGAGGAAGGGGGCGTGCATCTCAAGGGAGTGCTCTGCCTCGTCCACATGCCGCCCCATCTCCTCAAACTCGCCCGTTGCCTTCAGCTCCGCCACCACTGTGGGAGGGGGAAAGGGGGGGGATGGCGGATAGAGGGGGGGGGAAGAAGGGGAGTGTTTGAGTCAACTCTAGACATGCCGCCCCACCTCCTCAAACTCGCCCGTTGCCTTGAGCTCCGCCACCACTGCAAGTGAATGGGTGCATGCAGGGCAGAGAGGGAAAGGGGCAAGGACGCTGATTGTGCTGCCAGTGAATGCGATGCGCACATTATGGGCAAATGCGGGGTAAATAAGGGGCACCTAAGGGGCAAATAACTGGAAAACAAGCGGCAAACAAGGGACAAGGGGCGAGAGAGAAGGGGGGGAGGTGGGAGGAGGGAACGGGAGTGGGGAAGGGGAGAGGCATTGACGGAGGAAGGGCAAAGGCGTGACCGTGCATGTGGATGGGCAGGGCAGTACGGTACCTTCCATGTCGATGGGAAGGGCGCCGAGAGGCGTGTGGAAGGAGGTGGATCGAGGCAGCACACACTTGCGCGTGTAGTGGTGGTGCGATGGACCCAGGAGGAATATGCGACGGCTGATGGGCGTAAAACGGGAGGGAGGGAAGGGGAGTGATTATAAGAATTCTCAAAAAGAAAAAGCAGTGAGGAAGATGCGACAGCTGCTGGGATGACAAGGGGGAAGAAGAAGAAAAAACACACACACACACACACACACACACACACACACACACACACACACACACACACACTGTGTAGTGATGGTGCGTGCATGCACGGCTTAGATGCATGGATGGTGCGTGCATGGCATATTCACATGGATGGTGCGTGCATGGCATACTCACATGGATGGTGCGTGCATGGCATAATCACATGGATGGTGCGTGCATGGCATACTCACATGGATGGTGCGTGCATGGCATACTCACATGGATGGTGCGTGCATGGCATACTCACATGGATGGTGCGTGCATGGCATACTCACATGGATGGTGCGTGCATGGCATACTCACATGGATGGTGCGTGCATGGCATACTCACATGGATGGTGCGTGCATGGCATACTCACATGGATGGTGCGTGCATGGCATACTCACATGGATGGTGCGTGCATGGCATACTCACATGGATGGTGCGTGCATGGCATACTCACATGGATGGTGCGTGCATGGCATACTCACATGGATGGTGCGTGCATGGCATACTCACATGGATGGTGCGTGCATGTGCGCGAAGGCATAGGCGGCACATCTGCCAGAATAACGAAAGCCTGCATGGCTGGACACACATCAGATTCGGGAATGGTGCAAAAACATAACCAGAATCACAAACGATGAAAAAGAAAGCAAATGATCTGATATTTCCAAACGAAACACGCAAATGTCATGCGGGTGCTATGCTGTGTGACTGGATGATTCAGAGTGAGTGGCACAGAATCGCTTGAGTCAACTCAAAACTCAAAGCCCCTCCCTCCCATCTCCCCCACTTATCCCTTCCCCCACCCACCTCTCCCTCCCACCCTTTTCCCCCCTTCCTCCCCGGGTGACTCACGGTGCAATCACGGCGCGCACGGAGGCGTCAGGAGACACTCCCGAGGCCGCCAGCCACGCCTCGATCTCCTCGCCCAGCTCCTCTGCTGTAGTCACACCGCATCACATCACATCACATCAAATCACAAAACATTACATCGATCACATCGTATCGCATCCATCAGGAGACGACAACTGATCATGCTAAGGACGGAAAGGAGCTTCACGTCCGAATTCACGTGATCTCCACGGTCGCTACAGTCACACTCGGTCGTTCAACTCGCCGTAATCACGCTCTCCCCAGTGATTACACCAAATTTCGTCACCGAACCAACTTATCGCATCATGCGATGATCGTAAGCTAGCAAACAGCTTGCGTTCCGAATAAACCGGCTTCATTTACGTCCTCTCGAGTCGTTGCAAGCATATACTCTACCAGTAAACTCACCGTCATCGGTATACCAGCTCCCCGCGTGACTCGCGTGTCTCGCGTATCCCGGCGGTGCCGACTCCTTAGCCTTGCTACTCGCTCGCGTCTTCGTCGCACCGCCAACTGCGGCCCACATCCTCGCGACGCAGCACAGCAGTGGCAGTCCCGCCGCGAAGCACGCGAGGTGTTGTAGATAGGCGAGAATGAAAGAACGGAGGAGGAAAACAGAACTATCAAAAGCTTCCCCCAAAATGGTCGGATGGAACAAGGTCGACCGCGGAACTTTGTACTAATTCCTGCTCGCAGCCTTCAGCTTATTACGAATTCCTCCTGCCTTCAGCCTCAAGCCTCGAAAACTGGTGCTCGCAGCCTTCGCTTCCTCCGATATAATCACCCTAGACGATGCTGCGACGGTAATAATAGACAGGCTGCGAGGAGGTAATGAGGCCCCGATAGAGAGATTCCTGTTTGTGGTGTTCGGAATGTTCCAAGGCGTCTGATGGCTCAACCCACACAACCTTCCTTGCTTTTGACCTTCGTACAAGCCATCTCCTTACAAGTCAAGCGGCCGATTTAGATGTTGGTGTTCTCCCGATAGTGAAATGTTAAAACGTGAGATGTACCATTTGTGGTCGTGTAGCTTTGCCACAAGCCATATATAATAATATTCGTAACATCCACTTC